GCCTCCTCAAGGATAGAGCCGAAGGCCCGCCTCTCTCCAGCCCGCCCAGCTGCTGGCCCCACACAGCTTCTTCTGCCCTACACACTTGATCTATGAGAAGGTCCTGTACAAACTCACCAGCAGCCAAGGGTCCTGGGCCGTGTCTCCTCCGTCTGACATCCAGTTCTAGCTGTTGTTGCATATGTTGCCCACAGCTCCCTTGAAGCTCTGCTTTGCTTCCTTTGTGGTTACCACAGTTCTCCACAGCTGCAGGAGGCAGCACTGTGCTGCCACCCGCCCCAGCCTCTCAGTTCTGGAGACTGGGCCTGGTGTGGCTCCTCAGGCTCCTGCACAAAGCAGGCTTGTCACTTACCATTCTTGCTCCAGATTTAGAGATGGGTCTCTCACAAAGAAAAAGATCATAAATCTGTTTCTACTAAAGAGCCTTTCTGATTCTTTCTTCTATTTTATTAGTTTCCTTTAGGAAGAAATCAAGACAGTGGAAACATTTTTATAAAATGACACTTTATCTCTGTGATTAACTGTATAAGAAGCCATAAAGCCTTTACCATGGTAATCTCCTCCTTATACCTTATTGCTTTGATAATAAAAGGTTTTTTATGACCACAAAATAAAAATTTTATGCTCCAGAAGCAGAGATGAAAGGGGAAGATGTGGTTTTGAAGGATAAAGGGCACAACTGAGACTCGCAAGATTGGTATGGGTTCTGCACACGTTTGGTTCATATGGAGCATGTTTGGTGCCTTTTCTGTCTAAGCCAATGAAAGAGCTCTATGTTTCTGTCCTGCTCATAGGGTGCCACTGTTGAAAAGCAAGCACACTCAGCACTGTGGCTTTAGGCTAAAAACACACATTTCAGCAACTAAACCATGCCAGTTTGCAGGCCATCAGCCATCTACTCTGGTCTGAGCAAACACTGCATTGGATGAATCTGGTTACACTTTACTCATAAGCGTGTGCCTCTTGGGTGTCCCTGAGCATGCAAGGGGTCCTTTCTGCCAGGGCTAATGCCCCACTTGATGTGCCGAGTCAGCTTACATTCGGAGACAGTGTGAGGTGGATACCTACTGACCTGGATTCAGGAATACCCTGAAAGCAGGAACATGACGATGTCTGTGATGCTTCTGTGACTCCTCAGCACTGATGTCATCCTGCTCAGGACCTCTTCTCTCCCTGCAGCTCACAGCTTGAGTCCTTGCCCAGCAGCAGAGTGATTCCCTCCTGCGCATCCAGCATCTCTTTCCTGTACCTCTGTCAGGACTTAGTTGGCCTGCAGATGGTGCTACTGGAATTTTACAACGCTCCATTTGATGCCCTCATGTGAGGTGCAGTGGAGGTGTTAGATGTGGCTGCCCCTTTGACCCACTCCCATGTGATACTGGCTCCTTGCTGTCTGAAGGACAGCCCACCCGGGTTCCCTTCCCTCCACTTGCCTGCCACTCAGAAGGCCTAGTCCCGGAGAGCCTGGGGTGCTCTCCTCAGTCTGGCTTGCTCCAGGCTCACCTGTCCATAGACTCAGGACACCCCTGCCTGGCAAGCCTGTGGCTTACCTTCCCTAGTAACACAGGTACAGCCATACCAGAGGCACCAGAGGACGAGCTACTCTGAGTAGATGTCCCGAAGAACAGACAGGCCCTGCCCGCAGTTTCCGCTTCATCTGTGCACCAAGACCATCAGGCTTTCAGGTGAACATTCCCCCTGCCGCTGGCCAGAGGGACTCGGTGAACCACCATGGTTCAACCTTAGGACATGTGTTATACCCCACATGTCCATCTTGTGACCTCTTTGGGCACAAAATTATGTCAACAGATTTAATCAGCAAAACTTGCCATAGTACTGTAGCTCGCTTAAAAAAAAAAAAAAAAAAACACATAGCAAAGGTCTCTTCCCACACCATTCTGTGTGCTGATGCTCCCAGAGTTCATACTTGGTCGAGGATTTGGCTGACTTGTGGGCCCTCCCTCTGTAGTCTGCTCCCCTGATCCCTGGACACAAGGACAGGATGGTCTTTTGTCACACATGTACCTCCCTTGCTGTGTGCTGCACATGTTGCATGGCCAGGGCCCTCTTTAGAAGCCTTCCAGTTCCAATGTCTTCTCATGGTCACCATTTTCTCTCCTCCCTCTCTGTGTCCTGTAGGTCCCCACAGTGAGTCCTGCAGGTCCTCACATTCTTCGTGACTCCTGGAAAAATGTGCAGGCCCACAAGGGTGGAGAAGCTTTTTCTTTTATTTCTCCTTCTTTGACAGCACTCCCAGCCCCAACCCCTTAGCTGGCTCACAGCAGGTGAGCAAACATCAGTAAGAAGAACAAATGTTCTGCCACTCTTCCCTGCCTGGCCTCTCTATGGCACATTACTGTCCTTCTGTCCCAGACCTGTGCACTCTGCTCACTGTGCTAGTGGTAACAGTGGAACACAAATCCCACAAGGTATATCACCCCATCACCTGTAACCCTAAGTCACCAGGGTCATGCACCCCAAGTCCAGTTGAGTCACACTGGGCTCCTGTCCAGGGTCCATCCAGTCCCAGGGTGGAGCGGACTCCACATTCTGTGTCACTTTGCCTCCTTCTGCCTACCTAGCCTTGCAGTGGCCCCCTCAGTTTACCTGGTGTGCACCACACATGTCCACGTGTCCCCTCCCAGAAGAATGAGGACATGCACCCCGTAGTTTCCACCCCTGAACTGGGGTCCCTTAGGCTCTGCATCCCTGCTCCAGCCTTCTCGCTGAGTCTTCTGTGCTCTGGCCCTTTGTGCAGGGCAAGCCCAAAGCCTGCTTTGGGGGTTGGTGGCCTGCCCCTGTGCCTATAGTCAGACCTCAACTCCACCCCTTCCACTTCTCATTTCACCTCCCTAGCACCTTGACCATTAGCCTGAGTTCCCTAATGTAGAAGTTTCCTCTCTAAAGAGGTCATAACAGAGACACACTTTTCTCCTGAGGGCTGCCTCGGAGCTAGACAGAGGAACCAGAGATACCTGTGACCCAGGAGCACAGAGCCCTGATGCCATGGAGCTGCGTACAGCTGTCAACACACCCACACATGTAGGGGCAGACTTTGGAAAGAAATACATGAAGCCATACTAGTGAAGACCTCCGAGAGGAGGGCGCAGCATGCTGGACCACCCTGTCCACCCACCTTCCAGCACCACACGTTTCCTGTGTGTAGCACCCATGACCATCGCATTTACGCAGTATCACTAAGTAACGTAAGGGGCCTAATATGCTGGCCACACACAGTGACCCTGTTGGTGACCGTAACTCACATGTGTCAGAGGGTTTTCAGTGTGGCCTGTGGGACAGAGATGCTCAGAGCCCTGCATGGGAAACTCACCATGCCCTGCACTTAACCATTCTTCAGAAGCCACAGGATTTCCTGGTTGCAGAGAGCTGAACTGGGCACACTGCTGCCTCTCCCAGGTGTCCAGTCACGTCCAGCCAAAGAGTCCCCTTCTGCTCTAGAGTCATCCTAGGAGCCATAGTGAAGAGTTCTTGAGAAGATACAAAGTAGAAAACATTTTAAGTTTGAAAAGCACATCCAACAGAGGGAAACTACCTCTGATGGAATAGTCTCTGTAGGAATGAGGGTTGTCAGCACGGTGAATCGCAGGACACTAAATGTGAGTGCACGATGCACGTGTACCAATGAGCAGAGAATCTAATTCATTGCCTTTGGAGGATACTAAGGAATCAACTGTTTTTTTGAAAACTGATAAAAGGAAAAATGAAACATTTATTCTGCCATCCCTATACTTAAATATACTTAATGAGAACCAAACAGTTGGCCAAAGAAAGCCTTTCTTTATAGAAGGATTCCAGTAAATAAAAAGTGATACAACTTGAATATTCCCATTTAACAAGTCCTATAGATCTAAGCAATGATGCTCAAAGGCTTCTATATCATAAAAAAGAGACATGTCATTTATATTTGTGATAAATTTATTGTAGGACATACTGTAGGATAAATTTATTGTAGTTGTCCTTTTGAACAACTCTTAAAGACAACCTAGTTTCTTCAAATAAATGCCAAGAACAATAGAAAATAGATTGGAGGGAACATAATGGAGTCATACTCACTGGAGGAGCAGTCAGCCAGCTACAGTGAACAGGCCTAAGTTATATCCTGATTTAAACAAAGTGTTAGAAAGACTTGACATACAGTTGGGAAAATTCAAATATTGAATAGATATCTGACATCACTAAATTATTGTTAATTTTTAAGTGATACACTGTGGTTCTAATCCCAATAAGTCTTTATGTTTTAAAGGCATACATATTGAAATATTTGTGGTCAAAATGAAAATGAAAAGAGCACCCAACATCTATGCTTAAGTAGACATAAAAACTTGTGATGGAATATAGCAAGAATGTGTAATGAATTGTTTCTTTGGAGAGGGGAGCGGAAATTGTGGGCTGGGGGAGAGAGATCTAAGCAGTGAGAGAGAGGGAGGAGGAGGACTTTCTGCAGGTAGCACCTTTCCAAGGACTAGCCAAGGAGTGAATGGAACATAATGGGAAGAAGTTCATTACAGTGAAAGGCTGATTTAGGAGGGTGAGGAAGACATAGCAGTAACCCTGAACCACCTGCCTCCCTCCGGGCTCAGCTCGTTCCCGGGAGAGGGGCACACAGAGACTCCAGGAACCACAGCCCTCTGTTCCCGAGTGCCAGCTTTTCACATGCTTGTTATATTGTTCTGGAGCTTTGGCGCATATAGGGCAAAAAACACACCCAAAGTTAAATTCCGAGCAGCCCAATCCTGAAAGACTCTTTTTAGATGTGTTGACAGTGACTTAATCAGCAGATGTCACCTGTAATCCTTGGGAACATCCCTGCCACATTGCCTCAGTTTTGGAGAGACAGAGAGTGCTGCTGGTGATGTAGCATAGAAATATTTATGGTAATTTTGTATTTTGTTTAATGAAACTCATTTTCTCTTATGCCCCTGCTTCTGAAAGTCTGTCTCTGATTGAGCATTCTTGCTCTTCTTTCTGTTTTCCCTCAGCATCATTGACAAAGAAGTTTCATTAATGGCAGAAATGGACAAAGTAAAAGAAGAAGCCAGTGAGTACACATGGTTATCTGATCAGGGGCCTCCCAACCAGAAGCGATGCCTGGTCAGAGGGGTAATGCCAAATCTTCCCTGAACTTCTGGCCATGAGCTCTGTTGCCTTGGACAAGCCACTGGCCACCGGGGAGAAGATGCATGGCGCCTGCCACACACAGCAGATGGCCGCTCAGGGAGCAGACAGGAGATGTCGGCTGAGTTGCTTAAAGTCCAGAGGGACATTAGTGTACACAAGGAACTTATGCTCAGTGGCTTTTCAACGACAGTGAATTTAGTATTGAATTTTTAGACACTGGCTTTTAAGCCTTTGCAACTTTTATCAGTCTTGCTGCATTACTCACTGTTTTTTTTTATTTAAAGAGAAAAACAAAACTAAACGAAGCAAAACAGTAAAAGGCTAGAAGTAATACAGAATTTCAAGAGAAAAAAAATACAGTAAGAATTCACCAGTTAATAGATCACATATTGTCATCTTAGAAACAGTTGTCCAGATTACAAAATTAAAGCGTACAAAGTGGACATTAATACAGTGAAATTGCAGTCAGTTCTGTCCAGTGATCCAAGAAAAACTCAGCAATATGGTTCTCTATCCTACACATTTGAATATACTTGCAGTTATATCCTTTAGATCACTTTCCTTCCTCTCTTTTTTACGCTAACAATCACACATTTTAGTTTCCATTACTCCCACAGTTTTTATAACTTTTTCTTTGAAGAGGAAAAGAAAAAAGATTTTAAAAAAGCCAAAAAACAAAACAAAACAAGACGGACCAAAGAAAAACCCAATGTGACAAAGCAAAACAGAGTCAGTTAGATCAGGAGGATGGACATAGTATATAAAATGAAAAAAAAAAAAGAAAGGATTACTAGGTGATCAACAATGGTTACCATTATGCCTCTAAAAAGAGTAGCCTATATCAGCTAGTATAAAAGAATTGAACAAAACTGTACATAAGACCAATAAAACCACATTGGAGAGCTTGCAGGATTCCAAAGAAGATAATCAAACAATAACGGGCATCATAGAATACCTGGTTGCCTTCCAAATGGTTCCCTATTCCCTCAAACTTGATACTATTAAGCAAAACAGAATATAATAAAATCAGTCAGAACAAGATGTGGAGAACAATACAGGGGTTCAAATCAGGTTAATAAGGAAACAAAAAAGTTACTATAATATATCGCACTATTTTTAATTTAGTTTTCCCTTAGTTAAAAGATACTAAGAAATAAATTTTTAAAAAAGGAAAGAAAAAGGGGGAGATTGAGATTAAAAAAAAAGAACGTATCAATAGAACAACACCGGTCAGAACCGAGAAATTTAAGCATCATTGTGTTTCACCCCCAGATAGCCTGACATTAATAGTAGTTACCATAGTGACTCTTTCCTTGAAATATTTGAGTCTAACTTCATATACTATAGCATCAAACTTATCAAGACAGTGTGAAACCATTCAAGCGAATGAAATTATTGCAGGGTATTTAGAACCAGCTAGCAGAAACCAAACATCAATTTCTATATTATCTCTTTGTCTATAAAAAATTTGCTTATACTATTACATATATTAAGATATAATAAGATACAACATGTTAGAACCAATGGAAACAAATGAACAACAACTTGAGGGGGCTTCAAAACAGGATGATATTAAATCAGCGCTAGCTATTACGCTCTTATTTTCTTCAAAATAGTTATTTGTAGTATCACAGACATAAAATAAAACAACCCAGATTAAAACCATTCCAATTAATGAGTGAAAACATTATATGGCTTCAAACCAGTGTGACTGGGAATCATGATTACCACGTACTTTCATGTATTCTTATTGTTTCTTACACTAGGGAAACTATTCGGTATTTATACATATGAGTTTGCTCACTGTTTCTTTTTCAGGTTCAGTTAACTCAAGTTTATTAAATTCAACTCCCTCTTTAAAAAGTAGTTCCTTCTGACACTTGATGCTTAAATTCCCCGCAACATTTTGAACCATATGTGTACATTTAGTAAGTCTAACTATTTTCAAGCACTTCAGGGGCCTGATAAGGCTGACTCACATACGTAATGGACAAAACACTTCTCAACTTTTAAGCAATGCGTAGGTTAATAATTCAGATTTAGAGATGTAATGAATGTCATTTTCTTAAAATTCTCCAGTTCTGTTTACAAACCTCATCAGATATGCTGACACCTGCCAACTTAAAACTATAAAAGAAGAACAATTCCATGATTTAAATTAAAATCACATGCTAGATTGATTAAGGTACCAATTACCCTGTTAATACAGAGAACATACTTAAATTATCTGATCACTGGAAAACTTTTCCAAAATTTCACACAAGATACGAATACACTCCATTTGATTTGTTTCATTTTCTCTGTGCGCACTTCTCAACCTTCCTGGTTTGGTGAAATCATTCGGTCAGTAATGGCCACGTCACCCATCACACAGGAATCTGGTGGTCAGATCCACCTCCAGCATGAGTGAGTGCATGTGCGGAGCCTGCTCCACTGCTGAATGCAGCCTGCCACATCCAAGGTGACTTACGACCCCCACTTCCAGCTGGACTTTAGTTTCACAGCCCTTGCTTCTGGTGCACTTTCATTTCTTCCCCCTTACCCAGCCCTCACCCTGTGAATGCCGTGAGTGGCAGTTTGCACACCCAGCCAGGGTTCAGATGAGTCCTTTCCTCTGACCACAGGGTCTCAATTCACAAGAATGAAAGATCAGGTAGTGTTCTTCAGTCTTTTTATGTTTTTCTTCTCTGGATGTTGGCCATAGTTCAGTTGTCACTTTATGGAAAGGAGCTGTCATTCTTTTTGTTACACAATTTTCTAATATTTTAAACAATATTTTAAAACCAAAACATAGCCAGATTTATAAATGAAATGAATGTGGTCCAGAGTGGAACTGAGGAATATCTGAGTAGTTCACAATATTTCTGACTGTGAGATTTTCTTCTTCTTATGAAATCTGTTAATTTCCTCAGTAAAATTTGGCTTGTACATATGGCTTTTTTCCAACTCTAGGGACAGTTGTGTGCCTACAATGAAATTGTTAGCCATCAACACTCAGTGTTCTCCAGAACTAACACAGACAGTCACTTCTTAGAGGTCCACAGAGACTCAGGTCTTGTGTACTCACTCTTCCTTCTTGGACTGTCATGCCGGTGCCCAGCCCTGTGAACTTTGGACACCCCTGGGGAGCACCCTGTTTCCTGCGCTTTGCCCTGAGTGCCAGCTGTGCTGCCTTGCTCACTGCACACCATTGGAGGGCAGTGTAAACAGTGCAGACCCCAGCATGGAGCCTGCCCTTCCCAAGCAAGGGTGCCCTGAGACAGGCCCAGCCAGTGTCCAGAGAAGCCTCCAGGGAAGCGAGTTCATAGTTCAGGGGTCACACAGAGCTGGGTCCAAGGCCAACCTCTCCTCACATTCTGTGTGACCTGGAACCATTCTGTTAACTTTGCAAACTCAAGACTCCTTATTCGAATTGGAATAGTACCTATCTCAATGCATTGCTGTAAAGGTAAAGTGAAAAGTCACACAGCAGAGACTTGGCCTGGTGTGTGGCACACTGTGTGTGGTAAGCTGTATTAGAACATGGAGGCTCAGGGATGGCCTCCCCCTCCAGGGACATGCCTATGGCCACCACATCTCCTGCACAGGTAGACAGAGCTACTGAAGGAAGAAACCCACAAAATACGGCACTGTCTTTAAACCCGTATTTGAACCTGCAGATCCATGATCTCACAAGTCTTTTTCACGGTTTCCATATGCCATGTGTGGTATAAACATGTTTCTTCAGTGATAGCACAAGGCCTGTAACCCTCAGGGCATCTAACACACACCAAAAGGTTGGTGGTGCTTCCTAAGTATTTGTTAAATGAATTATCATAATCAAGTTAGTGTCTGTAGATGACAGGATTCAGTACGAGTGAACAAAATGTGATTTCAAGGGACTATAGAATAAACATCTCAAGATTCGTAGTAAGCATTTCGAGTATTCTCACAGCACCGAGCCCCTCCTAAGTGTTACTCCAGTAGTGGCGCAGTCATGCTACACGATGTGTAGAGCTCGCATCTTACAGACAAACTGCACGTGCGACAGTACGAGGTCTGCAGCATCCTCTGCTTGCTGGAGGCCTGCACGGGTATGTCCTGGGAGGAGGGAGTATACTGGAGATAGGGTATTAACAGAAACACTGACACACTACATAATGCTATCACAAGAACTTTTAAGCAATTAAAAGGATTTTAAAGAATATTTGTGCTCGAAGAAACACCTCTGCCCTGACTTGTCTCCGGGACCCTGTGCACATCTACACACATCTTCTGCTCATATGTGTTAGTGAGTAACCTTTAGATTTTCCATGGTTCAAGCACCATGCGCCCAGCTTCTAATGTGTTCCAGAAATTTAGAGGGATTTATGAGTCCTGTGGAGAGCAGTCAGCCTTCCAGACAGTGTTTATGATCGTGCATGAGTAGCACACAGCCTGCTTGCTGTCTCTGTCTCCCTCTACAGATTTCTGAGCAGACTGTGCTTTCAAAACTTACTTGTTATTCTATATTAAATTGCAAGATCAATGAATCTTCAAATTTGATCTGGTTTTGTTTTTGCTTCTTATTTCTGTGATTGATGTGTTTGAGGTAAAAATGTTTGCCTCTAAGAATACTGGCATCTAGATCTCAACTTTAAGGGTTTTTTTTTTATATGAAAGGCTTTGAAATGTTAATGAGACTGTATGTAAAGCACATCCCCACACTTGCTGATGCAAAGTATTCATTTTCATGCACATTTACATGAGCTTGAACTAGAAGTTATTGGTGATCTTGCACCTGTTTTCCCATTTTAGGACCCATTTGTATCTATTTCTACAAAATCTTCTGTTTGGTATGAATGCCAGAGTTATACATAATCAAAAGAACAATGACCCTAATTGAACGAGCCATCAAAGAGTCACATCTGCTTAACTCAGGCTCTGCTGACCCTCTTAATGTTTTTCAAGACAGTGTCTTCAGAACTTTTCATCTTACTTTGCAAAGAAAAAGTCATCCTTTTACTCAAGAATCATTTTCTTGTCCTACAAACTTTTGTTCCATACATATGTTAAATCATAATGCAAACAAATAGCCAGTTAAAGGTATGGGTGCCAGACATCTCTGCCCCTGGAGACAGGGAACTTCAGTCCTGTACCTATTCATTTATTCACCCAGCCCTTCATCAGCAAACACATTGGGTACCTCCCATCTATCAGGCAGCAGATACTGTGGACAAAAGACCTGGTGGTGGTGCATCTGTGCTGGAGTCCCATGAGCAACTGATGACCTTCACACAGGCAGTGTCAGAGGGTGGGTGGGATTGGTGAGCATAGTGGCCGCTGGGCACAGTGCTTCTCAGCTGTACCCCACTGTTGCTGCCTAGGAATGTTGGCCAACTGTGCCTAGAAATTCCAGTACTTTACAAGGCACAGTTAAAATGGAAACTCCTAATTTTTCAAAATGGACATCTAATTTGTAAAAGTAATATGGGCTGAACCTGATAGTCGGCTACCTTTTTGTCCCCTCTGGTATAGCTGAATAACCTGAGGCATCATTCAGAAGATTAAAACTCCTCTTACCCTCCTTCACCCTAATGACCCCAGACACAGGTCAGTCTGTTATCTAAGAGAGTTAGGGAGCTCCAGGTCACTAACCAAAGCAGGGCCAGAGTACTTTGGCAAATGGGCTTCATGAATTGTAGGTCAAATATTGCATTGACTTCTCAATATTGATATTAGCATTAAAAGATAATCTATCTCTTTATCTCTCTGTCTAAAAAATGGTTTATGGCTTACACAGGAATCAACTCTCAATTGATTTTTTGCTTCTTTTCAGATGTTTGAGATGACTCTCAGACATTTTATAGATTAAGAACTCACAAAGTAGAACTCCTACTGGGTGGCTCTGCATGGTGTGTTAAGTCTGATTTAACAAAATGGTTGGTCCTTGCTGGCTAAAGAATGCAACATGAGTTCAGTGTGCACATCCTCTTGGATGAGTTTCTCATTTTTTAGATCTTTACTTGCTTGTCCAAGAGAAATGAAAGCAATTCATGCATTATAAATTGGAGAGCTCCATGTCCATCTATTGAAGACCAAACTTCATATTTAAATCTCACCCTAGGTGTTTGTATTCATTGCTTCTGTGCTCCATAGCACAGTATTTTGGGAAATACATGCACACAGATTAACCTGTGAGCTACAGCATCTATCTGAACCTGTAGTTCATCTGAGAACTAGAGATGAGGAAATACAGTGCCAGAGTACTCCCTGGTGAGCTCTCTACATGTACAGATGTTAAAGAGTGCATACAAATCCAGTTTAAGCTGGCTTGACTTGCTCTTGAAAATTTTCCACCAGGGACACTTATAACAAAGATATAAGACACTGTGGTCTGGAACTTCTGTCTGTTTGCAAAATAGAAATCTAGCTGCCAAGCACCAAAAACAAAGGCATTTTTCATCTCACAAAAAGCTAATAAAGTAAAGCTTGTATGTAATGGTCCAGTAATACAGCTAATTGCCCTAAGTGACTCTGTGTTAAAGTTAGGTACGATGCTGCTAGGATTAACGGTACAGCACACAGAGAAGGGTTTTGTTGGTGGACATCCATCTTTGTGAATCAGATTGGATTTTAATGCATCTATTTTCAGAGCTAGGTGTTCTGAATCAGTCACTCACATTAAAAACTCCAAACAAGGCGAATGAGCTCAGATGCCAGTGGCACAAATGAAGAAGAGTGTGGGTACACGGTGAAGCAAAAGGGACTGTGTTTAGTGCAGGGTTTGGTGGATAAGGACCACCAAGAATGGGTTGATGGCAGTGGTGCCGACATTGCCGACAACGCAGCCTGGTGACCAACTCAGAAAACACAGTCTGGGCCAACAAGCAATCAACCTAGAGAGGGATAACTGACCCCAAAAAATGTGGTCATTTAATGTGCTCATATCTCGGCCCTGATAAGCTGTTCTTACTTGGCAGTGGAAATCCTGACTGCTCGTCAGAAGAAAGCAGAAGAACTAAAGAGGCTTACGGATCTAGCCAGTCAGATGGCGGAGCTGCAGCTGGCCGAACTCAGGGCAGAGATCAAGGTCAGTTCTGGAGTGTCCCTGCCTGGGCCTGAGCCCCAGAGCTGAGCCTCACATCAACATCACGGCTCTCTGTGGGGTCCAGCACCACATGGCCAGCCCACTTCCACAGGGTAGAAATGGGGAGCACAGAAAGGTTAAGAGCCACCCAGTCACAGTGCAGAGTATTCTGTGGTTCGAAAGGCTGTATTATCATAAAGGAAAAGAACAAGCCCCTGCCTTAGGCAGCAGGCTACTCTCCAAATACAGTGTGCTCACCCGTGAATTACGGCTGGGATGACATGCTATTTTTACACTGTATAAACACATGGGTGTGAACTTAGTGGGACAGCAAGTGGGGAAGCATGTCTTCTGTGAAGACTTCTTTCCTTATTTAGCTGCCTTTGTACTAAGATTGCTACCCACACATGTGTACAAGGTGTGATGAAAATATGTGATGATGTTGCTTAAATGTTTAAATATAGTAGGAGATGCACTGCTATTCACCCCCCTCACATTACTCCATCTTGTTTGAACACACTTAACCTACCATTCTTTACTTTCTGAAGCAAGTCTGGAAGTCCTCTTTCTTGAGGATCTTTACAAAAATACCTAAGTGCTGCTGCCAAGTGCCATCTAACAGAAAGGCAGACTCAATAGTGTGTCTTTATCTACCATATTCCCCAAACTCAAAATGATCATGAGAAGTAAATGCTTTGAATCCATTCAAGGCATCAAGGCAGCCACAACAGCACAACAAAAGACACGCATGAAGGAGAACGTCCAGAATGCTGCAGAAAGTGCAACAACAATGGGACAGGTGTGTTGGAACCGTGGGGAGTACCGTGAGGAGGATTCGTGGCAATGTGTCTTTTAAAGTTTTTCAATCTCAACCTGCATTTATTAGATACCTTTTGTTACAAGCAACAGAAACTGACCTTGCCTAAGTCAAGAACAAATAGAGTCCAAAGACTGTTCAGTGTGGGCCCCTAGCATAGTGTGATTTGAAGACTTGGGTCTGCAGTGAGACACAGGGCCCCAGGGGATACAGGAAGCAGCGTTTCTCCTCTCTCCCTCCATTGCCCCACAGGAGGGAGTGATCTCTAGGTGACATTAGCCCTGTGCAAGCCATCCTGATGCAAATCCCTAAAACAGGTTTCGCTCCAGCCTCACAAACCACACTCATCATCAGATGGTGAGGAGCAGAGCTCTGGAGGGAGTCGGTGCGGCCCAGACCCCCACTTCTGTGGCTCTGGATAAATGGTTCAGGGTCTTAGGCCTCAGAGCCTCAGCTCCCTGGTTTGTACAATGGAAGTAGTAAAGTGCTGTCTTCACTACAGTGTGCTCAGAGGGAAATGAGACTATGTATTAAGAATTTGGCCAGGGTCTGGATAGTATTCAATACTTTTTTGATGTTCCAGCTCACATGCTTCCTTTTACAAAATTCCCTATTCCCCTCAGGAGATCGCTTCTTCCACTTTTTCATTCCGAAAGTATCAACCACACTCTACCTTGTATTAATGCTATCTCTCTCCCTGGCCGTGTGGTGAACTCCAGGAGGGCCTGAGTCATAGTTATTTCTGCATTCTAGTTCTGTCATCTACACATGGCTCTTCACTTTAAACTGTATTTTATATGAATTGAAAAATAATCTTTTCCACCTCCTGAAACAGCGCTTGAAATCTCACTGTACACTGAAGGCTCCTCGGGCTTCCTGCTTCCCTATTAAAGTAGAGACGAGTGTCTGGGAGGAGGATGTGTTTTATCTTGCTGGGGAGCCAAAAGGTTACCGAGGTTTTGCTGCATCACAGTTTGTCCAGGCCTGAGCAGGAGGAGGATACCTGGAAGACCGGCCTGTGGCCCCAGTCGGGAGCAGGCTCGGGTATTCTGCATCACGTCACGCTTCCCTTCTCTCCTCAGCACTTTGTCAGTGAGCGTAAATACGATGAAGAGTTGGGGAAGGCCGCACGGTTCTCCTGTGATATTGAACAGCTGAAGTCCCAAATCATGCTCTGCGGAGAAAGTGAGTTTTGCATACTTGCAAAGTGATTCCGACCGAGTAAGCTTGGTGCTGTGTGAGTTGATGTGGGAAATGTCAGGTGTGCTGTCCCAGAGCCTGCCATGAGGTCTGGAGAGCTACTGATCGTGGGACTTGACACAAGTCACTGGAAAAGTCAGGGCTTGAACTTAGACTCTCCAAATGCCACTGCCCATCTGTAAATCCCCAGGATTTGTGAAGCAGAACTGAACAGGTCCGTTTATACCTTTGGCAAACTTTGCCTGTGATTTTGCAGTGCTGCCCCGAAGAGGCACCCTGAGTCCTCTAGTTGGGAACAGCAGCTGTACTTGGGCAGGGCCCTGTGCTCCCGAGCTTTGTCCTCTCTGCTCAGTGAAGCAGAGAGACGAAGCCTTCACCTGCACCTTTAGCATTAGTCTCATCCCTAAACCTTAACTAGGGCAGCTAATAGGCAGCAGGATTGGCTACTGCTTTCCCCTGCTTGGGCCTAACCCAGACCTCAAGGACAGCCACCAGGAGGAAAAGAAAAAGGGTGATGCAGGACAGACGAGCACACGGCCTGAGTCAGCGGATCACTCTGCCTACACCACCCTTTTCTCAAAGTGGAGATTCCTTTTTCTCTTCTAAGTACAAGAACTATAAGCTTCATCTAAAATTATCCAACTGTGGTAAAATAGAACGATAGAATGTGACATGATTTTAGGGTCTCTGTTACACCTGTTATGCATGTGTAGTTCACTCGTGATGACATAATTAACCATGTACAGTAAAACCATTCACTTTCATCACTGCCCGAGCGGCCACAGAGCTTTCCCACGTCCGTCTACCTGACTGATCTTTCTCTACAGAGAATCACGGTAATCTGAGCCTCTGATTGGCGGTTGAGTTGGTTGAGTTTTCAGCGCACAATCGTGTTGTGGGCCACCCTTCCCCACATAGCTCTGGCAGTTCCCTTACCTCCCTCTGACTGTGTCTTCCTTTTCTCTTCTACCCACGCTCTTGCTTGTTCACCTGCCCTCCGGCCCACCCATTCCACAGCCCCAGCTGTGCTGCTTAGACTTGTGGCTGGAAGTTTAGCTGCCCGCTAAGATTCGCTTTCTGCTGGATGATAAGCAAGATGCTGGCCCTGAGTGACCATGCCACAGATCCCTGTGGACAGGAGGCACAGGTCACCCACTTTCTCCAGGTGCCATCTAGCGGTAGAGGCTGTCCCTGCCAGCTTCCTAATGTCCATCTAACAGCCAGCAGTGCCCTGGGCCCTTCCCTCATGGCTCTGGGGAGGGCAAGACAAGAGCTCACAGCTTCTGAATGGAAGTAGTGGCTGAGAGTTGAACACAGCCCAAATTCCTGGCTATGTTTGCACAGCCCCAAATTGCTACCACTGCTTAATGCCACCTACAAAATGAAGGGACTGGACATATGTCTCTATCCTCTCCATGTCTAGCGCTCTGTAATCACACTAGTCACTCCTGATCCTCTTGCAGAACCCTGGGATTAAGTCTAAGCCAACAAAGGTAGAGAAAATTGTTTTTAAAAATTGGTGATAATTTTAAGATTCAAAGAAAAAAGTCTTGCTTTTATATTTTTGTTTGTTCTTTGTTTTTTGTTTTGTTTGTACCTGGGATCGAACTCACAATCTCACACTTTCCAGGCAGGCATTTATGCTGCTGAGCTAAATCTCCAACCAAAAAAAGGTCTTGCTGACCAGCCTGGCAGGTGCTGTCCAGCCTGGGCTATGAGAGCAAAGTCAGGCTTTATCCTCGCATCTATTCCCTCTGGCCCTGCTCACAGAGAATCATCCCATCAGAAGCCACTTCTTTCCAAGCAGCAGGAAGGCAACAATAAATGCAGGGCACACAGACCTGTGTACAAAGGATGCCTATGGGCTTCAGGCCCTGTGACTTAGGCACATGTGTGACCACGAACCACGAAATTGCTCACCCTCATCCTCTTGTCCCCATGACGTTTGAGTGGTGTGCACCCTCCATCTGCACGTCTGCCATTGCTAGTCCAGGGTCTGATGAAATAGCTAGGAGGAGTTTGGTAACCAGGACCCCAGACAGACGGCATCTGCGGACCAGGTTGAAGAGTGAGCCTCGGCCTCAGTCTTTCTCTCCCCTTGGGGATGCTCAGGCTACAGAATGATGTTTAGGTTGCTCAGATCTCTCTCATTCCCTGAAAATGCCAGCCTCCCCCTCTTGACACCCCCCACCTGGTCTGGATGATGTGCTGCAGTCACAGCTCAGTGATTCTCACAGGGGAAGGTGCCCGCAGGATCCCGAGGTCCCTTTCAAAAGGTTTCTTTATAAAATAGCTCAAACTCTTCTCCATGCTTTCACGGCACCTTGATCTCCTGGCCGTCCCAACATAACACTGCGCCCTTCCCCATTGCAGTCACTCACCCAAAGAACAGCTACTCCTCTCGCGCACCCTGCAGCTCCCTGCTGCCTCTTCTCAGCACCCACGCAGCCGGCTCAGGGAGGCAGAGTGGTTTCGCCCGGAAGTCACTCAACCACAGCAAGGGCGCTGAGGTCAAAGCCGCCAACCCCAAGCTGCCAGGTGGCCTTCCCGGAGCCACAGAGCCCTCTCACCAGGCCACGCCAGCTGCCAAGCAGGTAAGTGCCCTGGGGGCCCTGCAGACCCAGGGTGGGAAGGAGCCCCACATCACCACCTCCACAAGTGCATCCCACAGAGTCCGAGGAACAGGATTCAGAACCCATCTCACTGTCAGCTGTAGGGAGAGGAGGACTGGTGTTTGCTTTCTTTAAGATCATTTAATTCCCACTCAGAGCATGGAGTATTAGTGAGAGGACACACTTAGGGCACCTTCAGTAACTGCGGCACATTTCACAGTGACATGACTTACCCCTGTCTACCCAACCTCTAAAACCGCAAGCTGCCAAGGGACCATCTTCCTTCTCTCCTGCATCTTCACTGTGCCTTTGAGCTGTGATTCCTCCTTCATGGTCACAGAAAACAGGACACCGACTTGATGGGACAGGAGTGGGGCCTGCTGTAAAGGCGCCTTAACTTGCAGGTGTTCCGGCCTCTCCTGGTGCTGAACAGCCTCATGAGCGCTAGCACACCCTTTCGACAAGGAGTATTTACCCTCCACAGCTTCAAGGTCCTGATCAAGTCTGCTTCACTTGTAGCCTAAATACCTCTTCATCTCTTCCGGTTTTGCTCATATTAAACACCATGCTAAACTCACGCCTACAATTTAGTCTATTTCCTTTTCAGTTTTTAAGGCAAAAAACTGAACAAAGAACAGGGGCTGGGGGTGTAGCTCAGTGGTAGAGTACTTGCCTAGTTTGCTCCGAACCTTAGGTTTCGTCCACAGAACCACAAAATAAAATGTAAATTTAAAAAGCAAAAGCAAAGGAAACCGGACTGAATGCACTGAGCTAGGTACCTTTTCAGCACCTGCTTTAGTCCTTTTGGTAACTCCATAATAAGGTTGAAATGCCCTTCTCTACTTAAAGGGAACACTGCAGGCCCAGGCAAAAGCCTCCTGCTCCCCGGCACAGCCCTCCCTGCAGAGCAAGGGCAGAGAGACCAAGGACACCGCATGGGTATCCAGAGCCTGTGTGCCCCATGGACTGGAGACCTAACTCCGCCACCATGTGGGCCAAGCTCTGTCCGGACACTCCGCCCCAGGACAGACTGCATTGCCAGTTCTGGTGCCCAAGTCCCCAGGCAGTGCTGTAGGGTGGGGCAGTGTCCACATTCACTGTGTAAGCATAGCCATCACTCAGACTTGCACCATACCCCTCCCTGGGTGCTGGGCTGTGGAGGCTCAGTGGGTCCTATACCTATAGCACCCAGGTACAGTGCAAAAACCAATCTTATATGTTTGCAGTGCATCAGATCACATATGGTTTGGTGTTGAGAACAGGTCTGTGTTATGTAGCAGCCTTCTCAGGAACACTGTAGAAGATAGCAGATAAACTGGGACGGCTGCATTGTTTCCCAAAGGTAGGCCCTGGGCAAGTCCTCAAACTCATCACTCTCATACAAACAAGGAAGTGAGTTACAGCAGCTCTCCAGGGACTCCCATGTAAGTGGGACCACGCAGGCGCAGGGGAAGGGCCTCATCCAGGCCTGGCCCTCAGGCAGCACTTGGAAGCTGCTTGGGTCCTGACCCCTCAGACCCCAGAATCCCTGGCCGTGTGGGTGCCAACAGCCTTAATCTGTTGCTTCCTCACCACTCATCGTCACATCCTCAGCCACTGTCTTGTTCAAGAATGATTTTTCAGTACAAGTTTTCAGAATTGATTGGCTTAGAACTGCAAAAAGTTTAGAGAAAGAACTTTTCGCCCCTGTGAACATGTGTGTTACCCACACATTCCACCAGAGTCACCAAATTACCTCATCTCTGCATTTGCCCAGGGTAATATTGCTTACCTGGTGTATTTTTTATGAAATAAAATAGAAAAACTGCTTAAAGAAAAGTTACAGACATAATTTACTTTTTTCTTCATAAATCTGATTAAAATTCATACATATAATCTCTGCAGGATGTCTTAGAAATCTTCTTGGTAAAGAATCATCATTGTCTTGTCCTCTGTCCATTTCATTTTATTATATTTTAAGCATACTTTAGGGATTCTATTTCCTAGTATCTTAGTTACTTTCTTGTTGCTGGGACACAAGATCCAACACCCACAAGTTAAAGGAGGAAAGGTTTATTTTAGCTCACAGTTTGTAGAGATTTCAGTCCTTAGTCGGCTGGCTCCAAGACAAGGTGAAGTGGCAGAGGAAAACAGTGCATGGCAGGGCAGGCAGAAGGCAGCAGCCATCAAGGGATGCAGACGTGGGTAGTTCTAGGCCATATCCCGCTGACCTTCACCTCCCAGCATCACCTTGCTACAAATCCATCGGTGGGCTAATCCAGTGTCATACATCTGGGATCCAGTCACCTCAAAAAAGCCCTGCCTGTGTGCATGAGACTTGGGGAAGATGCCTAGATAGAAACCATGATGCTTAGTTTTTGTTTCTCTCCTGCTTCTTCATCTGTCTTTCAACATCAGTCATTTTCTTGTAGTTCCATTGACATGACAGTCCCGTTACATTCAGGTCAAGGACTGTACCTACTTGGGCTCATCTGCATGTTGTCATACTCTTCTGGAATGTAAGAAGCCTGCCTGTGGCTTGGAAATTGGCTTCCCTGATGTTCGTGGTTTTCTGGCATCTGGCACTTCTCTCTTCTTTTTTACAGAATGGACCTTCTAGTCAAAGACGGAGATTTAATCCTCAGTACCATAATAACAGGCTAAATACGCCCACCAAGTTGCAGGGCGGTAACGACGCTGACCCTGTGGCAAAGGGCAACACCCGACATGAACACAGAAGACAGCCACACAACAGCTTCCGCCCCAAAAATAAAAGTAGCACCAAAAATCAAGAAGCCCCCTTGGGGACCAAAACCCCCGAGGCCATGGCCCATTCTGAAAAGCCACCACGGCGAAGACAGCAGCACACTTCAGACAACTCAGAGGCTAGGCCTTTCCGGGGCAGCGTTGGCCGAGTCTCACAGTGCAACCTCTGTCCCACAAGAATAGAAGTGTCCCCGGATGCCTCGGTGCTCTCCGTCCCTGCTGTGACCTTGGTGGCCTGAGTGAGGAGAGGAGCAGTACTCGCTCAGTTTCGCTCCCTTTCCGAGGTGCTGACCCAGCTCGCTGCCAAAAGAGAGTCAATCAGAATACACAGACCCCGTGCATTGTGTAATCCTCTCATTACCATTTTTACTAATTACAGTACTCAGCTCTGCTTGCTTCGTAACTTTCATGGCTTTGCTTGATCGTTGGCACTTCCTCTCATCGAGACCGCAGCATTTAGCCAGGCGGTATTCACTATTTGTTAGGAATCCAAGATGTGACTGGAGACCTAGGCTGTAGCTGTGACATCACTCCATGGATGGTCATCCTTAGCGAGTTCATGTGGGAGTAACCCTTTACCCATCAGACAGACGTGGTCTGCTGAACACATGTGCTTTTGTAGAATTTCACATCTGGTGTTTTTCTGGAAAAAAAAAAAAAATATATATATATATACATATATTGCTTTATTTGAACAAAATTAAAATACGCTGCATTTGATACCTGTCTTGCTTCTTTTATTGATGCCTGCCTTCTTACCAAAGGTTCTCTGTAGTGCTTTCAAGACAGCTTGGGCACCTAGAGGTTTCTGTATAGAGGTCTGTGTAGTGCTTCCCTGGAGCACATACCCACCCCGTCAGAAAAATGGGGTCAAGACCTCAGGCACAGCCACCACATGACAGTGGGAAACTTGGGTTCCAAGTGACAGACTTCAATTCCACTTGGCTTACACAGCAGAGAGCATTTTGTGGCTGTGTGGCAGCTGCATCAGTAACCTAGGTCCAGCTCTGGCCTCTTGCTCTCCATGATCCCAGGCTGACACCTTATTCAGAAGGGTACACTCAGCCACTCTCCAGAGTCCTGAGCATCGCTTCCATTGTCCAGGAAGGAGCTGTTCCCTGGAGAGCTTCTGCATAGAACAAGTCTCTCCCAGGTCCCAAGGAGGACTGTACAGACCCAGGCCATACCCATTGGCTAAGGCAAACTTGCCTGACCCCAGGGAGTCAGCCCTGAGTGAGACCAGGCCTCAGAAAGGCTCGAGGCCATCGGTGGCCCCCATACCAAGCACCAGGCATCTGCTGCAACAACAGGCGCCCTTGGGTCTACTGGCCACTTCCCACTGCAGTGCTGCTGCTCGGCTCCTGCTACCCCAGCAGCCCAGGTTCCTTGTCACCTCACTGCAGCTGGCAGCTGAACTCACAGCTAATCTGCATCCATGTCCCTTCGTGCCAAGCGCAGGAAAGTTGCTCTGCCTACAGTGATGAGACTTAACAGGAATCAGAACGACAGTAGGTCACATTCCCAGAAGGAAAAGAGGAAGGAAGGACGGACAGAAGGAAGGAAGGAAAAGGAAAGAGAAGGAAGGAAGAGATGTTCATCCAAATGAGAAAGATGAATGTCGAGGGCTACAGTCTCTGTGCACCCGGCCTGAGATACTGAACTTGTATGGCTGAGGTGGACTCTGCACTTTCGGTGTCATAGGATTTTGCTCACCACTGTAAGAACCGGTCTCAGTGTGACAGCTTTAATGGTGACTGCTATCCTTCTGGCAAACGGACTGCAGGTCTGCACTGTCCTGATTCAGGGAACCCCTTCCGAGGCAGGGGCATCACTCCAGGCCTGGAAAGGTAAAAGCATGCTTGGGCCTGATAGCATTTTGCCTGAATTTTTGCCTTAGACTCAGGATGTGAGCGTTTTCCTAATTTGCATTTTTGAAACCGTAATTGAAATGTTTTAGTGCCAACGCCCGGCCATTCAGATACTCTGTGGCACAGCTCATCTGTTCCTCATGGTGGAACATTTGTTTGACCCTGGAGAGCTGGGTCACACTCTGCCACTCTTCTCAAATGTTTTCAACAAGAAGCCAAGAGCTATGGACACTTTACCTGCTTTGCTTAGTGAGCAAATGCCAAAAGAATGGAGCCCTCCTTTAAACATTTCTCCACGGAGGTTACACTTTCATTCCCGTGATGGTGGCAGCCAGAGTTTCATCAAGACTCCTGGGGAGCCGGCACCTCCTCTGAGCTCCCAGTGACATTCTCAGGCTCTGCCCACCCAGGAACTGCTGCATACACACCATGTCCTGCAATTTGTGCACCCAGCTTCAATGCAGCGAGGCACACACTACGGAATTCACCCTGCATGGAGGCTCACCCTGGGGGAGAAGCTGGCACTGCCTGCCCAGCATGGGCTCGGAGATGAGCAGAACCATTCTATAGCATCTGAAAGGCCTCCCCTTCAACACCCTGCAATTCACTCATCAAATGAGGTGAACGAATATTCCCCACACAGCAGTTTCTTCATCAGAGTAAAGGGCTTCAGGTCTCTGACTCTCAGGAAGCCTAGGTCTGAGTCTCGGCTTGGATACAGTGATGCAAAGCGGGCACCGAGGATCTGCATGGTTCTCTTCCTGGGCCACTTGAGGGGCGGAGCAAGGCTGCCCGACGCACATAGCGTTTAGCGTCCACCCTCTCCAGCCTGTGATAACAGACAGCTACCTGCATTGCTCGCAGAGCGCCCTCACGTGGCCGGCAAGAGCATCAGCAGGCGCCTCTTCCAAACCTGCTTCACAGGACTCTGGAAAACACCTTCCCAGATAGCAAAGACAAAGCAGGTCCCTTGGTCCTAGAATGCTTAAACAACTAGAAAACAGGAGAAGACAAAAAATTCTGTAAGTTAATAGATCTCTTCCACTAAAGTAGTGAGCCACCTAAATTGTTGTAATTTTATGAGTTGCAAGGCCCCGGTGGTTCTCTTGTCTCCAAGCTAAGAGCGGGAAGCATGTCTACAGCCATACCACCCTGAACGCGTCCGATCTCGTCTGATCTCAGAAGCTAAGAAAGGTCGGGCCTGATTAGTACTTGGATGGGAGAATGGGAAGCATGGTGTTCAGAGTCCTCTTTCCCATTACTGGGACAGCTTTCATCCCTTTGCTGCTGCTAACAAGCCTCTATGAATCCTAAGGATGTTCCCACCCGCTGAGTTTCCAGAAATAGTCCCCATTCTGAGGTGGGCCAGCAGCACCTGCCTCCTCTCATGTAGTACAGCACCTGCCTCGACCCCACCTGCCTCCCCCAGGTGCTCTTACATGAGCTCGGTGTTCCCAGGCACACTGTGGGAACGCTTCACCATCCCAAGGTTCCAAAGTGCAGGCTCCACAGTAAAGAAACCCTATAGCAATGTGCTTCTCTGAAAATGTATGTGGATTTCTGGCCAAAAGCAGACAAATGACTAAAAGAACCATGACTGTGACAGAGAACTTCTTTAGTATACAGTGCTAAAAGCACTTACTCAAAAATTACCTTATATTTAACGAAGCACACTTCAGTTTGAATTAGACTTAAGTATTCCTAGTCTCCCAAGAGAACACATGTGTTCTGAAACTCCACCCTTTTGCACCTCACCCATCACTGCAGTGCACAGTAAGCACTTGGCAAACGCAGATAGGAAGAAAAATAAGAGATGGGACACCCTAGGAAGTGCTGAAGTGTGAGTGGCTTCTGCAAAATAATCCAAGAAAGCAATTCCAGAGAAGACAGGAAGAGAACAAAGCGGCTGAGGTCCTGACCTGCAGCCACCTGCCAGATTCAAGCCCAGACTGCACCACCTGCGGGCAGCGCTGGAAACATCAACTTGCTTTGGCTTCTCCTTGCACAAAAGGGAGCCATACTCACAGGCCACGAAGGGTGGTTACGAGGATGCTATGCAGGAGTATTTGCAAAGCACTGGAACAGCGTCTGACATATTCTACAAAAGCCGTGCAAGAGCCAGGAACCTCACACTAATGGGAGGGGAAGCTTTGCAAGTTCATCTGGGGAAGCCAGATGTGGAGCCATAATTGGTAATGGAGGGGTCAGCACTAAGGGATGACAACAATGAGGAACAGATGAGCCTCCAGAACTAGAGGAGTCACAGCTGTGGTGAGGCAAAGCCCCCAAGCTGAGCTCTGGGCCTTCCACCCCACAGAGCAGGGAGCTGCCTGGCAGGCCTGCAGGCAGCGGTGGCTTCGCTCTAGAGGCTCCACCAGTGGAGTGTGGGCTGCGAGGGCATTGCACTGCTGAATGAGTCAACAGCCTCTTCTATAAGCAGGCAAGCCCTGCTCTCCCTGGGCCATCCATGGGAATGACCCCTCAGGGCTGCCCAAGGACCACCTGCTGGAGAAAGCTGGAGACACTTCACCTTAGATGCCTGTGTATGACCACAGCCAGACAGAGGCTCGGCCCCGCCACTCACAGGACTTGGCAACTTTCTGGTAGAGGGAGACTGGGCGCAAAGGAGGGGACAAACATGCCCCAGTTTACCTCGACATACTCAGATGTCATCTGAAAGCATTCTTTGTCACTGTCCCTGAAGCCCTCTCTGCTCACCAAGTCCGACTTTCCCTTTGGAGTCTAACCACACAGACCAAGTGCAGATGAAGCCGGTAAAATGTCACCCTTCTTTCCTTGCAGGGGAATCTGCTCCCTGCAGCTGCCAAGGGCACATCAGAATGCTCAGCAACTCAGGCTTCTCTGAGCAGTGACTCAAGTAAAGCTGTCAGTGGATTCCTTCTCTAAAACTCAGGGCACAGCTGGATAATATCCATCCCCAACCAATCCAGTGCTGCACTTGCTAAGGAGGCAACAGGCAGGTGATTCAAGGGGCAGCCACCCTGCTACCTGCCCCTCTGAGACCAGAAGCAACAGCTCCGTTGTTGTGGGACCTGGTGACACCACGCTCCAAATTATTTTATCAACTATGCATCTTATTGTCAATTTAGTAGCAATCAACTAATCCACAACCAATATTGCTCTTAAAAGATATATGTATGACACAAAATATTCTTATAGGGTACTTATAAATTAGGGTTGCCAGATTTCCTTTAAATTCTGTTTCCATGCATTTGTGGTACAGTGACTTCCTAGGGCTTGATCCATAGGCCAAGTACATCTTGGTCATTCTTACTGCCCCCGGCCCCTGCGGGCTCTGCAGACTTGCTCGTCTGATTTCCTACCATGGCTCTCATTGTGTCTGTAACAAGCCGGGTACCTGTGAGAGTTGTTACTTGTGGTGGATTCTTTGTTCTTCTGATGGCAGAAACCTTAAAGGTCAGAAATCAGTTTCTGCACTCCCTAAAGACCTCTGCCAAGTAATTGTTCTAATATAACCCTGGGGTGTGTGTCCCGGAGTCACTCAAGGCGGTGCCGCAGGGATGGTTCCATTCAGTGGAAGCCAGAAAGAAGCAGTGCTTTGGTATCTGCCATTAGCAAGCAAACTCCTTGGTGTTCCTGTTTCCTGCTCTGTGTTCTCTTGTGGAGCAAATCACCAGACTACAGAGCCTCAGTGCCGTGATCACATGGCCACAACACCACTGAACCCCACTTTTATGAGCTCTAAGAACAGAGGAAGATTTTTTTCACTACAATGTTATTCTGAAGCCAAAATACATAAAGTTTATAAACTATAATACAGCAACCTGTCAGGAAGCAAAGTCTTCAGCAGCTCACTCTTCTGGCCTTTGGCTCTCAGTGACACAGCTAAAGTTTCATCAGGGCCAGTGGGCTCAGTATACACCCTCCAGAATAGCACCGGCTGATTTCTGAAAATAGTCCACTTACAGTTCAGAGCTTCTGTGTCTTCCATGAAACTACTCGTCTTTTTTTTTTTTTTTTTCTTTTTGAGACAGGGTTTGCATGTACCCATGCTGGCCTGAACACCCAGCTGTCCTCCTGTCTCACCCTTCCAATTGTGCAGCCACAGGCGTGTGTGCCACCACACCCAGCTCAAATCCCCACTTAGAAAGCTTTTCTTCTTTATCCAGAAGAGCAGTGGCCTAAAATCAGGTCCTCCCTCTCATTGTCTGCAGTCTGCTAACAGAATGAGGGTTCTAGGGTAAAAGATGCAAGCAAAACAAAATACTTAGTCTCATGAGTTTAAGTTACCCCCATGCAGCCCGGAGCACCCAGAACCTGCCAGTGACTCCAGACCTAGGGGGCTGCTGGTGCCCTGACCACCCATGGTGTCTCCACATGGCCTTGCAGGGCTAACTGCTCTCCGTGGATCACCCTGAACTGCCTGCAGCACAGGGATGGAGTCACCCGGACCCGGCCTCCTCCCAGGTAAGTTTCCCGGGTGTGAAACGCACACTGTGTGCCGCACCACAAAGGGCTCCTCTCTGAGTCAGCACCTTGCCGACCCAGGCCAGTCACACTAAGGATGGGCAGAAGCGCAGTTCCAGAAACTTGCTGTGCTTGAATTTTCAGGAGCCTGGGTTCTCCAGGACAGTATTTCTAAAAGGTGACTGAACACATATTCCGTTCCCAGGAGAATGTGCTAACAGACCATCAATTCAACAATTGCTTTTAAACCCAAAGAAGCCATCTGTGAGGACACTGCCAGCAGAGGGACAGTTGCCCAACACGGGCTTCGTTATTTTGTATATTATCTCAACAAGAAAGCAGTTTTGCCAGCAGAAATAGGAAACTCTACGTAAATTAACAAGCCTTCAAACTCTAAAAGGCTCTGAGCTTAAATAAATACAGCCACAGAAAATGTTGCTTTTTATAGAAAAGTTTTTCTTTATTTTGCAAGAAGTCATGTTTTGCGTATATTTTTTCTTTTGAGGCAATACAAGCACAACGCTAAGCATTGAGTGGAAAGGACCCTGCTTTAGGAACTCTGTGATCCAGTTAGAAAATATAGCACATAAGAGCAAACACACACAATGGAACAACCATGAAAAAATAGAATAATCCAAATTGTTTAAAAATATTCAAGTTATATGGAAATTGTATGCATAAAAATCATATAATCAGAATGGCTCTTCTGCGGTCACTTCTAAAAACCAAACACTAACCTTAGTTAAAAAGTTAAACATATTTTAACTTTTTTCCAAGTGTGTTCCAAATTTCACTATTCGAAACTTTTCCGATTACAATTTGGAGTGTGAACACTTGGTTCCAGGCCAAGCTACGTCACTCTCAGAGCGGGCACATGTGCAGGTGTGCATCACTGTTCGAGAAGTGTCGCAGCCTCCAGGCCACTTCTGCCCTCTGGGCCACAGGTGGTGCCGGCCGGGCCCCTGCCCCACACCTGGCCCCCAACAAGCTGCTGCGCAGCTCCCTCACCACCAACAAACACGTAAAGAAAGCTCAAAACGTGACCACAGGGCATCCAGCTGCCGCAGGTAAGGATCCTTTCTAAACTGGAAAACCAACAAAACGGCCCATGGGGCCTCTCTGTCCCACTTCCCTGGGTCACCTCCCACCCTCGCTGGGGACACTGAGCGATGGGCCAAGGCCAAGTGTCCACTCTGTGTCTTCACCCATCTTGCCCAGTGGCCCGGCCACTGTCGCTCTCAGGCTGCACCTCCGAAGTGCCAGCAGCTCCAGGGGGTGGCAGGGTGGGCGCAGCGCGCAGCGGGGTCCTCCTCAGCTTTATCACACGGTGGGGCGCAGCCTTCTTGTCCACAGGGGGAGGTGGTTGGACCTGTACAGGCGGAGAGGGCATAGCCCTGTTTTCAGGGCTCCGGGCCCCACGAGAAGACTGGGGTCGCTCCGCTGTCTCCACGCCCACTAGGGATGCAGGACTCCAGGCTACCTGGCCGTGACCACTGCTCCGAGGCCGCCTCACCGTCGGTGTCACTGCAGTGGCACCCTGGCCAGCACTGGCCGGAGCCAGGCCAAGGGCAGCGGAGTTGCGCACGGTGATGCGGGTGCTGGTAGAGGGGCCTGAGGAGCGCACCCGCGTGGGGCCCGGCCTGCCACACACGCCTGCATTCTGCTCTGCGCCTTGTATCTCCAGGCGCCTGCAAGGAGAAAAGTGGGGCTTTTTAAAAGCAATTCCAATAAAAATGTCTCCAAACTGCACCTTTGAGGTCACCACCAAAAATGAGTGCGAGGGTCTCAGGGACCAACCTCACCTCTCACTCTCAAGATCAATACATAGGTCCCCAAATCCACCCCAGAGCCTCGGCCTGGTGATAACCGGCACTGCTCAGTCACACACACCCTCAGCCCAGTCCTCAAGCTCCACCCAGAATAGCCAAGTATTGCTCTGCTCCCTTCTGACAGGACCCAGGCTAACCAAAGCCCGCAGCAGTTCCTCCCGCCACCCAGGCCTGAGTGGGGAGAACGGTGGGGAGCGGCTGCCTGCCACTGGGACAGAGCCTCACTCCCAGTGCATGCAGGACTTTGCAGTGCCCAGATCTACCATGTCCCCCATACGTGGGCAGCCACTTGTGGCACTGGCAAAACAGCCACCCCGGCCACAGCCTGCACCACCTGCCCACCCCTCGCCAAATCACAGCCAGGTTCCCCCAGACCTCTTGCGGAGCGGGGTGGCATGGCGTGCGCTCCCCAACAGCGGCCGCTGCTCTAGAGTCCAGCACTCGACCAGCTCATGGGGCACCCGCCAGTAGCTGACACCTGTGGAGGAGAGGACCTGCGCTGGTGACACTAGGCCCCTGCCGTGCAGCGACTCGGCTGCCAGTGAGCCCCAGGACATGGCTGGATGCGCTGGTCTGGAACCCACTCTGTCACTCACCAAAGTGACCTCGGTAAGTCACTTATCTGGACCTTATTCTTCACATCCTCTTGAAAAGGGTGGTGGCACTAGTGTGCACCAATGAGGACCAGGATGACAGCCGCATTTATTGTGTGATGGCACACTCGGACGGTCAGTGCTATGACTGGCAGCTGTGTCCACACTGAAGCAGGGGCCTGTGCCTGCCCTGTCCCCTCCACAGCAGCAACCAGAGCAAACAGGAGACATCCCGACGCCATCGGGACAAACTCAAGCCACCGTGCTCACTGAGGTCCCCACCAACCACTGCCTTTTGCTCCAGTGAGAACAATGCTGGTGCCATGAGCCTGAGAACCAGCATGCTAAGGAAAGGAGCCAGGCCCGAGAGGTGACTCCACCGGGCCAGGAAGCAGCCTGATTCTGGGGTCTGCATGAGGCTGCAGGGTGGGGTGACGAGGCAGGGGAAGGACTGAGCACTTAGGGTCACCTGGCAGGACCTGGCTGGCAGTGGCCGCTCACCCATAGTCAGCATCACCAACATGGACACTGTCAGCCAGTTAACTGTGTTACAGATGTTTTGCTTCAATCTTTAAAAACACTTAAAAATCATACATAGACACAAAAATGCTCAAAGAATAAAAACTGTTTAGCATTAAAGAAGCATGACCTCAAGTCACAAGTCCTGGGAGAGGTGCTGTTTGCTTTTATCAGCGCAGCTCTGGTAATAACCAACTTGGCACTTGGCACAGGGCAGGAGAGGAGGTATTCCTGCCCCAGGCTCATGCTGCCTGGCAGGACCACTCAGCTGATGCCCTCAGCTGACGGCACCTGCATGGGCACCCATGTGACTCCAGCTCCCTCCCCAGAGCGCCCTCGTCTTCCCCAGGCTAAACTGGCTGTTTAGATAACGTCCCCACGGAGCCGCTGCTTGCTCATCAGAGGGGGCGCCCGCACCTTCCCAGGGGGAACCCACCGCTCCCCAAAATCAAAGGTCCATGCCCCACCTCTTCCTTCCCATGCGTCAAAGGCATCCATCATCTTCTTCAGCTCTGCCACGGAGTAATAGCTCCAGATGTACTGAATATTATCCCCTGCCTCTCTAGAAAAATCATAGTCACAAAAAGGTGGCTTGTGGGTACGAACGTGGGAGGCCCTGGAGAGCTCGACACTGAAGGGGAACTGGGCTTGGGGTTGTCGTTCTGTAGCCTTCAGCATGTGTGCACACGCACAGATATACACATGTGTACAAAGACCACACCACAGGCTCACCTGCATCTCATCTCTCACCATAGTAAAATATTTCTTAATTTCCCCACATAGAACACAGATAAATAACACACTTCTTTTGAGGGAGGGGTTATGACAGGGTCTCACTATGTAGTGCAGGCTGGCCTGGAACTCGTGGTGCTCCGCCCACCTGAGCCTTCCGAGTGGTGGGGTCACAAATATGTGTCACCACACCTGGCAAATCAACGCATTTCTAAAATCAAATTTTTAAAAAATCTGCTGATTATAGTAGTTAGGAAGGAGTCAGCTCTGACTGAAACTCTTCTAGTGTCTCGCCAGGCCCAACTGTAGCACAGAGAAGCACCTTGCTTAAAAAGAACAGCAAGAGACACCTCCACATAGTCAGGAGTCAGGCGCTAATTGTGAGCACACATTTGCTACAGATGACGGGGGTCCCAGAAAACATGCTGAGCTGGTGCACCAAGAGGCTACAACATACCAGGTCGTGGTACCAGCCATACAGAGGAGGACTCGGGGTCCCCAGGGTGCTGACTGCCAGGTGGGGCACCCTGAGATCACAAGCTTCTAATATACCCTAGTGACTCCCAGCGACACCCCAGCTGGTGCCCCAGTGGGGCACAAAGGGGACAGCAGGACACTTGGAGGGGAGGCACAGTCGGAGAGCCCACATGCAGCCTGGGGGCTAACAGCCTACAGACACAAGACAGCTTTCCGCCAACTTCCAGCCTATACCGCTTTCCTGCTTACCTATTCAGTGAGCACTACTTTGTTTCAATGAGGTACTAAAACTAGCTTTAAAAAGGAGGTCTGGTCACTTCTATGTGTTTTGCAAGTGGCCCAAGACTATTCCTCTGTTTCCACATGCCTGGCCACTTGGAGGCCAGCCATGTACACTCGGGACAGAGGCTGGGCCTGGATCTCCTCCCTCCTCCCTGCAGGCTGCCCCCACCTCCGGAAGATGCTCTTGCTGCGCATCCTGCCACCCAGCTGCCGCTCCAGGGCATCCTTGCCGTCAGCGCGCGTGGCATATACCCCGATGATCTTGCTCTCACAGCTGGTACCCGACGTGCTGAGGTAGTGCAGGACCCAGACGGTGGGCTCGCTGCAGACCAGGCCATAGGAGCCGCAGAAGTCCGCTAAGGCCTGAAGCAAAAGACATGTCACGCTGGGATTGAGTCGGGGGTGAAAAAAACTAAGCTGCTCTATGTCTCTAATGGAAAGCCGAGGGGAGATGGCCATAAGGGAGATAAAAAGACATGCATTCAGCCCAGTCTTCAGACACGGCTGCGGTGAGTCACCTGGTGGGCAGGCATAAGAGCAGCACCCCACGCCCAATGCCTTTCCAAGCAGAAAAGCTTTTGCCACCTGGAAATTCAATTTTTTATCTCCTTTTTCAGCCTACCAGTGTCATGTTCAATTTTACACTCTATAAAACCTAATCTTTACAACATTTCTCCATTAATCACATTTCTTCCTTTTATTGCTCATATAAGATCTTCTCTTTCATTTTTGGACTATTTTCCTAAAAATTCCTCATCTGCCTCAAACTTCCTTTCACCTTCTGTTGCCCAACCCTATGGTGATCCTGATTTTTCTGGTACCAGGAATTGAACTCATGACCTTGAGTTTGCCAGGCAGGCATTGTGCCACTGCTGATGGCCCTGAGGGTTAACTCTGTTTCCAGTCCCGGGGAAGCCAGGCGGCCAGGCACCGTCCAAGTATGCCTGGTGGTCTCCCCACGGCTTACTCTGTCGCTGGAATGCTGAGCACCTGCTGTGTGCTGGGTACTGTGTGGGGTCAGGAGAGAGGCTGTCTCCCAGGCTTTAGTCCTGCCCCGCTGCACTCTCAAGTGTGGGGACAGAGGTGGATGCCAGCTCAGGTCCGGTGCTTGCTGACAGAACAGGGCAGTGCTCTCCCCTCCCATGAACACACGCTACACGTCCACTGGATGCTGCTGTCCTGCTCTGCAGGAATGCTGAACCCCCTGCACACATGACAGGGTCCCCGGCTACACTGTCACCTGCCAGCAGAAAAGCATAAGGTGCCACACCCCCTGACAAGCGAGCAGTCCTGCTCAGTGCCGTGTGACACCCACACCAACACAGCATGCTCCGTACTGCACAATGACTGGGACCCAGCACAGCGAGCCAGGGCTCGGAGCAGGAGCAGAGCTGCCCTGCTGCCTCCACCTGGCACTCACATGTGCAGATCTGGCCAGAGCACTTCGAGCCCCAGCCCTGACCAGGAATCTCAGGACCCAAGCCAACCTCTACTCACAGAGAGCTCCTGACCCCCAGTACCTGGCACCTGCTTCCTGCACGCTAGCCTCTGAATCAAGGCTGCAAATCCACTGTCCGCCATGAGCAACTACCCAGGGAAGAACTTTCCTTAGCCAAAGGTGCTAATTAATAGCCAGTACCACATGCATCAGTAAGACACATCTTACACATTTCCTCAGTAACACAGAAAGATATTTAAAGTGATTTAAAGTAGAAATGTTTTTAAAAAGATTTACTTGTCTCAAAATGAATCAGTCAAAACTAAACTTTTTAAAATAAACTTCAGGCTGAGTGTAGTGCTGCACACCTGTAATCCAGCACTTGGGAGGCTGAGGCAGGAGGATCACTGCAAGTTTGAGACCAGCCTGAGCTACAAGGTGAGCTCAAGACCAGCCTGAACTGCATAGCAAGACCCTGTCTCAAAGAGACAAAAATAAATAAAATGAATTGCTAATCTCTTAACTTTGAAACAAGCTACTATACTCACTAAATCAGAGATTTTATTACATAGCATGACCATTCTTTTATTAACAAACATTACCATGATACCTTCATATGCTAGAGTATTTTTATTAATTGGAATAGAAATTCAAGAGCAAAATAGTTCTATTTTCAAAAGCCAACAAATAGTGTTAAATATTCACTGCGAATTATAATCTGGTAAAACTTTTTCTTCCTGCAGTACCAGGACCTGAACCCACAGCCTTCACGCTGAGCTCTGTCCCAGACCTTTTTATTCTGTATCTGACATGGGCTCTAAGTAAGTCAATAAAATTGCTCGGGCTGGCCTTGAGCTTGGGATCTTTCTACCTAAACCGCTCACAGTGCTGGGGCTGCACATGTATAAAACCTGATAAACCACTGAACAGCAACACAATATACTCTTCTATAGTTAGGGTTTGACCTTAAAAATAGTATGAGTAATTAAGAAACATATTTTCAAAAATTAATAAAACCATCCCACATTTGGTTTATGTGCTAACACAGGCTATGCAAAACAATACATATCGCTTTGAGCAAAATAAATAAATATGTATGTTAAAACTTAAGAAAACGTCAAGACCTTTTTAAGTTCTATATTTGACCTTAAAGAATACGTCTCCATCTCAGTGGCCAAGTGGTCGGACAGGCTGTCAGGATAGGGGATGCCGAAGTAATCCGCCTCCTCCTGCAGGGCGATGCGGGTCTGCTCATCCTCGGGAATGCGAAGCTCCCCGTGGAGATAATCCAGAAGGTATTGAAACAGGTGTCCATCACGCTCAATGACACATGCCCCTGGAAAACACAGCCTTGTGATGGTCAGCAACGTGTCAGCGAGGCAGAGTCTGCCCAGCTTCCTCTGGAACCCCAAACTCTGCTCTGGCACAAGAAGGGGACCCTGCCTGTCACCCAGTCAGCACCTGCCAGGGATGCTCCTGCCGCACAGGAGGACACCTGCTCCACTCTGCATAGAAGCTGTGCTCCCTGCCAGCACACAGAAAGGGTGGCTCCACACTCAACCCAGAACCCTGGACACAACCTGTGTCCCCACCTATGGTGGTCACTGCCACCACCAAGGGACCTCAATGGCTGGCAGGAAGGCACTGGGCCAGCCCAGGGCAGAGGATGGCTACATATGAATCTAAGGAGGGTGCCACTATGCTCTGGTTCCATGCAGCCACAGGATGAGCTAGAGGCAGGCAGGTGCCTGCGGCTTGGCACCTTGGCTTGGCCCAGGGAGCGGGAGAACTGCACTATGAAATAAGCAAATGCCATGTGGGCCCCGTCTTGGCGGCAACTTTTTCTAGACAACTCAGCAGAACGGGGAAACCTCCTGGATGGGGCTTCTCCCAAACTCCTCCCATAAGCCTGGGAAAGCAGCAGCAGGAGGTAAACCGGGGAGATAAGCAGGGAGAAAATGAAGCTCAGAGCCTGCACTGCTGCTGTGCCCACAGCCTCCAGCCTGGCTGACCCCCAAGCCCAGCCCACCTCCAACCCAGGCCTTGAGCAGCCCTGCAGCTGGAGACAGGGCTGGACCACAGCGATGGGTTCCCACAACCAGCAGGAAGCCCCATGAACCTCACTCAGCCCCAAGCCCTATCCTTTTGTTTTCTCAGTACGGAAGACAGGACCAAGGGCTTTTTCTCTAAGCTACGTCCCCAGCCCTATTTTAATTTTTCATTTTTGACACAGGGTCTCACTAAGTTGCCTGTATTAGGCTAGAACTTGCAATCCTCCTGCCTCAGCTTCCCAGAGTGCTAGGATTATAGGCCAGCTGTTATGGTTGATATACTGTGTTAACTTGAGAAGTTTAGATGTTTAACTGAGACTGAGCAGGGGGCCAGGGTCTTTACTTTGTAAATATCCTCATCCAGTGCAAAGAAGGGCAAGAATTTGTGAGTGCTGCACCCACAGGGTGGGTGCGCAGCAAGGGTGGAGGGTACTATATAAGGGAGGAGAAGAGGCTTGTTCTCCTCTTGCTGGCTACTGCCTTGAAGTGTTGCCCCTGTGCCAGGCCACCCTGCCTTGGAGCTAGCTGATTATGGGCTGAAACCTCCCCAGACAGCTATAAATTTTCCTTCCTTCATTTTGGGGGCAGGTGTTTTGTCCAGGCAAGGAAAAAGAAACCAAGACACCTGTGCTCCCAACCTGGCCCCAGCCTTACATTTTAGTTTTTCTAAAACTCTGGTTCAGATAGCTGTCAACATCACTACACTGCCTGTCTCTCAGCCACACACCTCAGCACAATGGACCACGCAGCTGGGCTAAGTGGTAGGAGCAACCCACATCCACAGTGACCCCGTCAGCATCAGAGCAGCTGCTCTCCCCTGACAGGTGCCTCGAAGGGCTGGAGAACAGCCACTAGGCTGTTGCCCTGTACACACAAGCACGGGTTAATTCCCACAGCAGGGCCTCCAGCACTAGCCGACTCTCCCTGGCCACTGTGCACAGCAGTGGCACAGAGCCGAATTCAGTTTCTCCGCACACCTAATGACACTCCACACAGCCCAAATGACCTCAGCGGCCAGCGGACTACCACGAACCAGAGAACCTGACTAGAACAGACTCTCAGTGGGATTCCAGCGGGCACTTACCTGACTCATCTGTCTTCAGGGGAAAGCGGCCGCTGAACATTGACGCCAGCATAGAGCCCTTGAAGCGGCACAGGGACTGGCGCCGGGCAGCGAACATTCGGCCACCCACGTTGAGGCGCAGGACCTCGAGCACTTTTAGCTCTGCCATCGGGCTTGCAGCTGGGCTCCCCTGCGAGGGCAAAGGGACAGGGCTTGGTAAACCCCTCGGGCAGGGACTGAGTGACAATCTGAGAGCAGGCCGAGCACCAGGCTCCGGACACTGTCTGTGCCCTACCCGCTCTGCACTGCGGCCGTACCCAGAGTAAGGTCTGCACAGTGCTGGGGACCGTCCAGGCCAGGGTAGTCCTGGGTGTTGGCCTGAGGACCCGGGCTGCCCCCGCCCCTCCTCCATTCCTTATCTGGAAGACAGTGTCCCAGGGGCTGGGGGGACAAACAGCAGTGAGCAGGAAGCCCAAGCAACGCCTGGGCCGCTTGGCCGCGGCCCGCCATGCGGACTCAGGACAGAGAAGGGGGACTGCCCACAGGGGCCATGATCACACAGCCGGTGACCGACTGGCGCTCATCCGGCCGGGCCACGAGATGGCCGGACCGAGCCAGTAGGGCCTGCCCGGGAGGAGGCTGCAGCGGGAAAGGGAGTGCCCGGCCGGCGCGGGCCGCTCACCGCGCCCTCTCCGTGGGTTCGGCTCGCGGGGCCGCAGCACGGCTCTCAGCGCAGCCAGCAGCGGGGACGCCATGTGAGGGCGCCGTGTGCGGTCCCTGGCTGCGCCCGAAGGGAGCCGGGTGGCGGGACTGAGCGGCTGGGAGGAGGCCGCTGCGGGATGCCCGTGACTCCTGCAACTCCGCCACCGCGCCGCCGCGACCCCTCCGTCACCTGTGCCCCAGTCGGCCCGGGGCTGGAGGACGCCAGACCAAGCACCGCACCCAACCCGCGGCCCGGTCTCTCGGTCGACGCGGACGGTACGGCGCCCCACGCGGTTCGGCGGGGGATAGGAGGGGAGAGGAGGCGGGAAGCCGAGTGCGGAGGGGAGGGGAGAGGAGGCGGGAGGGGAGAGGCCCGACCTGCACTCCCACGCTGACGCTGCCCAGAGGCTTCAGCGACCCACCGCTTCCCGCCTGCGCTGCGGTCCGGTCCTGCGGCGAGCGCGTCCTCCCTCCTCACAGCCAGGCAGGCTGAGCCGGGGAGAACCCCGGCCCTGCTGTGCACCCGAGTCGCGCCGAGGCCTTCGCGGAGCCGCGCGGTTTCCAGCAGCGCGCAGAAGGCACAGGCGCGAGTGCAGCTTCCGGACCCGTGACCCCTGACCTGTGACCCAGGACGCGGTGCTGCGGGGGAAGGCGGAGGCGCGCGCTCGGCGGCCTGCACGGACACCCGCGGACACTCCTCGCGACTGGTTGCTTTGGCTGCGGGGAACCTGCCGACCCCAAGGCCGCCACCCCGAATGGCGACGGGGACATTTGCAGTGAGCGCTGGCGACGCGCAGCTGCTTTGAGAGCGGAGCAGGCTCGGAGCAGAGCAGAGGTTGGAGGCCTGCGGCGCGGGAGAGGCGGCCGGTCTGAAGGCCGCGCGGCCCTGCTGAAGGTTTCAGCCTCCTGCCGGCGCATATCAGAAAAGCAAGCAGCTAGACCAGTTTACACCGCCGCAGTGAGAAGGGAGGGGAGAAGCCTGCGATGGAAGCGCCCAGGGAGAAGGGCCTAACTCCCGCGTGGTCAATGGTAAAGCTGCGGAGAGAAGTGGTTGGGAGATGCGAGCCAGAGATTTAGGAGCCGGAAACCACCCGTGGGTTGCTGAAGAGGGACTGATACAGCCTCCTGCAGCAGGCAGGGCCGAAGCGCACGTACAAGAGAGCCCTTGGAGAAACACTGGAGGTGAAGAGGAGCAGAAAGGGAGCCAGGAGAGACTTAGTGCCTGCGGACACCGGCAGAGGAGGGATAGGAAAAGCACACAGGTCTGAAAACTGCAATGAAGCCAGGAGTGACCCCACCCCATCGGAAGAGTCCACATGTCTGGCAGTGGGCACACAGCATGGGACTGGGGGGGGTGGGGGACGACAGGGAACTCAACTTGTTGCAAGTGGGCAGAGGAAAGGAGACAGAGACGTGCGGGGTCATCTTTGGCTCCTGTAGGTGGATTATGGTAAGTTTACTCAACAGGATTTTATGAGAGTAGAAAACACTTGGAGGGAAAAATCAGAGCCATTATTTTGGGCCAGTAAGATTCAACTGATTAAGGGAGACCCCCACAGAGAAAAAATAGCCATTGGACAAATGTGGAGCTCAGGAGCAAGTGGGCTCTGGGATGAAGGTATAGATGCATGCAGAAGCCAAGCGTTTGAAGTGGAAGCTGAATAGAAGCACCTGCAGAAGAGGCAGGCAAACAAGAAGAGATGAGACAGGCTGAGCCCAGACTTAATGTCACTTGCAAGGTGGAATCAAGAGGAAGCGAGCTGGAGTGCAAGAGTCACAAGTATCGAATGTCAGAATCTGCTGGACTTGGCAACATGGGAGTTCTGGTGACCTCGACAAGAGAAGTTTCAATGTTGTCTTGAGTCACCTTTCCATTGCTTTGATAAAATATATGAAACAAAGAACTCATAAGAAGGAAAGATTTCTTTTGGCTCACAGTTTCAGAGACTTCAGTCCATGGTTATTTGACCCTTCTCTTTGGGTCTGCAGTGAAGGGGAGTTTCATGGCATACTGCACAGATGGAGCACAAATGCTCACTGTCCAGACACAGGGGGCTTCAGGAGCCACTTTAAAGATAAATGGAAGCAGTTGTAGCCATAATAGCAAAATAGAACTTAAAGACAATGCATTAAATGAAACAGAGTTATGTTTTAATGTCACAATTCATGCTGAACATACAATGGTTATGAATTCTATTCAATAATTCAGCAACAGATATTTCTTTCATTTTTCAGAACAAAATAGAGAATAATGGTTAATGTGCATAAAAGAATGGTAAGAGAATAATAATGGTTAATGTGCTTAAAAGAATGGTCAAAATGTTACTCAGGGTTCAAGTCATACAAAGAGATTCTCTTACAAAATGTAAGCAAAAGGTCAAAACTTCATTTAGATGTCATATTACCCCAGGAAGAATGGCCATCATCCAAAACAAAATCAAATAGCTGCAGGCAAGGATGTGGAGGAAAAGAAACTCTTCTGCACTTTGGGTGGAATGTACACTAATACAAACACTATGGAAATCAATGTGGAAATTCCTCAAAGAACTAAAAGTATCAATTCCATTTAATGTAGCTATTCCCTGCCTGGGTATCATCTCAGATGACTTAAAGTCATATTACAGGAATACATGGGTACTGTGTTTACAGCAGCACAATTCACAATAGCTAGATCTTGGAAACAGTATATATGACTATCAACAGATGACTGGATAAAGAAGATGTATTTATGCACAATGGAGTACTACTCAGCAACAAACAAAGCAAAAGCTATAGGACATGCAAAGAAGCTTGATAGAAACACTAATGCTAGAAGATATACACATTAATCATAGAAAATAACAAAATGTTTCATAATGAAATTTGTCAAGTGTACAAACTTCCCATGAGAAAAAGTTGAAAGCACCCTGAAAGATACAAAATGGAATTAAATAATGAAAGACATTCTTCAAAACTCATGGAGACCACCTGGATGACTCTCCTTAAAAGAAGAGCAATTGTCTCAATTTTGGCTAAACCTGGCCCTATCTCTCTGTGTACTGATATATACAGAGCTGCCTAGGACTTTTCCTTATTCCTTCAACTGCTTTAAGCAATGCAAATCGGTCTAGCCTAAGTACTGATGTGTGGTCTTTGAAGCAAGGTGACAGGACAGTGTCTCCCTGCCCCCGTGTGAGCTGGGTGGATGGGAAGGAGAGCCATGCTCCATGCTGTCAGCTGGGTTCAAGCCTAGGGATAAGAGGCTATGACTTCCCAGGGCATAAAAAATTACACATCAGAGCTAAAGCACTGACCCCAAAACATTAGATACTGCCTCAAATTGTGTTATGCATATTACTCCTTCATACCCTTCTCTTTGCATATTGCAGAAGTGAGTGAAGGCCTCTTACCTATCCCAGCTCACAGCCACTCCTTTCTTCATGAATGAATAAAACCTGGATTCTGCCCTGGATCAATACCTTTGTTCTGGTTAACCATCATACTAGCTGGGTTGAGGACTCCCTTGACTCCCCACAACTGTAGATATTCCTTAGTGTCTTTATTCTCACTGTAGGTTGTACTGGGAGTGTTAGATGGGAGTTAACCTGCTGGAAATGCAATAACTTCTATGGGATTACAAATACAAACTTCTGGACTATAACGAAGTCTGAGAAGGGCTCTTTTTAGTTATCAACATCAGTTTTCCCTAAATTGATTTACATCTGTAACACAATACCAGTAAGACTACCAATCGGCTTTTTTATGAAGATGGACAATTTGATATTAAAGTTTATGTGGAGAAATAAATTTCAAAAATAGCCAAAAGAAAAAGAGGAAAAATGAAAGTTTATAAGGGAGACTAGCCTTCCATTTACTAAAATGTTACTATAAATCTTGTTTTTATCTACACTTGGTCCAGGTCCATGAACAGACAATTAACCTGTAAAGTAAAAGTGAAACTTCCAGAAATAGATCTTTATTTATATGGAAATTTATTATCTGATCAAAATGCTTTCTCAAATCACTAGAGAAAAGATGAATATTTTAATATATATTAGGATGACAGCCAGCTTGCCATTTGGAGAAAGATGAGAAAGATAAAATTAGCTTCACCAACTTACACTATAATCAAGAAGGAATCCCAAATGGACCAAGGACATAAACATCCACTATGAAACTGTCAGTTCTCTCACTATTGCAGGGACACAATACCCAACACGCACAACTCTCAAGAGGAGAAGATTCTCTCAGCTCCTACTTTGTAGAGGTGTAGTCCATAGTCAGCTGGCTCCAAGGCAGAGACGAAATGGCTCAGGAAATGGGGGCATGAGGCAGAGAACCATAGGGGAGGAGGAGGGTGAAAACCCATCCAGGCCACACCCCAGGGTCCCTTCCTCCTGCCAGCTTCGCCTGCCAACCTCACCCCCAGCTCTAAACACCCCCTCTCCCAGAAGTGTCATGGCCCATGCTCCAGTCCCCTCTGGAAAGCCCCACCTAAGAGCACGAGACTATACTCAATGTAAACCACAGGAGAAACTATAGAAGTTTTAGAATAAACCATGAATGATTATAACTAGATGCAGAAAAATGTAACTCAAAATTCAAATGCAAGAAAAAGTAAAATTGACAAATTTGACAATACTTTAAAATTTTTGACTAGCAACAAGAGAAAATTACAAACGGGGGCTAATATTTGTAACACTTTCGACAACTCTTCAACATTGAGTATGTGAGGAGGACATGATAAATCAACAGAAATTCACATGAAAGGTGTAAACAATTCACAGATGTGTGTGTGCGCACAGGCACACACACACACAAATCAGTGCACACAACTGCATTCCTTGGGCTTCCCTGACAGCATCACAGCCTGGAGGCATCGAAATTCTTTTCTCAGAGGGCTGGAGGCCAAGAGCTCGACCCTGAAGACTGCTGGGGTCCCTGCCTCCTCCCAGGAGGGTGCAGGTCCCTTGATGGGGTGGGTGCCTTCTTCCTCTCCGGTCTTCTGTCATTGCCAGGCCTCAAACAGCAGACAGGTGCAGACACAGTCACCTGGCCACCTCAGTAAAACCAAAACAGTGAAGACACAGATGGCCTTTAGTAATAATAAAAAACGACTCATTGTCCTATGTGGAGAATAGTATTTCACCCCAATCTCTAGGGTAGATATTTGCTCAGGCCATTCACAGGGGGCAAGGTGCTCTCCTCTTGGTCCACATGATGCCCCTGACCTACGTTTTGGTTTTTGTTTTTACTGCAATAAAAGAATCAGAACTTTTCAATGTGATGTGTCTTTAAGGAAGCTAGAGCTCTGACTAAATGATAGGCAGGGGCCCTGTGTTTTCAGGAGTCCAAGGTTTCCAAGCACTTTAGCTCATACTCGCTCCACCAGCGTCTGGCCCTGCATGCTGCCCTTCCAGGAGCCCTCCCTCCGCCTGGATGCCACATGCCTCCAAGCGTTGTGGTGTCAGTGCTGCCTCTGCAAGAGGAGCCAGTCCCACATCCCACACAGGTCAGGCCTGGCCCTTGTCCCCTGGAAGTGTCTCCCCACGCCCTGCTTCACACCACCTCCTGCTGCTTTCCATCCTTTCTCCAAGACTCAGGGCACCTGGCCCTGCCTGACCCTCACATCCAAGTTTAACAAATGCTGTGATCTCTAGTGCATGCATGTGCCCCTTGGATGCTTCCACCCAGACACACCAAAAGGGCTCAAGCACAGGAGTGGTGTTTCCCATAATCCCTTGCTCACAGTGAGGTGTGCTAGAGAAAAGGGCTGCACTGAGGAGAGGTGTGGAAGCCTCCAGCCACTCCACAGTCAGGCCCTGTCCAGGTGGAGAGCTGAGGTGCAGGCTTAGCTCAGTGCTCGTGCTCTAGCTAGGCAGTCCCTTAGTAATGGAGATGAGCTGGGTCACACACCTCTAATCCCAGAGCTTTGGGAGGCTGAAGCAGGGTAGCCACAAATTCAAGTCTACCTGGGCAACTTAGCAAGACTTTCTCTCAATATTTAAAAGTAAGCCTGGGATAGGGGCCTGGGGATTTAGCTAAGTGGCATAAGCACCTGCCTGGCAAGCCCAAGATCATGAGTTCAATCCCCACTATCAACAACAAAAAAGCAAGCCAGAGCTGGAGATATGGTTCAGTGGCAGAGACCCTGTGGGTGTGACCCATCCACCACAAACACAGATGCATGCCTGCCTGCTCATGCACACACACATACACCTACTGAGTGTGTCAGCAGCTTCTTCTGCACCCTGCAAGGCTCAGGGTCAATGGTTTGGCTGAATCTTCAGTCTTGAGTAAAGGAATGTGTTGTAGTCAGGGGTTGTGAGAACAATTAGAATCAGGAAATGGAATTTATAATATTATTTTATGATTGTTACCCATAATTAATACAAGAAACTGCAGGAAATCTATCCAAAACACCAAAGACGTAGTATATTCAACCAAGGGCCTGAATCCCACAGCAATGTCCTGTGAGTCCAGATGAAAACCCAGAGCTCGTGACAGTACCTCCCACAGTCCAACTGGAGGTCTAGAGCCCACAAGAAGAGCTCATGCCTGTCTCTTACGGATCTGTGCTGGGAAGGCCCAAAGGTCAGTTGGTGGTGGAAGCTAGAAAGTCTATGCCAGCAGGGTGAAGGAGTTGTGCTGGTAGATTGAGGTTTCTAAACTGAATCTGAGAAGTCACACTCAAAACAGAGACCAGGGCTGTCCTGAAAAGCACCACAGCTTCCTCAGAAACATGGAGGCCCAAGCACAGTGGAGTACATGCCAAGAAGCCAGTGTGGAGTTCATCCTGGAGATTAGGCAGCATACGTCTTCCCTTACGGAGCCAGGAAGCAATACGTGATGTAAGGACCAACCAGAGCTTCTCCAGGAGAACCAACAGCTCAAACAGCAACATGTAGAACTCACAATGCCACAACGCCTCAATGCCTTCCTTCTCCTTCTCCACATCTCTATTTATGTTGGCAATTTTCCTCAAGTGGAACATCTATGCTCAACACCATGGTGATTTAATTTAGCTGACCATCAGTTTTTAATCCATAACAGAAGGCTTACAACTCAATCTCTGCAGGCAGGCACCAGTAGAGGGTGGGGTGTGGACTGCACTCCAGCCCCTCAACATCCAGTGGGTGGCTCAGCATGGGCTAATTTTAGTTGTTTGAAACCCAGCCTCAGGTAGAAAGCCAGCAGCTACCAAGTGTGACAGGAGAAACAGCAGAGTGGATGCAATGGGAGTGTAGGAGGGGACGACAGTGATTCGGAGTACGTGGCCCGGCTCATGTCAGAAGCCCAGAGCTCACACTGGCCCAAGGCACCTACCTCTATTTGACTAAGAGGCCAATGGAAACCCCAGAAACAACGCTGGAATCAGGGAAACTCAGCCCAACTCAGTGCACTCCAGGTGTGGCTGCACACAGGCAGAACCCCATCTCCAGGACCCCTCACACCCTGCAGGACACTATCAGCCTCAGCTGCTCCCAGGGTAAGTGGCATTTATTTATTTGTTTGTTTGTTTTTATTTTTGGTATCAGAGATCAAAGGCATGACTTTGCACTTGTCAGGCAGGCACTATGCCACTGAGCTATATCCCCAGCCATGAATGGCATTTTTAAAATTATGAAAAATTTTAAAACATCTATCCTACCTCTGACTTCCCTGTCTCCTTTTTCTACTTATTTTAGTTCTGAAGTTGTAACTGCAGAATGAGCCATTTGGGAAGAAACCTGTATTTGAACAAAAGAATTTGTGGACCAGAACTGTGAACCATGAAAGTATATTAGATGTTACCACCCTCCTTACAGATGATGGAAAAGAAACCTGGAGAGATTAACCGACTTCACTGAAATTAAATGACCATTAAATGGCAGACCTACAAGGTTCATTTAAAGAAACATAGATTTTGAACTTTTAATGTGTTAGACTAGGCAAACAAGTTACATTGCTAGTTAACTGCCTGGTACCCAGAAATTTCTATAACCAGCATACACACATTCTAAACTACCATTCATGAAGGCTTGATTCTAATTCTAGGAGCTGGCCACTGGGTATGTCTTTTCTATTCCTGCAAGATTCCTGAGGGATGTGGAGACCCATCCAGAGGTGCATTAGCAGACAGCAGGCTTCACCCAAAAGTCAGGATTCTCCAGATGGGAAGGAAACTAGGATTCTCCTGTTCCCAAGTGAACAGAAAATTAACACGAGGATCAAGCTGACTACACTAACGAATAATCAGCTATTAAAACTTAGATGTAAGCTATTTTCATTTTCTGTCTAATGGCATATAAAGAGGAAAGTTTAGCTGGGCGTGGTGCTGCAAGCCCATCTTCCCAGCACCCTGAAAGGCTGAGGCAGGAAGATCACACGTTTGAGCCCGGGTGAGCAATTTATGGAGACTCTAAGGATGCATCTCAGAGCTAAGGATCTGCATTCAGTACCCGGAGCTGGGAAGTTTGTAGTTTCTCCGAAATTTTTTGTATAGATAATGCATAGATTAACTGCACACATCAACGTAGGATGTAAGAACACTTTCATTTGTAAACGAAGCTGGGCATCAGTAACAGTCAGCGCCACCGGGGTATGCAGGACTAGGGGGCCACGCAGCGTGGGCTGTGGCCAGAATCTCACCATGTCTCCCCGCCGGCCGCGGCTGGGTAGAGGTTTCACAGGCGCACATATCAGCGCCTGGCCACGCACCCCGCACGGAGAAAAGCTACTCGCACGAAGACGCGCAGGCACAGGCCTGCCCACAGCCGCGGATCCGCCGGGCCTTTACACCCCGGGTGCGTGGATGCGGCCCGCTCCACTGTCCACCGCGCGCTGCTCCCGAGACACCCCCGACGACGACGCCCCACGGCACGTGGCGGCCACTGCCAGCCAAACCACGCCTCCACACGCCCGGGCCACGCCCCGCCCCTCACGCCGGGGTCCCGCCCCTTCCGCCGGCCGTTTCCGGGAACGTTGCGCCTTGGCGCTGCCTCCTCGGGACTTGATTGGCTACTGGGCGACCGCTAACGGCCGCGCAGTTTAAATCCGTGTGGGGCCGCCCGCGCCCGGGAGTTGGTGGCTGCGCCGCGAAGCGGTGAGTCCGGGTTGTGTCGGGGGCCTGCACCCCGGGGCGTGGCGGCCCTTCCTGGAGTCGTCTGTCTGGAAGCGGCGACTCGGCGGCGGCAGGGACCCTGGCGGTGAGACCTGGCGTCTCTGATTCCGCAGCCCGGCCTGGCTCCCGAGGAGGACGCGGGAGTCCGCTCGCGCTCGTTCCCGGCGGCCGCGCCGCTTCCCGGGCGGGCAGCTGTGGGATCCGTTTCGGGTGGCGGTCTGTCCAGGGCGGCCCCCAGGACGCGGCTTGCGAGGCCTCGGAGCGGACTCAGGTTCCGCTCGCGCGGTGAGATGCTGCTGCATTGTGCGCGGTGGTTTTGTGTTAGGCTGTGTGTCTTGGAATAGCGGTCTTTGAGTTGTAAAACTTTTGTTTCTGCAAAACTCTTGAGAAGCAGCATTGAGCCTCCGTGATGCAGGGTGCCTAGTTCAACTTCTTTCTCATCGCGGTAATTCTTCTAACACCATTTTCCTATCCCTGACATCAGCTCAGCGCTTTCCAAGGAAACCCTTGCAATGCAGGGCCCTGCTGTCAGATCTTTATTCAGGCAGATTCCCGGTGAGCCTTCCCAGGCAAACCGCGTCTGCTCTTGGAAAGGTCCTCCGTGTACCTCTGTCATGTCTCCCACAAACGTTTACCAAGTAGCTGCTGTATGCCGAGCACACTTACAGGCACTGAGGGTCCATCAGCAAGCTGACGGAAACTCCAGGCTCCACACAGACAATACATTAAAATGGAAAGGTTATTGCTGTTGGTAGACATTCGTGAGCCGGTGGAGACAAGGAAAACAGGAAGAAGGAATAGAGACAGGTGTGCAGTTTCCAGCACTTTGAACTGGGAAAGCACATTTAGAAAGTGGCATTTGAGCAGAGACTTGAAGGGAACCTGGGAGCCCGTGGTTATGTGACAGAAGGGGTGACGAAGGGAGTCAGGAATACGAGGCTCTGCCTGCGAGCGAGTCTCGGAGGCAGACAGCTGCACTGCTGGGCACTGGGGAGGGCAAGGGGGTCTTGAAGATGGAATGAGGTGGAAAGCCAGGGAGGGTTTTCAGCACAGGAGTTCCATGAACCTATTTGAATTTAAAAGGATCGTTCTGGTTGCTGGTGTATTCTGGTTGAGAATACACAGTGAGGGAGGACGACGTAGCAGCAAGACCATTTCTGGAGCCATAGCAATAATGTGTATGAGAGAATGCCTCGGGTTCCCTTGAGAGAAGCAGTGGGTTCCACACAGTGCGGACTTGTGCAGAGTGGAGTGCGGCTATGAGGGAGAAACAGTTTCTGGCAGGGAAGTAGGGAGCTGGAGTTGCCTTTAAGTGGGGTGATTTGACGAAGCAGGGATGGGGTAGGGAGAGTTGAACACAGGTTAAATCTGAAATTGGAGATGAGGAGGCAGATGAATTGATCTGGAATTGAGGGGGGAAGCCTGGATTGCGAATACAAATTGAGAATCACCAGCTCTTAGACTTGAAAGCCAGGACATTGGATGTGGCCCAAGGGAGGTTGGATAGCTAGAGAAGAATTGGAACCTGGTCACTGCAGTGATGAGACAAGAGATGGAGAAGAAGCTGCAGGAGAGACGGAGAAGAGGACAGCAGGCAAGAGGAAGCCAGAAGGACGTGATGTTTGTAGAAGCCAAGCACAGAAGCTATTTCCCAAGGGAATGACCTGCGTTGAGGTGGAATGAGGACTGTGTTTGATTTAATAACACGGCAGTGAACTGTGCCACACAGTACTGGTGAGAACAAGAACTTCATGGTAGTGGATCTGGTGAGCCCAGGAGGAGGTGCACTGCAGACCCCGGGTTACTGGTGTAGAAGAAGCAGGGAGCAGAGGATCGCCTTCCAGCACAAAGAAGCTCCTTGTACTTTTTTAATGCTCCACTTCTGTGCATTTACACCTGTGACTTCTTCCTGGAATTCTCTTTGTTATCTTGATGCTTGATAAGTTTTTAGTTTCGAAGACGTGTCCACAAATACATACTGTGCTTGTCCTTCACGAGCACTGGCCTATAAGCTGGGGAGTCAGAAAATAGATGGAAATCCCTGATCTCCTGCTTCATAAATTCTAGTTAGGAAAGGCAGACAATAAGTCAAGTTCTATAGTATGCTTGATAGTGATTTAAATGAAATAGAAAAAAAAAGAAGGGTAAGAGTGAGCAAGCGTACAGGAAAAAGTGACATTTAAACAAAAGTTCAAGGTGGAGAATGAATGAACGAACTGTTTGTGTATTACCAAAAAAGAAGTTTTAGAGTTCAAAACAATAATCAATGCAAAAGAATGAGATTGAAGAATGCCTGGCTTACGGCAGGAATATTTAGATCTTGCAGTGACTACAGTAAGCTAAGCACAAGGACAGACTACTGTTCAAATCAGAGTGATGAGACAAGGGATGAAGGTGGACAGACTGCTGGACCACTGTGGAGACCTGTAGAGATGCAGGAGCACTGGAGAGGAGAGTGTTAGGCTGTGTAGGCTAAGCTGCATCAGCTAGGCAGCTGTGGGGGCAGTGACGAGGCCCCTGCAGAACTCCAGGTAAGACAGGCGGGGCCTTGGGCTGCCTCTGTCGCACAGGATGTCTGGAGAAGTGGTAATCTGGTATCTCATAGAGTTAACAAGGATGTGAGAGGGAACTTTGGCAAAAGCCATTGGAAGGACGGAGTTGTCCTAAATGGAAGTGGGGAAGCAGGTTTAGGCAGGCTAAATTTGATACGTGTAGTTTAGTTACCTAAGTAGGTTATGGAATAGTCAGTTGAGCCTTTTTTTTAGACAAGGTCTCACTATGCAGTTCTGGCTGGACTTGAACTCACTATGTGGCTCAGGCTAACCTCAGAGAAGTCAAATCATTCCTCCTGCCTCAGCCTCCAGAGTGCTGGGATTACAGGCATGTACCACAACTAGCCAGTTTGGTCATCTGAATCCAAGGAAACTGAGGAAAGAAATCCAAGCCGAAAACATGCATTATGGAGATTTTGGCACCTACGGGTTGCTATGTCTTATATCTTGATGTACCTCAAAGCCTCATGAGCACATAGGTAGGGCTACTCCACAGTGGCTGGATTAGGTGTGTGATACTGGGATTAAGGGTATGTGATAGCTAAAGGGTTTTAGATAGTTCTGGGTGTGGACGATGGGAAGCCTCACCCTGCATGTGGGCGGCACCTCTAGGCTGATAGCCTGGATGGATGTAAAGGGGAAAGAAGGAAGGAAGGCAGACTGCTGCCAGCCCTGCGATGGACTGTTTCTCCTCCGCCGTGCCACCCTGCCTCGGAGCCAGCCAACTGTGACCTAACACAGACTGTAGATTTTGAGCTGAAATGAACCTTTCCTCCTTTCACTTTGGGTGAGAGTTATTTATCTCGGCAACAAGAAAAGTGAGAGTGTTACATGAAGTCATGAGACTGACACCATGCAGACAAAGAGCAGCAGTTCAGAAGAGCTGCTGTGGGAGGGACCTGGGAGAGACTGAGAAGGAGCAGTGGTTCCATAGGAAAAACCCTCCCAGATAGTGGGTTTTGGAAGCCAAGCAAAGATGGCTTCTGAGGAAAGAGAAATTAAGCCTGTTGAATCCATGTAGATCCGGGTGGTTGAAGTGAGATGAGCACTAGCTGGCCATGAGAGCTGGCACGTGGTCACAAGGGGCATTTGCAGGAGTCACTCTGGGGAGGAGACGTGTGGCCCTGCAGAGGAACTCTGCTCACCCAGCAATGAGAGGAGGATGGGGGCGCATGTGAGGTGGATGTGGGGAGCCATTGTCACAGGAAGTGTGCCCTCAGAGTGACATAGAGCCAGGTGTGAACCCATGAGCTTTCAAAGAAGTTACCAGAGTGGACTGCAGCAGTGGGAGGGCACGGTCCTGTGATGGTGACTGTTGGAGGCTGGGGTTGGGGTGGAAGAGGACGGAAGGCCCGCAAGCATGGGTGTGCAACTCATGGGCGGGGTCTGGGGAGACGCCCCCACCTGGCTGGACGCAGCCTATACCCACAGAGACAGGCAGGCTCAAGCCGAAGGGGACGCTGAGAGGCCGGACTGGCCTGAGAGGTCTGCTGGCAACCGATGAGTGTGCAGGGGACTAGAGAGCAAGACATAGAGACTGTCCTTGTTCCCTGTGCCACAGTACACACAAGGTATCTCCGGAGACTGAGGCACAAGCTTAGTGCCCCTGAGCTGAAGCCCGAATGTGTAGTGCTGCCCGCTCTGGTGCTGAAGACCGCCAGCCTCGCCTCTTAGCTCCTCCCAGGACCACCTTATGGTATTCAGGGGGATCACCCCATTGCAGGACCCACTAGCCAGTCTGAAGACTTGTTCTTCAGAGCGTTAGGCTTCCAGCAGCCTGGTATCTCAGAGCTGTTTTCCAGCCTCCAGGAGCTGTACAGGCCTGGGGGATGAGGTATCTGGGAGTCTGGGTCCTGTGCATCCTGAAAGTCACAGAGACTTGCACAGGTGGCAGGGCAGGCTGAGATTCGGCAGGCAAGGGCAGCTTCATAGAGGGATCTGTAGGTGGAGCCAGGAGGGCTCGAGAACAGTGCTGGAGAGCCCAGCTCACATTGGCACAGGGCTTCTCTGTGAGCTTTTCTGTCTTTTCCCTGCCAGACGAGCTCACCACTCCAGTGTGTCATGCATTGCAGCAGCTCCTCCTGTCCTGTTCTGATGTGACTATGTCCTGGTCCCCCACCAGGACTAATGCACATGGGTTCTAACAGACTTGAGAAGTCCTGCCTGCCTGCGATCCCTTCTCCATCCTGTCAGGCGACTCCTGTGCGCACTGAACTCAGGGCTGTCTTGGGCTCACCCTCCCCTGACTGTGCCCCATAGCACCTCTACTCACCTCTGGAGTATGGATAAAACTTGAATGAAAACAGCCATTTATCTTTGCAGATTCTGCTTAAAATTACTTTTGATTTTGTTCCTGTTTTCAAATTTTATAGTTTGCCAAATCCTCGGGCACAAAGTGTATCTTAAGTTGCCCTTTTTACCTTCCAGGCTGTGTCTGTTACCTTCCGTTTTACTAATCAGTGTTACGCCCATTCCTTTCTGGGCCTTTGTCTTCCTTTCCCTTCAGTGATGGAGTCTCTGGGGATGAGGACTGACTCGGTGACCTCAGCAATTAAGAGGCATGTGAAAGACAAGAGAGCTTCAAAAGCTACGTTGAATGTTTCCCTTGCTTCTAAAATCAAAACAAAAATAATAAGTAAGTGCCATTAGTTCTCAAGTATGCTTACATTTGTACTTTTTCCTGGAGAAGTGATGTATTGTTACCATATTTTGTCAAATAGAGAAAATTATTCAAGTGACTGTCTTTTTTATTCTTGCAATTTTTATTTTAAAGAAAATAAAACCAGGATAAAACAAAACAGTGTGCTACAAGACTTCAAAACAAGATCATAGGGAAATCAACAATGGTTACCATCCATAATGCCTCTTGTCTTTAACAGCTGCCCATACCTTCAGACATAGTAAAAATCAAACAAAATAGAACTAATAAAAACAAAATAATGAATGCACTAAAGGACTTCAAAACAAGATAATAGTAAATCCAAAATGGCAACCATAATATATCTTGTTATCTTTGAAATGGCTGCCCACGCCATTGAATATAATAAAATCAAACAAGACACAATAGAATAAAACCCAACCCAACAAAGCAATGAAAATGATAACAGGACTTCAAACAAGATAATAGGGAATTAACAATGGCTACCACCTTCAGAAGGAGATGCCCTATAGATGCTTCACTGCATACTGTTATCCTCTGAATAGATGGTCAGACTACTGGCTTTAGGCCTTCAGAGTCAGTGAAATACTAAATACTACAAGCATTAAGTTGTATTTTACCTCAATAGCTGTCACCATAGCCTGTGTTTCTCTGGATTAGCTGGTTGCTTGTGGTGGGGGTTGGGAGGTTTGGAGGTGGCTCTTATCTCCCAGGCTATGCACCGGAAGGGGCTGGCATCTGGTTCCCCCGTTGGTCTGTGCACAGTGCCAGCTTACCGGGAGGGCTTGCTTCCTGTTGACTTCTTGTCCTCCTCCGCAGTCCATGAATGGCACTGACTCACTGGTAAAGGTTTGTGTCTGGTTCTCCTCCTCAAGTGGTTCTCCTCCCCATTCTCTTTTTTCCGTTAGTCCTTCCTCAATCCTTGGGCTCCTTTCTGTCTCTTTCATGGTTGGCCTCTGGGTGACAGCTGCACTTTTGACAGAAGGAGGAGCCGGACAGCCCAGGGAAGCCAGCTGTTTCCCTGCAAAGAAATCTGCCCCATGACTTCTCAGGAAAAGCCCTGGCTCGAGGGCCCCCAGCTAGAGGGCAGACATGGGAGCTGCAGAGGTGGTGGTAGCCAGGCTTACCACGAAAGCACCATGCACTGTGGAAGCGGGGTGTCAGGCATTCTGGGGCTGTCGGAAGGGTAAGAAAGGAGGTGGGAAGGTGAGTTTTCATTACCTCTGCAGATGGTGCTGGACAGGTCCCCTCCTTGCTGGGGCAGGGCAGTACAGGGTCCAGCAGTCACAGTTCTGCTAGCCAGCAGCCCCTAACCAAGGATAGCTGTGGATGCTGCACCTCCTGATTGTCCAGACCATGGTGCTGCTCCTGCCCGGTCTCGGGTCTGGGTGCAGCCTACCAGACAGGCAGAGCCGTGCGTGCCCACTGCTAGGGAGTGTCCTGGCCCCTTGGCTTGTGGAGACCCCCACTGGGCTCTTTCCCCTGGCAATGCCAGCCAGCGCTGCTTGAAACCACAGTTGACCAAGGTTAAAGTGCTTTTGTGGACAGTTTTTCAAATTCCCAAGCTGTCTGTGATCATCTAAAGAGTACTACATTTTGTGAAGTGTAGTATTCTTTATACGTATTACACTTTTACCCAGTGGAATGTCACTGATGTGACTACACTGAATGTCACTACAATTCTACTTTAAGTGTTCTAAAGGAACAGAATATATTTAAAGCCAACTTACCAAAGAATTCACACAGAAATTCCTTGCTCCCAATGGAATAGCATTTCAATAGTGAGTCAAATCAGAGAGAAAAGATCAAGGGCAGGTTGCAATGGATGCCTAGAGACGGGCCTTTGGGCTGGTGGTGGACGACCTTGTGGGACCTCAGAGGCACAGCAAGGGTGTTCGCTGTCACTTGAGGCAGGAAGAATGGATTTTGGGAACAAAAACTATAGCTTGGTCCTGGAGCCACATAAACTGGTCTTACCATTTCTAGGGCAGATACCACAAGGGGGCAGCCTTTGCATCTGCCTTCTGGTGGAAGGTGGGGAGGAGAGAAGACCGCCGGGTCTGGTGCCCAGCGTGGTAACCAGTGTCACTGCCTGGAGAACCTTGTCTGTGAGGCCTGTCCCTTCCTGACGTGCTTCCCTCGAGTTCTGCACCAGTCACAGCTCCGCTTGCCTTCTGCCCGGCTCTGGCTTTTCAGCTTCACACTCTAGGCGCAAACTGGTGTCTGTGTTATCATTCTCCTTCAGTTAAGACCTAAAAGCAAATTCACTTTGTCTGAAGTAGTTTACCATGGAATGTAAAAATTTATTAAAGTTCATTATTAACTCTTTAAAAATCTTTTTGCAGACAATTCTTCTATTTTCAAAATTTCCCTAAAGCACAACAACAGAGCACTGGCTCAGGCCCTCAGCAGGGAGAAAGAGAACTCTCGGAGAATTGCAACTGAAAAGATGCTACTGCAAAAAGAAGTAGAGAAACTGAACTTCAAGAATACCTTTCTTCAACTAAAGCTAGATAACCTGGTAGGTAAGATACACTGTTTTTGATTTCTAACATAATCAAAATCATTTGCCTAAATTACTATAGAAATTCTGAAAATGTTTTTTATATCGCTAACTGTTGTAAAGAGTTGCTGAAAGCCAGCATTACGGAGAGCTGTCAAAGGCCAGCCGGGCCCTGGAGTCTTGGCCCCGAACGTGCCTGTGTGCTCAGCAGGCCAGTGTGCTGCTGTGGTCAGCGTTAGACTGCACATCACTACGATGCCTGGTACACTTGGACCTTTTAAAACGAGCAAGTTCTTTCAGTGAATCACAGGAGTCACCGTCTCCTGTAGTCTTAACACTTCAGTGACTGCAAGCCCGACTGAGGGAGGTTGTAGTTAATGCTTTTCTTTCCTACTTGAAGTCCGCCCACAGCGTGGGCACTGAGAGCCAGGGGCTAGCTGGTTTGCAACGGTAGTTTAAAATTGAACATGAGCAAAAATCAATTTAACAAGAAAATTTTCCAGTAATACTTGAAAGTTAAATTCCTATGCGTGTCCAACTATGTTTACTTGCCATGTGATATTTTATGAGAAGAGAGAAAAATGTCTAGGAAAATTTATAATTGCTATCTCAGTAGCATTCAAAATGTGCTAGTGTATGTATGTGTACATGTGTGGCTGTGTGGAGTATTCAGTTATAATTTCTTTTTAACTCAGAGTAGCCTCAATAGAAGGTATTTGTAAGTGTATGATTGGAAGAAACTCCAAATTTTAACTGACTAAAAGTGGTCTTTATTTTATATGTACAGAATAAGAAGCTTATAGAAATAGAATCACTCCTGAGCAATAACTTGATAACTGCAATTGAAATGAGCAGTCTTTCTGAGGTAAGTAAATTTTTGTGTGAGTTGGGTCATTTTTAGCATTGCTGAGGATAATTGAGATTAAGTAACATCAAGGCAGGTTACACACCTGTATTCAAACTTTGTACAAAGAAAGGATAGTATCCGTTTTAACTGACTAACAGCGCATTGTTATTTTTTATTGTTGATTATTGATATTATTACATAAAAGTCATATTCTGATGACAAGTAATAGGATTACCCACACCTTACTAATCAGGTCACTGGAATTCAGAGAGCTTAAGTTCCAGGTCACAGACCAGGAGGCCCCAGTGTGGGGTCTGACTGACACAGCTCCCTGGGACTGAGTGAACTCCCGTCATTCCCATCAGAATAAAAAGTTCTGTTGCGCAGTGTCTTAAAAATGCAAAAGGACTTCCTCCACGTGCCACCGGCTTCTCCCTTGGTTCTGTCCTTCCCAGCAGAGAAGGGGAGTTGTTACCGCCGCGCATTTCTACTGAAACTGCTTTCCTGTCCTATGGGGTCCTGGCTGCGGAAGCCACGGACAGGACGCAGAGCTCAGGGTGACCTCTGCAGGACTGTGGGGCCTCCTCCCCTTCAGCTGCTTGCTGGCTGCTTTTTTTTCCATCTAGCTCCCCAGACTCGGTTCTTGCTTCTCCGGCTGCACTCGTTCTCCTGGAATTGAATCATTTCACCAGTCTCATGGTTTGAGTCACCTCCAGCCCCGCCACCTCCCAAATTCCAGGCAGCAGGGAGCAGCCAGCCACCTCCTGCCTGGCCATCGTGGGGCATCTCTGACCTCGTCTGCCACCTAGAGTAGTACCCTATCTTTTCCTGTGCATTCACCCCAGGCCCAGACCTTCTCCTTTCGGATCTAAATCCTGTAGCGACTCAGCTCGCACCTCTGCTTCTCCCGTGCAGCTGTGCTGTCTTCAGCCTGGCAGCCAGTGACCTGCGTTGCTCATCTCTGCTGACACCATGGTGCATGCCTCTAATCCCCGTGCTCAGGAGGCTAAGGCAGGAGGTCACAAGTTCCAGCCTGGCATACATGGCAAGACACCATTTCAAAGCAAAAACAAAAATGTTTGCTTCTGCCTAAAACCCTCCAGGACTTGGCCCAGTGTCTTGTGAGCACTGAAGCACTTGCTGGTTCCTCCCATTTATTCCTGTCCCCTTCTGTTGCCCTTGGACCTGGTCTGCACAGGGTCCAGCACTTGCCCAGTCCCAGAGCTCGGCTTCCTGAATACTGGCCCTGCGCCTCGTGCACCAGCTCCACCGGCCTGCGGGGCTGCTTCTTGGCACTCCTGTCCAGCACCGCCGTGGCCACTCTTGCTTCCTGGCCTCCACTTTCCTTCTTAACACTTCAATACTTTTTTCCTGGTTTGGGCCTTTCAGAGGCAGGGTTTTACTGTACGGTTCAGGCTGGCCTTGAACTCACTTAGTAGTCCAGACTGGTCTCAAACTCGTGGCAATCCTCCTGCATCAGCCTCCTAAGTGCTGGGATTATAGATATGCACCACCATGCATGGCTAACACTTTAATACTATAAAAAATGCAATTTTATTCATTCATTTTGCTTATGGAATCCCACCAGAACATAAACTTCTTGAGTGCAGAGACTTTTATCTGTACCAGAAAGATGTCTAAGACAGTTTGTCTAAGAACGCAGCATGTGTAAAATGCTTCCCAACGGAAATTGAGGCCTTCTGGGAGGCTGAGGCAGGCAGCTGGATCACAAGTTCAGGCCCAACCTGAGTAACAGCATCTTCACAAGATTTTGTCTCAAAACTTAAAAAATAAAAATGCAAAGGACTGGAGAAGGGGGAGAGAAGGAAAGGGAGGGGAAAAAGGAGTGAAGGAGGAAGAAGGAGGAATAAGGCTCCACGTGGACTCGGTTTGGTTTGGTTTTTCTGTGACAGGGTCTTGCCGTGTTGCCCAGGTTGGTCTTGAGTTCCTGCTTTTCAAATAAAAATAATGCTGAACAATATAAAATAGTTATCTAGCATAATCGTGTAGTCTTAAGTGTCTTAATATGATGACTTATTTTAGTAGTTTTCCTAATTTTCTAGAATAACCTCAGAAATGATACATTGTTCTTTTAATGGGCTACAGAACTATTTTTGCCAGTAATCTTGTTTAGGATTGTCTGGTTTTTGTAGGAGCTTTCTGTAGTTGTCTTTCTATGTTGTCTTTAGGCACTGATAAAAATATTATGTACTCTAAGCTCATAAAACCCCTGGAAGTTTCCTTTTCCTGTGCTCTAGAAAGTGATCCTGGTTTCAAATTCGCTTTCTAGGAAAGTTTGGCAAGTTGTGCTGCTGCCCTCTGCCCTGTGGGGGGAGCAGGAAAAGTGAGTCTTGGTGAGCTCTGCTTTCTGTAGGGATTGGTCGCTAAGAAACGTCCTTCTGTGTCAACTTGATTTAATCATCTGTCCTTAGAAAATTATCTGTAGTTCTAATTTATTTTGAATTACTATTGTGGTGTTTCATGTTTACTAATGTTTGCACTTGTCTTTAGTAAGTCCTTTCTTTGCCTTTCTGTGGCTTGAGTGATTTATATGATTTGAGTGAATACTTACTTCATCTTACTCTTTTGTAACTTTTGTGGGCAAGATGCCATTTCTCATCACTATCAGAATTTTTTGTGTTGTCTTTAGTTGAGAATTTTGGCTGTGGTGGTTTAGGCACGAGCTTCTCTGGGTTCATCTCTTTTGGACTTCTCTGTGCTCCCTGGACTTGTACCAAGATCAGGGTGTTTCCTGGGTGACTGTGCGGCTGCCCCGGCCCTGCCGTCGTGTTGAGTGCTGCCCACACATCTCCAGCTGGTCATTTCTTAGATTCCCTTTTCTCTCTCTCAGTTTGGGTAACTTCTAAGGTTCTGTCTTTGCTTCACTGGCTTTTTCTCCCTGCTTTTGCTGTTGAGTTCTTTGGAATTTTATTTAAGTTTGATTATTTTTTGGTTCTATATTTCCATTTGGTTGTTTACCAGTTCTGTTTGCTGACTTGCTGGTTCTATTCTGAGTCTTTGTTTTTTCATTCATTCTAAGTATAGATCAGTAGTTGCTTCATGAAACACTTTTATGTTGCTTACTTTAAGATCCACATCACATAATCGCAGCCTTGGTGTGTAGGAGAGCCCAGAGTTAGGTTTGCTGGTCCCTGTTGTGATGAGTGAGCCTCCCTTTGAGCTGGCACCACCCACCTGTGTGCCGGGAGGGGAGAGAGGGACAGCAGTGCAGTCAGAGTTCAGGCCCCTACAGCCTAGGGTCAAAGCTCCATCCTGGTTGGGAGAGAGGCCTCACAGCATGGCTCTGTGTTACATCATTTCCTAGTCTTTAAAGAATTTTTTAGTAAACATGTTTATATCAGAAAATTTGGAAAACAGCAAAAATATAAAAGAATAATATCACCTGGTCTTCAAATTTTAGGAATGTGTGAAGGAACTAATGGTATAGTACCTCAGTATGAAGATCTCGTGGACATGTGGACAAATGCACGTGCATTAATTCTCACGTATAGAAAAGCATCCAGAAGTCATGCAGTGCAGCCCTGGTGTTGGGCACCATAGGTTAGGAGGGGGAGGGCCGCTCTGACCTCATGGCATCATTCTCACTCAGCCCTCGGGAGCTCGCAGGGAACAGTCCTGCATTACTGCTGGTACCCAGAATAATCCGGTACTTACTTTGTTTCTCTCCATTTTCTTTGTTCTTTTCAAAACCAGTTCCATCAGAGCTCCTTTCTGCCGTCCACTAGCAAGAAAAAACGGCCTAGCAGACAGTGTGAGTTGGTCCGTCTTCCATTCGCGAGGTAATTGCTACAGAGTTTGATGAAATATACTGACTTACAAACTTAGAGTATGGAAGAAGGTAGATTGGACTTTTAATAGTTTTCGTGTTGTGTGCTATCCTGAAATAGGAAGATATCTGAAAGTAAATAAATCTAATACTGCATCAGCAACAACTGCATTGCTAACATCAGACATTAGACATTCTTGTAGAACTCAGTTATGCATGTTAAAATAATACTTGGTTTTCTCATAAATATCTCTAGTGAAAGGAGAATAGAGATATTTATGAGAAAACTGGGGGATAGTGAAAGAAGAAGAAAAGAAGGAAGCCAACAGGCAGAGAAGGAGGGGGAGGGACACAGACACCAGACATCTTGGTTACTTTTCTCTTATTGCTGGGACAAAACACCTGACACCCAAAAGAAAGGAAAGAAAGGTTTATTTAGCTTGCAGTTTGTGGAGGTTTCAGTCCGTAATGAGCTGGCTCTAAGGCATAGGCCCAAGTGCTTCCATTACTGCCAGACAGTGTTCTGTCTGCTGTTTGACTTAAAGGTTGAAGGCTTTCACAGAAGCACCTTAAATAAAATCATTAATCCAGTAAAAGGACTTATCTATTAAAATAATGTTTGTGTCTTAGGAAAATCTTTTCATAAGAAAAAAGCTCATGTGTGTGTCACTTTCTATTTATACTAGATTTATCTGTTGATGTACTTGTTTTACCCCTCTATACCAGTACATTTTAATTACTGAGTTTTGAAATACTAAACTTCATTGTCATGTAAGTTTTTTAAAACTCCAGTGACATAGACATGTGTGACAAACAGCAGCTTGCTCTCCAAAAACAATCATATGTTCGTTTGTTTGTTTTTGAGACAAGGTTTCTTTATGTAGTTCAGGCCTGAAATCACCTCTGCAATATGCAAAGAGAGGCATGCACAGAGAGCACCAGGTTCTAGTAACAGAGAGCCTCTAAACTGGGAGGAATCTGCAGAACACAGTTTGAGGAAGTATCTTGTGTGTTTTTGGTTTTGGTTGTTGTTGTCTTCTGTTTTGGTATCAGGGATAGAACACAGGACTTTGCACTTGCCAACCAAACACAACAATGACAAAAAAAGAGACAGTATGGTGTAGTTACTGTTAATTATGGGTGGTCTTGTGGTAAAATGCTGTGTTACTGATCTGGTCTGATCTGCTTTGTTATGTCTTCTTTTGTCTTAATCTCTGTAAAATTAAAAAAATAAAATAAAAAAAACAAAACAGTGAGAACCCAATATTGGATTTCAAAAATAGGACAGTGCCATAGTTACTATATGGCTCACTGTCACCCTCTAAATAGTTGCTCAGACTGTCGGCTTTCGGCCGCCAAGTAAATCAAACAATGTAAGGTCAAGGTTGTTTCTTTACTTCCGGTGCTGTCCTCGGCCTGTGCTCCTCTGAGTCGGCCAGTTGCTTGGTAGGGGTGTCTCTTTCCCAGCCCCTCACAGGGAGGGTGGGGGGCGTGACTTCCATCCTGCTTCTCCCTGGGCCCGTGCAGCCTCCACTGGCCCACCGGGTCACGGTGGCTTCCGCATCTTGTTTTGGTTGGAGCTTCAGCCTTGGTGCCTGGCCTGAGGGGCTCTTTCTTGAGAGTGTGTCCCAGCTGGCCATGTGTTGTTACTCAGCTAGCTCAACTTAGTAGCAGGGAGCTATCACTGCCCTCATTGGCATGGCTTAAACCCAGTGGGGGGAGTGAGGAAATACCCTCGCCAGCTCTCTATGTATCAGTACAGGAAGGTGTGTGATGTTGATTTCCCTGGTAACTAATAAAGATAAGCATTTATGGGGCTTTGGATATAGTTTAGCAGCCTGGCAAGCCGAGGTCCTGAGTTCCATTCCCAGTACCAAAAAAAAAAAACACATGTGTTCATACATTTCCTATTGGATTTGATGAGATTATTTATAAAGTCTAATTATGTGTATACATATATATGTATGTGTTCTTCCCCACTCCACAACCTTGCAGTTTTTTGATCACTACTTTTGTGTCCTTTTTATGAAAAATCTTCATTGTTTACAGTGTCACCAGATGTTCTCTTTCCTTCCAGAAATAGTTTCCTTTTCCCTTTCCTGTTTGTGTCTTCAGTGTGCCTGGAGTTCTGGGACGTGGTGTCCCTCGAGGCCATTCCATTGACCTTGCACACTGGTGGGGAACGCGAGCCTTTGTGTGCCCACTGGAGTTCCTTTCAGAATTCTCTCTTCTATCCCATGAGTCTTTTTGTACTGTCTTAAAATTACTGGCTTTAGAGTGACTCTTCTGTTTCTTGTGTGAGTTTTCATTTTAGTTTTTTTTTATTCAGTATCATCGTGACTCTTCTTGGGTCTTATTGCATTTCCGTATGAATTTTAGACTTAAGCTTGTCAATTTACACATACATACAAAGCTAAAATTTTGATTGGAATTGTGTGCAATATAGCTCAATTTGGAGAAAACTAACATTTTATAAAATAGACCATTTCATTTATAAACATGTTATATCACTTAGTTAACTTCCATATTATACTCTTTCTCCATGGCTTATAATTTTGTACAGGTATTGTATATCTTAGATTTATTCCTACTTAAGATTTTAATGGCATTCTGAGTGTTACTGTTTCTTAAACTTCATTTTCATCTTGATGCTTGTCTATAGAACTGTTTTTCAGATATTGACCTCATTCCAGGGAATTTGATTATTGATTCTAATGGCTTTTGGGGGACATTCCTTTTGTAGTCTGTGATACAGTTTTGTTATTTATGAGTAAGAATAGTTTTCTTTCTCTATACCCTGAATTTATAAGCCTTTTATTTCTTGCAACTTTATTACATTAGTTACTTGCCCAATACTGAGTAAAAGTGGTGACAGCTGTGTTCCTGTTAGTAACTGTTCCACCATCTCTTGGGTGTTCTTGGTTCTTTGTCAGGTTAGAAAGTATATGTGCTCTGGTTGCTAAGACTTTCTTCATAAACGACTGGGATTTTATCAAATGTGTTTCCTGTCACTACTGAGAAGAGGCTGCTTTTCCTTTTCCTGTTAGTGTAATGCTTTTCTCTTTCTGCAGTGGTTTATAAGGGCTGGTTTTGAGGACTAAACCAATTTGCCAGTTGTTTTAAACGATTTTTACCTCCATGGTAGTAATGAGAATGGTTTCTGTTTTTCCAGGTTTTGGTGTTTATGCTACACTGGTCATGTTCAATAAATTGATAAGTATTTTTCTGTCTTCTGGAAGTATTTGTTTGAGAGAAGTTATCTAGGGCTGCAGTGTTTGTGTAGAAAGCCTTCTATAATATACAGTTTCTTTAATACACACATAGGGATATTCAGTTTTCTGGTTTTTCCTCAGGGTTCTAAAGGTTCTAAAGAACGTGTTTCTTCCATGTAAGGCATCGCAGTGCTGGCACGAAGCTGTCCGTAATGCCTTCATGCTGGGTTTGCCAAGCTATCATCCTTTTCTTTCTAGTTTTGTAAAATACAGAGATCCTTATTTCCTTCCCTCTTGCTTTAGGGTTCCATTATCTTCAAATGATGACGATGATGATGATGATAAAGAGAAAACACCAAGGGACAACGGTGTCACATCAAGGCTGTCACCTGACGCTGCATCTTCAGTATCAGTAAGGCAGTCTGTACCAGCTCAGTGTAATGTGGACTTGGTACTTCTTAAAGAAAGTAACTGGAGTATGTGTGGCCCAGATGACACAGAGCGCATATCTTCTAGGGTCAGTGTACCGCCCAAAGGTGAGAGATTGTTTTGAAACTTCATCTTGAGTGTCCGTATACCCATCAGATTTTCTTGTTAAGGGCAATGGGAGATGTGTATATATAACAGTTAATGAGTTAGATAGATCTGTTATGTTACAGATTTGCTGACTTCGATCATTCATAACTACTGGTAAAACTTTAAATTTGTGTAAAAGTAAGTGTGTAAGCTGGGCATAGTGGCACACACCTGGGATCCCAGCCAGAGGAGGCACAAGTCTGAGCCCCATCTGGGCAACTTAGCAAGACTTGGTCCTAGAATAAAAGGTGAGAATTAGGGTTGGGATGTAGCTCAGTGGGGAGACCCCAGGTCCAGCACCTGTACTGCAGAGGAAAAGAAGAGCAAACTCCATTGGAGGCTGGTGCTGGGCACTCATGGGCTGGTGCCAGCGTTCTGAAAGCCCGGCCTCGGGAGGAGTGGACCCAACCAGGGAGGTTCGCTTGGTTTCCCGGTATGTGGTGGAAAGATACCAAATGTGTGCTTGGTTTCACCTTCCCTTTTAATAGGTCTGAAAACTGGTGACATAAATAGGCTTAGTGACTTTTTTCAGGATTACAGCTGGTTAATGGTAAAGCTAAAAGTTGAACCAGTTAGGACTAAGAACTGTTACGCTCACAAAATGTGTGTGTGTGCCTGAAGTGTGACACCAGGGTAGGTAGCTGTGGCTCACACCAATTCCTAGGCTCTCGGTTTGGCGTGGGGAACCTCAGCTTCCAGCCGAGGCTTTACCCTGGTCATCCTTCCCAGTGCCATGCATGGTTCAGGTGTTAGCCCTTTCCCTCTGGACATAGATGTGAGTGTGTTCAGCTCCTGCACTGTAGGGCTGGGGCAGGGCCAGTTCTCATCAGTGTGTGTTTCCCATAGAGTTACAATGTAAAATGTGACTTAGGAATCATTTCTAGTTCATTTCTATCTGCATAATTCTTAGTAATGTAAGGACCGGAGCAGTAATTTGCTAGCTAGCCTTGATGGTGCATACCTGAAATTTTAGTACTCAGTAGCTCAGGCTGGAAGAGTGTGAGCTTGAAGTCAGCCTAGGTTACATGGCAAGTTTAAGGTTGGCCTGGCCTACATAGCAACATCCTGTCTCAAAAACCAAAGAATTCTTTAAAAATATGCTGGATGTGATGATACACGCCTGTAATTCCAGCGGAGGCTGAGGCAAGAGGATTGCCATGAGTTGGAGGCTAGCCTGAACTACACTATAAGAACTTGCCTTAAAAAAAAAGATTTAAAAAATGTATTCACTTATTTTTGCAGAGGGAGGAGACAGGGTCTTTCTGTGTAGTTTGGGCTGACTTTGAGTTCACCATGTAGCTCAGGCTGGCCTCTAACTGTCTCAGCCTCCCAACTGCTGGGATTGTGGGTGTGAGCCACCATGCCCAGCCAAAAAAGAATTTTTTTTTCATTAAAAAATAAAATAACTTACCTATTTCTTTGTTTATTTCTGAATTTTGTATTTCTCTTTACTTTATAGAGGGCCATTCCCACTTAGAACGAAGTTCCCAGTGTTCTGTGGTGGGTGAGACGACCAATGGCCGGTGCAACAGCCATGGAAGGGAGAAGCTGTCTCTGAGTAATGTGACAGCGAGGAAAAAGCGCGCCTCTTCCTGGGCCTCTGATAGCCCTGCTGCAGATGCGCCCTGGGGGGCAGCTTCCGGGCAGCAGCACAGTTTGAGTCCCAGATTGGACCAGAATGTGGAGTCGGAGGGTTGTACTAATGAGAGCAGCACCACAGTGCCCGGAAGTCCGAAAGGCCCTGCTGGCCTGGAAAATCCTCCTGCACCTCTCGGGAAGCCCAGCCCAGACAGTGTGGGGCGCCTGCAGGGTGGTGGGGATCCCCAGGGGCAGACAACTGTGTACGGAGCCGACATGGAGCTGACAGCCACTGATATGCACACAATCATCACCGTTTCCCGAGGCAGCAGGCAGCAGAGCAGCAGAAAGATGAACAACTGTGAACACACAGCTCTCAGGAAGGTGAGGGACCGGAACTCTGGGTCAAAGAGAGAAAGATCGAAGAGAAAATGTAAAACTGGTACAGGCACAGACGCCACGGGCCAGGCTGAAAACGGACCTGAAGGAGGCTCTGCACGCGTGGGCGGCAGAGAGGATGCAGGAGACCCAGATTCTATTCTCAGTGCTGCATGGCTGCCTCCAGTGAGTCTGCTGAGGAAAACAGCCCTTCACCAAGCCTCTGGCTGGGAGGACAGATGCAGTGGCCAGTACAGTGGAGCGGAGAAGGCCAGTGAGCAGGGGCCAGTGCCCTCCTCCTCCCCAGGGGCAGACGGAGCCTTGAAAGAGGGAGGCACCCACGAGTCCCAGCGCTCGCTTGCATGCAGTAAAAGTAAAGCTTCTAGACAGACGTTTGTGATTTGTAACTTAGAAAAAGATTGCTTATTCCCAAACCAAAAGGAGGATAAAGAAAACGTAGAAGTTGCACATGAATTTCAGACAGCTGACCTTTCCTCCAGAGAAAATGGAAATGTACATGACTGTGAGACCCAGAATATCTCCAAGCTGAAAAAGTGTGTTCCTGGTCGGCAGAGTCAGTCAAAGGTCAGTCATCGTAAGCAGAGAGTAAACAGAAAGACAGAAGTGATCTCTCAGGTACAGGAGAGGCATGAGGAGGGTGGTGCGGATGGTCATGCCCCCCAGCAGGGAAATGCCTTCTTGCCCCAAGTAGATACAGAGACCATCTCTGGCAACATGGGTCTTTCAGATGATTTCCAGATACTCAGTCCTTTCCTAAGAGATCAGGGAAACCTGTGTGACCATGAGACCCAGAACTTGTTGGGTTTGCAGAAGCCAGTCACCACTGTGTACCCTGTTCAGCAAAATGAGTCCAAAATTAATAAGAAGCTTCGGCAGAAAGTAAATCGGAAGACAGAGATAATTTCTGAAGTGAAGCATTTTGATGATGAGAAAAGCCAGTGTTGCTCAGAAAAAGGTGTTTCTTTCTGGAAGGAGAAGGAAGCTATCCCCCGAAGGCCAACATGCTCAGGTGAGCTTCAGACCCCTGCTGTCCCTACCCAGGGCTGCGGAGAACCGTGTGATCACAAGGCTTTGAGTGTTTTGGCAGCAAGGACGCAGCCCCATGGTATGACAGCTACGTGTTGGACTGATTCCGAGACAGGGGCACTTAGAAGAAAGGCTTGTCCAAGTACAGAGATAACCCTTGAGCGCAGCCGCACCTGTGTGCGCATGGGCGAAGGCCTGCAGGCCCTCGGGACAGATGGCTTTGCTGCTTTAACCCAGAAGCGTGCTGAAACCATTTCTGCAAACCCAGAAGTCACGTGTAGGTTTCAGACAGTTGATCTTCCCACCAGAGATCATGGAAAAGTGGACAACTGGGAGACCCAGAAGAACAGTGTCACCGGTATGCAGCTTCCGCAGCAAAATGAATCAAAAGCACATAGGAAGCTTAGGCAGAAAGTAAATCGGAAGACAGAAATAATTTCTGAAATGATCCAGATATATGAGGACATTGATAATGATGTACATGGCCAGAAAAACTACTCGGAAGATCTCGATTTTAAAATCAATACTTCTAAACCAAGACTCGGTCAGCAAGGCCTTAGGGATGAATACTATATGGAGATCACCAGTGGTGTGAAGGAAAATTACAGCCAGATTTCAGATCCATCTGAACTAGTTCAGGAGCATAAGCAAAGGTCACCAGGCAAGGCAGAAGGCGTTCGGACAAGGGATCGGAGCAGGCCGACTTTGCCATGGGCCGGCATGACAGGTACCAGCAGTGGGCCTGACTCTGCCACCAGCAAGTGCCAGGCCACGGGAGTGACCAAGGTGACATCCAGAGGAAAGCACAGGAAGACCTCAGCACTTCTGCCGGGCTCTGCACACTTGGACCAGGAAAACCAGTGGCAGGGTCTCCAGACCATGGGCACCGAGGCAGACTCCCACTCGGAGGTGTCACAGCGTTTTTCTCGGGGGTTCCCACCTGACATGCGGGGTCTCTCCTCTGATGGTGTCTGTGCAGGGGCAGTGCCTGCAAGTGTCTCTTCCACCAAAGTCCTGGTCGTCAAAGATGGCTCCTTCCCTGCCCACTCACCCATCCTCCAGGTCCCTGGGGACGGGCATGAGAAGACAGAGGAGGCTCGAGCCAGCGCTGGCCAGAGAACACAAAAGGCCACGACAGGTAAGCAGCTGTGCCACCGGCACGGCCTTCCTATCGGGTCGGGCCTAGCAGAACGTGACCTAAGACGTCTGTGTGTGGTGTGAGCTGCAGCCTCGAGAGAAGCCGCTGGCCACCAAGGCATCCATGGCAGCACTGTGGGGGCCACCGACTTGCTGTGCGTGTTTTGAAGAAGAATGAGTGTTTTACACACTAGGGTGAGCTGCCCTGTTTTCCTGTACCAAACTGCTTTAGGCTCCTTACACCTGGCAGCGTGCATGTGGCATGGTCAGAGCCCTTTCCAGGGACTGTTGGGGGCTCCTGCCCCAGCAAGGAAAGGGGGCAGACAGCGCACGATTCAGTGTTCACAGGACCCCTAGCATTGTAGGCCCTGAGAGCTGGGTAAGACTTTTTCACAAACAGCCAGGGACGTAGCTCAGCAGCACAGTGTATAAATTTGATGCCCAGTACCAAAAAAAAAAAATTCACAAACATTTTGATTTTGTCAGCTGCTGTGATTTCAGGATAAAAATGCTACAGGCTTCTGTGATGATTCGGTTTACATGAGGCTGCTAATTCTTAAACTTGGCAGCCCGTGATGAGCACATCAGCCCTTCCCTGTTTCTGTGTGCTGAGCAGACTCATAAGGACTTGTGGAAATGTTCTTTGCAGGTAACAGGACACTGCAGGACTTGACAAACACCAGTTGCTTTGCAAGTAGCACTGTGAAGTCTGAGAGCGCATCAGAAGGTGGAGCTTCCGAGCCACCAAGCAAAAAACGGAGGTGTGCACCACTCAGTCTGAAAGAGCCCAACCTCAAAAGGCAAGCACGGTGCCCAGCATGGGCTGGGCCTCAGGGGTTCAGTGCTCCGGTCTGTCCTCCCGCTGTCACTGTTTAGATTGCTGCTGGCTGATTACACCTTGAATACTGTCTTCTGTGATTTACCCACCCGTCTTTATTTAGTTCCCGCCTTGCTCCCTAGAAGTTATTGTGGGTTCTGTGTTCTTTGCTCTTAAAGAATAACACTCCTTTTTTATTTTTTTTAAACTTCAAATATAAGGGGGGCCTCCAGCCTGACCTCCCTCAGGCGCGTGGATGTCAGCCTAGTGCTTGCTTCCTCTTGTTTTGTTTTGCATCTGAGGCCTTCACACAGAGCTGTATCTCTCAGTCTTTTATTATGAAATTATTTATTTACATATTTATTAAGATGCTGTCTTTCCAAATTGACCAATCTGAGCTGTGACCCTCCCGTCTCAGCCTCCCAGAGTGCAGGGATTATAGTCAAGCACCACCATACCCAGATTTAATGTATTTTTTAAAGCAAATCCCTAATACTGAGTGATTCAATTCCTAAAACACTTTTCTCTGTAGCTCTAAAAAATAAGAATTTCTTAACAAAGTTCCTAACAAAACTGGACAAGAATGATCACGTCTAGCAAATTCAAAGGTAATTCTGTCATCTAATAGCCAGTCTGTTCAGAGGTCCTTGCGTATGCAGAAACGCCCAGCCCTGCAGGTGTTTCCTGCATTCGATCTTGTCATGTGCCCAGCCAGAGAGCGGCTCCTGCCACCGAGAAAATTATCTTCCCTCTGCACCCCACAGTTGTTCAGCTTGGTCTTAGAGCACTTGGGAGACCTGGCCTGCCGGAGGGTGCAGTGCTCACACACAGCCAGCAGATGGCAGCAGTGCACATCGGGGTGCATCAGAGCAAGGTGAAGGACCAGGGCCTGTTTAAAAGTGGCTTTACTGAGACCTCAGACTCATCTCCTCTTGCAATGTGCCCTGCTCCACCTGCCAAAGTGCACGCTGGACGTTAGTGGGCTCCAGCCAGCATCTGGGGTGGGACGTTTCCTCTCGAAAGGGATCTTGCAGCTGGAGAAGCCACGAGCCCTGCTCCCACCACAGCCCCCTGCCTCCTGTCCTAATGGTGCTCCCTGCCCGTCACACCCCCTCGGGACACAGCCACCCGGCCCTCCTTAGCAGAGTCGTACTCCCAGCGCGGTACCCCTGGTTCAGGACCAGCGGTTGTCCCCTTCCCGGCTGCCCCATGTGTGGGCACGCTTTGCCCTCCCGTTTATCTGGTGGTTTTGCTGCCATGCACAGTGCTGCTGTACAGACACGTGTGCCAGTTTCCGTGCTCCAGCTGTCGCTTGTCACGTATTGGCATGGGAGTGAGTTGCTGGCTCAGTTGTGGCTGCAGGCGCCGAGGAGCTGCCAAGCATGTCCTGAGCCACTGCACACTGTACTGTTCTGTCACGGTGCATGAGGGTTTAGAAGCAGGGAAGGGATGTCACAGGTTGGGGACAAAGGGGAAACCAAGACACAGCTGTCCCCTGTCTTCATTTTATTTCTGTGCTGTGCACGTGTGTATATGCAGGCTAGGCCAGCTGCGTGTTAGGAGTTTGTCCTGGTTGGTTTCCGTAAGATTTGATGTGCTTTTGAGCCCCTCATTTTCTGATGTTCAGAATGGTCCAGCCTGGGAATCGGCACTTGCTCGGGAAGCGTGGTTCCTTCTCAGCGGGATGCTGCGGAGGAGTCTGGGCCCGGGTTGGGCCAGGTGTGCTCACTGCTTGAGCCAAGCAGGCCCAGCTGTCTAGGGTGTGCCGCAGTGTGCCTAACTGGCATTCACAACTGTGAGCTGTGGCAGGGAGTGGCCCTACTGGCCACCGGGGGCTCTGTGGGGGGGCCCTTCCCCGAGGCAGCTGTGCCAAGGTACAGGAACAAGCACCTGACCATGCAACATCCTCCAGGTGTTACCTCCTACCCATGGTCACGGTGGAGATTACTCAGTGGTAGGGAAGAGGGGTCTCCCTGAGTCTGCCCGCTGCAGGTGTCCCTGGGTGTGGGCCTTCTCATGAACAGATGTGGGAAATGGCACCTCACCTGGGGTGCAGGACAGTGCTTGCTCCAGTTCAGTACCACAGGAGCCATTTCAGTCTGTGTGTCCTGACCCCTCTGTCCATGGGGAGCATGGTCTGGTCACCTTGGGGATAGCCACACATTTGTTAGCTTCTGGCCCACACTTGCTGTGGCTGCCCACATGCCTGTGAGAGGCCTGTCTGCTTCTGCATCTCGACTGGCACAGGTCCCGCAGGTGTCAGCTCTCAGCCACCATGCTGCCCAGGCTGGAGGGCTGCACCTCGGCACAGTCTGCATCAGCTGCTGCTCTCAGAACTCGGGGCTCCCCTAGCACTTGGTCTCTTCATGGTCTCCAGTTCTCCAGTGGGAGTTTTGGTCATTGGCCTGTCAGCGGGAAGAATTCCTTCCTTATTAGGGATAATCTACCTTTGAGGTATGTGTGATCTTTTGACTTTATGTCTTTTGATCATGTAAAAACTTTATTTTTTAATCGATGAATTTATCAGTCTTGTCTTTATTGAAGTTTAAGGTGAATCTTTTATCTTCTTACATGATTTGTATGCTTCCACTTTTTACATAAATCCCTGGGTATGGAATTATTTTCTTGTGACATGGACTAAATTTTATCCTTTTCCCAACTGGCTCCCTGATTGTTCCATTACCACTTTATTTAAAATGCATGTTTATCCCAGAGGTCAGTGGTGCCCACCATGCCCTGTACTACATTGCCGTGTGTTCAGGATGCAGTCATGGACTTTTTGTTCTGATGTAAAGAGAGAACGCAGCCCCCTCCTTGCAGTGGGCAGCTCTCCTGTCTTCCTGAGAAAATAAAATTGCAAGGCAGAATATTCAAAACACCTGGTGGGTAGGAAGCGGCAAAGCTCAGACGAGAGCAGGGCCAGAGGCCACAGGCCCAAGGCACTGGGGACGAGCAGAGCGGGCCTTGGCCATGACGCAGAGTCCAGCCACAGGTCCCCTTGTGCAGCTGAGCTGCAGTGGGTACTAAAAACACCCCCACGAGCTTTGCCAGCCAGGAGATAGCTCTGCTGCTCAGTTCAGGGGAGGAAACAGCTCTGAGAAGTCACAGCCAGTCAGCCCCAGCCCCGAGCACGGGTCACAGCCGGAATTCCTTGACAGCAGGGAGGTAGAGGTGGCTCAAGCCAGCAGCATCCAGCTTGGGAGCTCCCTGTCCAGAGCCCTCGCAGCAAGCTCTGGTGCTTTGGGAGGAGCCAGTGTCCTGTGAGCTGCCATGTCCCGGAGAGGAAGGTGCAGGGCACACCCAGGCTGGGCCAGGGATAGGACAGGTTGCACAGGGCAGCTGACAGCGACTGGGCATCGCACCCAGTGGGAGGGCAGAGGCACGGGTCTGAGAGCAAGCCAAGAAAAGGCCCCGTGGTGGGGTGTAAGCGCCTGGCCCGATGGTCCAGTGCTGCGCCTTCGCATATGGTGGCCACCTAAGCATGTCTGCTTCCATTGGCCTGCCATCCTCACGCTGAAGTCCCTGAGAAGGAGGAAGCAGAAGCCTGTGGCGGGATGTGTCCCGTGCCCACCGCGGGACAGCCTTCCTCAGGTCCTGACAGTGCCGCCGCGCTCGGTGTGGCGCAGCCTGGTTCCCACTGCTTTTCCCGGCAGGCAGAGACTTCTCTGCGCCCCACAGCGCAGGCGCTCGTTTGCTTTGTCCTGTGGTAAGCCTTGTTTTCCACTTTCCAGGAAGATGAGAAGATGAAGTAAAGATGGGTCCTAGTTTCTCTGGATTCTCAAGGAACGAGGAGTCCGAACAGAAATTACCCAGGATCACCAAGGTGGCACACTTGGGGAAAAGTTCTTTCTTTCTTTTTTTTTTCCGCCTTTTCTTGGGGCGTTGACTTGTTCATTCTTAGATATATGTACATAAAATAGCTGTCTTTGTGGTATTAAACTTCTAAAATAATTTTGTCCTTATGACTTCTTTCTTGCTCATTTAAGCTCCTTTCTGGCTAAGTCTTACAACCAGACAAGAACTGTTACGCTTTTAATGAGATGTGCTAATAAATACTTGGGCATTGGTTACCTTGTTTCACTTGTCTGTTGGCCTGCTTTGGGCAGCAGGGCTGGGCAGCTGCTGGAACCTACCTGGAGCCTCCTGCCCCTCCCCCTCCCCTGCCCCTCCCCCCTGTCAGCTTGTCTGTCTCAGAACCGGGGCAGGGAGGGAGGGACCTTGGGAGATGGGCTGCACTGTGGCCCTTTCGGCCTCTTTGGGCTTTGGGCTTTGTTCTAACTGTCCTAGCAGTGAGTGGTGGGCAGCTGGCGTCTACTGCTTTCACACCACAGTCAGCTCTATTCTGCCTCGGAGTGGACACTCCTTCCACCAGCTCGGGCCTGCACCGGGGGCAGATGTGTGGCAGCTCTTCCTAGGATCACGCTCTGAGTTCCACGGGGGCAGGGCCCCGAGACCTGGCCTGACCAAGAGGACGCGTGGGTTGGCGAGGCTGGAGCCCTGCGCGGCAGCCATCTCCTCTCATGGCCCAGAGCGCAGCGTCCGCGGCTTGCTTCTCCCAAACAACTGCCAGGACTGGACTAAAGACTCACACCAGAACCGCACTGTTTGCTTATCTTTATTTCTGATTTCTTTTTATGAGACTTAATTTTTTCCTTTCCCATGAAATTATTTTGTATTTTATAGAGATAAATTGTATCATCTTTTTCATTACTGGTAGAATTTGGTCACAGTAAGAATTTCCTAATCCTGAGTTGTAAAAGTAATTACCTGTGGTTTCATTTTTCTCTTGGGGTTTGCTTTAATGTACGGTGTGAAGTGTGGGAGCAAGCGTTCCCTTTTCCATTAGTTGAAAAGTCCATGTTGTCCACTGCTGACTTCAGGTGACCGTGTCAGTGTTGTGTGCTTAAATTTATTTCTTGATCTTTTTGTCTTCTAATCCGGTGTATCTAATAATCGGTGCTCTGGTGTTTTAGAATTCTCTTCTACAGGTTTTGCACACTGTTAGTGACCTTGGGCTTAGGTGTTTGTCCTTTTCTGGGAAGTGTAAAGGAGGTCTCTTTGATTCCCACTTCTGACTGCTCTGGCATGCGGAGTGGTGACCGACTCCCATGTCCTCTCCCGTCAGGACTGTGATACCCGTTTCCTGGCACACTCCCGGGAACCAGCTGCTGTCCCTCCCTCCTGCCCTGCTCGTGGCTTTTTCTTTGCTGATTACTCAGCTGCAGTGGGGACAGTGAGCGCCCTGGTCTCATTTCTGATTCTCACGAGAACAGCCCTGGTTTTACCCAATCGAGGAAGAGGGTGCTTTAGGGGCTTATTTATATTTATAATCATATTAATATTTATATTTATAATCATAAAAATTTATATTTATAATCATATTAAAATAAGCCAACTGCTATTTGAGTGCTTTTTTGAAAAGAAGATAATTGGAACTTGTCAGATGCCTTTTGGCATTGCTAGACTTTATTAGGGCCAGGAGATAGAAAGTGAACCATACAAACCTGAGAAGGCCGGGGCACCACTAGAGCCTCAGGAGCCAACACTTCTGGGGCCCCCACCCCAGCTCTGGGGAGCCATGGAGGCCGGGCCAGGCACAGGGGCTCCTGGTATGCAGCTGCTGGTGCAGGATTCGCTGCTGGCCCCTGTGAGACAGCAGGAGCCACCCGCTGTGCTGCTCAGCGCTCCTACTAGGTGAACCACTCCAGAGCGACTGGAGACTCCAGGCTGCCCGCTGGAGACTGCAGGGGAAGGGATCTTTGAGAAAAGCTTCGCAGAACCCCGGCCTCAGGGAGTACAGCAGAGAAGTGGGGGTGTCAGAGCCACGTCAGCTTAGTAATCAGACCCTAAACGCTCTGGGGTTGTCCTGAAATTTGTTGATGCAGTGATCTATGTCACATCTCAACTCACGCCCAGCGCCCAGCTTTGTCCTTTGCTGCAGGGCGCCAGGCGCCCAGTTCATTCCTATTCTGCAGCTGACTTCTTAACTCCCCCAGTAGGGGGCACTAGATGGAAGCGGGAATTAAATTGCAGCTTGGCTTGGCTTACCTGAGTCTCCTGTCAGCACCTGTTTTATCTGGGGCACTAATTCCCATAGCTGGGATGCTCTGTGGTATCCACAACTTAAGGAGAGGTTTGTTTGGCTCAGTTTCAAAGGATTTGGCCACTTGCTCCAAGGCAGGAGGATGGAGCCAAGGCCCTTGGCTCACAGTGGCCAGGGAGCAGAGCAGTCACCCTTCCCACTGCTGGCCTTGCTGCCCTCCTGCCTCTCAGCATCTCGGTTTAAAGAGATCTGAGCAGAGTCACTGCGGGCCAGACCTCTCCAGCCCCCATCTCCGACCTTTCCAAGCTCCTCCTACAAACACCGGGTCAGGCACAGACATGCAGTGAGCCCACTTCTGGCACTAGTTTTCTGTCTTAGTCGCTTTCCCGTCACCAACACAGGACCAACAGCTGATCCAGCCAGAGTGGGAGTAAAGGCCAGGCTCGCTGGTGTGCGCTGCTCCCCAAGTACCCCTCACCCTCCTGGCACGGCCACCTCCACATGCGTGTAAGTGGCACAGACCATATTCAAATCCTGCAGGATTCAGGCCTTTTAGAAAACCTTTCCAGTGTTCGTGTCAGCGTGTGTGTGTGTGTGCCTCACACGTGCGTTCAAAGTCCACTGCGAGCTGGGCTCTGCAGCAGTCACGCCAGGCCAGGGCTCCTCCCATTCTTGTTCTTCACAGACACGCTTTGGAAATTTCCACCATAAACTTTGTGTTTAGATAAATAAATGAGGCAGGAAGATTTCCTAGCTGTGCTGAGTGAGAAGTCTGGAAAATGACTGCTGGGGCCCCTGGGAGCTTCCAGAGTTTAGGGTGCAGAGGAAACTGAAAGCGGATCCCAGCTGCAGCCTGAGCCGGGCCAGCAGAGGTCTCACAGGCCCTCTGCGGGAGCCAGGGACTGCCTCCCGCCTGGGGACAGCGCTGTTGACCCGGTCAGGCCGGATAGGGCGGGGACACCACGTGAGGCTGTGGGGGAGGGTGTCGAGAGCCCTGCAGCGTCACTGGAGGGGCGGGACCAGGGGACAAGCGGGGCCGTAACCACCTCGCCGCTCTGCACTGGTCCACACCAGCTAGCTGCACCCAGCACGGAAGCAGGCGGCATGGAGCCCAGCACACTGTACTTCTACGTGAACGGCCGCAGGGTGAGGCAGCTCTGGGGACCCTGGGAACCCACCAAGCCTGTGTGGGGACCCTCAGGCCAGGACATAGAGGGACAGGGCCTGCAGTTGGGGTCAGAGTCAGGGTCAAGGCCAAGTTACCCTTGCCATCCCGGACCCAGGACCCAGCACCTCATAGCCACACACACTGCACTCTGCAGGGTCCAGATCACAGCACACACGACATAATTTGAAGGGGAAACGGAACAGGGCTTCCAGGTGCATGGCCTGTGGTCCCTGGCAAGGGGCCCAGGCCATGCTGTAGGCTCAGTCCCCCAGGGTCCCTCAGCACCCCAACTCAGGTCTTTCAGTAGGACGCACCGCACCCAGGACCAGACCCAGAGCCAGTGAGGCCCCCCCTGGAGGACAGAGGGGACTGAGGACATGGCAGTCAGCACAGCTGGCCTCGCCACTGCCACTGGAACCAACACAGGACCCAGGCAGTCTGGAGCCGGTGCTCAGTCCCCGCAGGGCTCAACACTCAGCAGAGTGGACGCCACTGGCCTGCGTGCTGGGCAGTGGTACAAAGCCAGGCCACATGTGTAAGTGGTAGGTAGCTAAACCAGAGAATGAGCTGGTACAAAGGCCCAGCAGGGCAGCAACAGTGGGCAGGAACGGCTCCTGAAGATGGGGCAGACACTAGGACCTCACAGAATGAGGAGGAGCAGCCAGCCAAGCACCTGGGAGGTGGCATTTTAGGCAGAGGGTCCAGTGCAGAAGTCCTGTGGCAGCCTAATGGCTGCTGGCAGGATTGGTGCCCTGGACACCTGAGGGGGTGACAAGAAAGGTTTCAAGGTGACAGCAGAACTCACATTCTCCCCTTCCTCCCTGCTTCCAAAAATGCTGCCCTGGGGTTCGAGGCCAGGCACACTCTTGTCCGACCGCCACTTTCTCTGGGCACTCAGCAAACTCCAGAGAGAGCAGTGTGGCCTCTGCTGTTCCCACCTGGGACTGCCCCTGCCCTCCCCTCCGGCTACCCAGCTGTCAGCCCTGGAAGCTGTCCTACCCCTGGGAGGAGGGCAGGTCAGATGTGCTGTGGGGCTGAGGGCTTCTCCCGGAGGGGAACTTAGAGCCTGCTCTTGGGAAGCACCTGGGCCAGCTTTGGGCTCTGCTCTGTGCCCTCCACCAAATCCCACCTGGTCATGGGTCCCATCACAGACACCCCAGGGTCCCACCCGCTCACCAGGCCTGAGGCCCGGCGGCCTGGATGTAGCCAGGGGTGGGTTCGGGGAAGCCACTGCTCCAGGGGCAGCGAGGCTGTGAGCAAAGGTGTGGGCGTGAATGAATTCCTCACCCTGCAGTCTGCTTCTGGGTTGTGTCAGAGCCTCAGCTTAGTATCTCCAAGCCTCAGTTTACCCTCTGCAACATGGAGCCCAGGGAAAGCCAGTTCCCAGGGCCGGGTGAGGATGGAGCCCAAGAAGGAGCACAGCTCTGCGGCCAAGGCCACTCCTGTCCGGCCTGGCAGGCAGCTGGCTTCCTGTGCACAGGGAGCTGGGCCAAGGGCTGGGCTCTGCTGCTCTGGTTGCCGGGAAAGGGGGTTCAGTGCTAGGAAAGGGGTCTCTGGGCTGCCCTGACCCTGCCCACGCCCCTCTTCCTCTCTGCCCACCCCTTCTTGCACGCCCCTCCCTCTTGCCCTCGTTGCTGGCTCTGCCTCTGCTCCACACTGTCCTAGGCTTGGTGGGGAGGGCTGGTGTGGGAGCAGAGGGACACAGAGGGACAACACAGGCGTCATCCTGACTCCATGGTGCCCGGGCTGTGCCAAGGCGGTCCTGTCCTCTGCAGTCCCTGTCCACCTGCCCAGAGATACAACTGGCGCAGGCTCCTGCTGCACTCTGGGGCTCCAGGGACAAGGGACAAGGGACAAGAAGTTCCCCGGACCCTGCTGCCTTCTCCTCCGCATGCACCCAGCACCAAGAGGACACGCGTGCATGGCACGGAACCCAGGACCAGACCACAGGGAGGCCCCACAGGCCCCAGAGGGACACACCAGCAGCTCCTGGGCCCTGACTTGAGTTTTCCAATCATTTACTTATGTTTCCAAGAGGAAGTACAAAGGGCAGATGACAGAATACCCTGTGGCTGGTTATAGGTCTTTGTCATTAATTGCTAGGCAGAATTCACTCTCACAGACACAGCAGCTACACCAGGTGTCTGAGGCCGGGCTCGGGAGCAGGAGAAACCCTCCTGGGCACCCAGAGTGTCCAGTTTGTCGCTTTCTAACCATGGGAGCAGACTGTGACTCCCAGCCTCAACCTTCAACAGCATTAGAAATATGCTTAGCATTAGAAATACAAACTTAAAAATCTTCTCCACGCTAAAATAACTTCAGCCAGCCACACTAAGCCTGGAACACCTGCCGCAGACGGCCGACCGCAGGCCTTCCCAGGGTATGTGGGTCCTCCACAGCGCTCACAAACCGGCCGCCGTGGCCCACCATCTCACTCTCTGCCACCAGCTTAGCCAGATCTTGTCTCCGTGAGCCCCAACTCTGTGCTTGACCCTGTGTGTGCGCGTAGGATTCCTCTCAGCTGTGCAGGCACACGTCTAACACGTGGGCTCAAACAATACATGAGTTGGTTTCTCCTGCACAAAGTATTTCTGGGGCAGAAACTGTGAGGGTGGCCCAGAAAGTTCATGGTATTATCTGGGACCAGGGTTTCTTGTCTCTTTTCTTGAATTGCTATTACTGTGTTACCTCATGGTGTAAGGTGGCTGCAGGGGTTCCAGTCATTTCATTTCTATCGTTGGAAAGAAAGGGGAGCACATGCCGGCATGGGAGGTAGCCAGCATTTTTTGCTGTTATGGCATCTCTGCTGTTCTATTTGCTTCTGCTTAGCTGCCCCAGTCTGTGAATACCATTCCTCCCTTCCCATAGCAAACCCCATCACCATAACCGTGTTTTATCTGATTAATGAGACTCAGAAGGAGTATGGCGGGGAGCACTGAGTCAGAGTCGGAACAGGAAGAACCCAGAAGCAGGCGAGGACCACAGGCAGCTCCTCCAGGGGCTTAGCCCAGGAGTTTGGGGTTTGTCTTGCACCCCAGGAACTCTGGTGTGGCCACATGTGCCTGCTGGTTGGGCTCTCCAGTCCTGTCACAGAGGTTCAGCCAGGAATCGCCATCACTCGGGGGCCTTGTGGAGTCCGCAGGGTGCGAGTGGAGCCCAGCAAGTGTGCGGGCAGGCGGGTCCGTGAGCCTGTGCAGAGTGTAGTGGCACAGCGTAGGCTTAGAAGCTCGGGCTTTGCAGCGTGAGTGATCTCAGGGCCACCAGACGGAGAACCAGGTTGGGCCAGAAGGAATGCAGTAGGTTGGCCCTCAAGGGCCAGCGAGGTGGTGGATTCGGGGAACCCGCTTGCACAGTGCACCTGCACACACGCACCTCTGTCCCGCAGCCCTGCTTCCTCAGCTGGGCAGCCTAGCTCTACCTGGCCCTGGCCACTGAGAGCTGCGAGCAAGGGGGTGGCCGAGAGAGGCGCTGCCCCTTCCATCCCACGGGGGGAACTGACTCTGACTTGGGGAGGGTGATTCCACCTTGGAACTTGTGAAGAATTCCACACGTCTCTCTAAGAAACCTTACATTTTTAATCTGCAGATAGCCGCACAGCCACATAGTCGTCGTGTCGACGCGTGCTGTGCCCTCCTCCGTCTCTGTGTCAGCAGGGTTGGCCTGGCCTCCTGGGAAGGAGCTGTGTGACAGGCGTGTGCCTTGGCTTCCCAGAGCAGCCGGCACCCCTGTGTCTGTGTGTTCCGCTACCCTCTGTCTTTCCTTGGCCAGCCACTTACTGGCTAGAAGCAGGACAGGAGCCAGAGAGCAGCGACCTTCAGCACTGGATGGCAGCAGGGGTGGGGACGGGGCTGGAGGACCAGCCTTGGGTCAGGGGTCCCCGGCCACACAGAACTGGCTGGAGAAATTGAGCAGCAGGCTCACGGCTGTGCAGTCCCTCAGCCAGCGTGGCAGGGCTTGCTGTGCCGGCCGCATGCCTGCTTACTGTGTGTGTATAACGCTTCAATTTCTCTCTCCACAGGTGACAGAGAAAAATGTGGATCCTGAAACAATGCTGTTGCCTTACCTGAGGAGGAATCGTATCCTTTCCTTTGCTTCATGTGTGTGCACACGTGTGTGAGGAGGTGTGCACGTGGTACGTGCACACATATGTGCACCCACTGAGATTACTTTTCTTTCACTGCTGAGACAAAACACCCAACACCCAAAATGAAGGAAGCGGGGCTTATTTAGCTCACAGTTTGTGGAGGTTTCAGTCTGCAATCAGCTGCCTCCAAGGCAGGGTGGCCTGGCACAGGGGAAGCCGTTCATGGCGGGGAAGACAGCAAAAGCAGCCAGAGCAAAGAGGGAGGAGCACTCTTATCTTTTGAGCCTCGTCAGATAAGAGTTCAGAGGTCCCCTCAGGGCTGCACTGCCGCAGCCCCAGGCGCCGCTCTAGAAAGCCCTGGCTTCGGTTTTGCACACAGCGCAATGGTGTTGCTGTCAGGAGAAGCAAGGTCTCTCCAACGTCTGCAGTGCTGCACATTTGCATGGTATAAAATGTGAAACTCAAATAGAAATTAAGGATGCATGTCAAGGGGGACTGATCAAGCTTCTTTCAGCACAGGGTTACAGTATTTACTCTTTCTTCCACAGCTAATCATCCTGCCTGCTGGAGGAAAAGGCACAAGAATCTCCTAAAATGGAGAAATTAAAGCTGAGAGCTTCCCAGCCTGCTGTGCTGGAGCTCAGGGGCCAGGGAGGCAGCAGAGCCCGCTGCCACTCTGTGCACAATGCTCTGGGGCGGTGAGCTCACGTCTCTCCCAGGGCCCCTGTCATGCTCAGCTCCAAGGCTCAGTGACCACCCAGAGTTATGCAGGTCCCTGCCAGGAGCACAAAGTCGGTGTGGTAATCAAGAGCAACAGAGCATCCCAGGTGACTGGACTTCTAGGACACAGAGAGCAAGACCCCTGCAGAGTTTCCCAGCAGGAGGGGAGGCCGTGGGGTGGGAGCTGAGAAAGCACCAGCCTACCCAGGGGAAGAGGGAGCCAAGGCAGTGGACTCCCTGCCCCCACGCCACCCAGCTCAAGTCACTGAGGGGCAGGGACCTGTGAGGAGGGGGCTGGGGTCCGTGCACAGTGCAGGCTCCTGGGGCCAGCACCGTCCTAGCGAAGGAGTCTTCCCAGTGCCCTGTTCCCTGTCTCCTGCTCCCACAGAGGACGCCAGGGCACTAGGTCCAGTCTGGAAGGCATGCCCAGCAGGGGCCAGGTCTGGAGTCCTGTTCTGGTGGTTCCTCCTATTCTGCATTGCTGCATGGGGTCCTGCAATCCTGTCAAAATTCCAGGTGAAGGAAAGAGGCCCTGGGTAGTGAGGGGACACCCTTGTCCCCCCTGTGGAGAGCCACACATGATACTGACAATTATGGCCACTGGCTAGCATCGCCTACCTCTTGGCAGGGGCGGCTACAACCAGGGATTTGCATGGGACGAAAATCTGGGTTCCCATTGCTAAAGAATATAAGATAGCAGACATGCGGTGTGACTAGCAGTGCCTGCAGCCAAAAGGCAGAGAGGGGGGACACCACGGCCAGCATGACACAGGCCCCCTGGGCTCCTCGTCCCGCTTTGCGCTTCACAAAGGTCAGAGCTGTTCCGGAGAGGAGGGTGGAGACACACGCGCATGCACACACACAGGTTCACATGTTGTCTTTAACCATGGCCTCCAGTGCGGCTCACGGGGACCAAATATGGCTGCGGCGGTGGGGGCTGTGGTGCCTGCACCGTGATGGTCTCCCGCTACGACCGCGGCACCGGGCAGATAAGGTACTGAGTGTGGCTTGAATGCACTTTGCTCCTGCACTTGGTCAAGATACCCCGAGCACCAGGGTGAAAGCATTGGTTCTGGCATGAGGGACCGAGGTGGCAAGAGGACGGCTTGGGTGGACTGTCCCAGGGAGGCCTCCATGGTCACAGTCTGCCTGGCAACGGCTGCATGGCTCACTCTGCCGGCCTGAGTCCTGCTCCCTTCTCTGGCCCGGGATGCACCCTCCCGCACAGCCAAGTGTGGGTTTCTGGGTGAGCCCCGATCACCACCCCTGCTGGAAACCAGCAGTGCCTCCCCTGGGCCTGACGGCTCTTAAGTCCAGGGTCCTTCCGTGGAGCCAGGGGTCTGTAACATTCACGCTCCTCCCTATCCTGGGCTCCAGGTCTGCACCCCTCACTCACACAATTGCCTGTTCCCCAACCTCCACAGAGGCAGGGGAGGGCAGATGTAAGTCATGCTGGCCGCTAGCTCCCAGGTCCCCACCAATTTGGTGTCTTGCTCCATATGGCTGCACTGCCTTGGCCTCTGCTGGGCTTGCATTTGGGCCTCCACTCCTCTGGTTCTTTGTGAAAGAGGAGAAGCCCAGAGAGGTTCTTTTGACTCTTCCTCTGCACCCCACTTTCAGTGGGCAAGTTCGGACAGTGCATCCTGCTGTGTGTTTCAGTCTGTTTCACCCACCCAGCACAGCCCAAGGTGCCCAAAGTCAGTCTGGGTTCTCCCCATTCCGGCCTCAGGCTGATTCCTCCTCCATTGTCCTGGAAAGAGAACATCTCCGGATCTCAAGAGAGAGAGAATCTCAAGAGAGAGATTATAATTAAAAATTATCTTTTATTTTGCTCTTTATTTATAATTTGGGTTTCTCAGGGCAACTATGTGATATTTAATCTGTGTGTCTGATTTATTCCACTTAGCATTGTGGTCTCAAGATGCCTCCATGTTCCTACAAATGCCTCACGCCTACCCTTCTTTATGGCAGAGTAGTACTCCACAGTGTACATGCCACCTTTTCTTTATCCTCTCCTCTGTTGATGGGCATCAGGCTGCTTCCAAGGTTTAGCAGTTGAGTCCTGCTGCTGAGAATGTGACGTGCACAGATGCTGTCAGATGGCATCTGTGACTGTTCATTAGCCACTCGCAATTGTTCGGAAGGCGGAGGCCTTTGGAACTTTCTAGCACTAGTTTTGGGGCTGAGCACTTCTGCCTCTCTCTGCCTGGCTTCCCTTCCAAGGAGCCGTGTTGCTCTGTCCCTCTGTCCCTGGGCTAACGGAAGTACTGGGTGCGGGGATCCCCTGGGAAGAGCGTGCGGCGCTGGTGTAACCTGGGCTGCATCAGCTCCGGCCCTGCTGCCGCGGCCCCCGCGTGTGAGCGAGGCCGAGCAGTGCGCAAGTCGGGGCGTCGCGCTTCCCTGCCGGGGGTCTCCGCCCCACCGCGTCTCTCCCCGCAGACACTACCCGGCCTGCGCCTGCCTGACGCCCCTCTGCTCGCTGCATGGCGCGGCCGTCACCACGGTGGAGGGCGTGGGGAGCACGAGGACGCGGCTCCACCCGGTGCAGGTGAGCGGGGTCCGGGAGCGGGGGCGGGTGCAGAAGGCCCTCGGCTCCGCCTCCCGCCCCTCCTGGCGGGTAATTCGCCGTCCGGCTGAAGAGCGGCCTCTGGCGCAGGGCGCGGGCCTTCGGGTCTTCGCAGGCGCCCCGGGCGGGCGCAGGGCGGGAGGCTTCCGGGCCTCGCCGGGGTCCTGACGGCTCCGGGACTTGCGCTCTGCCGCAGGAGCGGATCGCCAAGAGCCACGGCACGCAGTGCGGCTTCTGCACGCCCGGGATGGTGATGTCGCTGTACGCCCTGCTCCGCAGCCACCCGCAGCCCTCGGAGGAGCAGCTGCTGGAGGCCCTCGCAGGTGGGTGTGGCGGGCTGCAGGCCCCGCCCCGGGCCCCGCCCACTGCCGCCGTCCCGGCCGAGACCCTGACGGGTGGGTGTGGTCTGGGCTGCCGGCCCCGCCTCCAACCCCGCCCACCGCGGGAGGCTGGAGCGGTGCTTGTACAGCTTTGACCTAAGCGTGGGTGGTGATGGCGCGGTCGCACTGTCACGCCCGGTACCACACGCTAGCTCAGCCGCATTCACAGACAAGGGATGGTGGTCGCCCATCCAGAGCGAGCCAGCTCTGCGGAACAGCGTCTGTAGAGCCGGAGCTCCAAGGCTGACCCAGCCCTGCTTTAGGCCCATGTTTTCTGCTCCTTTCACGGCGTTCAGCCCTTCCTGTTGAGCTGCCTGCTCTAGTGGCCATCAAACCCAAGCTCTCCATTCCATTCGTCCTCGGAAAGCGCAGCTGTGTTCCCGGCCTCTCCTAGGCAGGCAGGGTCTCAGGACAGAGTCCAGGGCAGCAGGGCAGGGGCCCCGTGGCTGCACCTGAGGCCTAGTGCTCCCGGAGACACTTGGAGCGGCTCCGTGGGATCATTCCACAGAGCTGCGCTACGCTCGCTCGAGAGCTCAATGTGTACATGCCTGCACGTGTGTGTGCGTGCCACATGAGTGTGTGCACAAGTACATGAGTGTGTGCATGTGCATGCACGTGTGAGATGTGAATGTGTGTGTGTGATCTTTGCCAAGGTCCTAAACAGTTTGGTAAAAGCACTCCCAAGCTCATTTCCTCTGTAGTCCAAACCCTGAGGTGTAAAGTGGGCAGGCAGGGTCCTCATTTCTGCCATCACCGAGTCCTGGTGAGAGTTTCTCCTGCAGGTAACCTGTGCCGCTGCACGGGGTACAGACCCATCCTGGACGCGGGCAAGACTTTCTGCAAGGTCAGTGCAGGGCCCACACTGAGGGTGTCTCTCTGCTGCAATAGGCGCAGCTGTGCTCGCAGGGCAGGGCTGCTCCTGACTGCAGGTCCATCCCAGCAGCGTTGGACTGACCCGTGCGGGGCTCCTGAGCTGGCTGTGCTGGCCCCCTTGCTGCTGTCGGGGTGGCTGCGTCAGGCACAATCAGGGAGTCGCACGTGGCCAGGCAGCCAGGGCCATCTGCAGAGTCCAAGGAGGAAACCACACCGGGTCAGGCGCCGTTGATGGGCATGGTCAGTGTTGAGAATGCAGGTTATCAGTGCCTTGAGTCGCTCGTTTCAATATTTATTGGCGCTTCTGGGCTTAGTTATAGACTTTACATAGAGCAACTCATTTAATAATCACTGCCTATCAGATTTTTTAATCAGTTGCTTTTTAATGAGAGGTGGCTTGCATATGTTTAGCCGTGATGATATCAGCTGTCTTGTCTTTTCAAGTGGTCGGCACTAGTGTATTTCACACCTGAAGAATCAGCACTAAGTTCCCACGATTTGCTTTTTTGCTCGTTAGACTTCTGGCTGCTGCCAAAGCAAAGAAAACGGAGTCTGCTGTCTCGACCAAGGAGTGAACGGAGTGCAGGAAGCAGAGGGAGAGCAGGTCAGTGAGCTCGGTCACAGCAAGCAAGCAAGATGCCAGTGCTGCCGAGCCTGGTGTCTCCTGTCCCTGCCCCGTGTCCCCTGGCCCGAGAGGGGCCAGAAGGGGTGACTTCCCCTCAATACAGCACAGAGGGGTGGGGCCAGGCACAATCAGACATTCAAATCGGAGGGACCCTGCAGCCCTCCATTCAAAGGAGCAGGATGTGTCTGAGGGGACAGACGCCAGCATCACCCCCCACCCTGCCCCGTCCCACACGGAGGCCGTGAGCTGAAGTGTCACCCTGACCCACACCTGACCAGGAGGCAGTGGAAAGTTAAATTGTTTAAAAATCTGTCCCAGCCGCTCTGTCCCTTGTCCTGACACCCAACCCCTGCACTGGGGCTGCTCCAGGGGAGGAGATTGGATTCTGAGAGCCCCTGAGGTTCTCCAAGCTGCTGGTTCTGAGCTGGGTTCGTGGAGCAGCAGGTGCTGAAGACAGTGAGTGGCAGGCCAGGGGGCTCCCAGAGGTTGTGCCTATGAGGCTGAGGACATCCGCAAGGGTGACTGGCCCAGCCCGGGGATCCCTGGAGGGCCCCGGGTGGGGTTCATGTGCCTCCTGTCCATCTCTCAGCCAGCTTCCCCAAAGGATTTCCGGAATCGGAGCTGAGCTGCTAGATGACAGCACACTGTCACCCGGGATGTGCGTGGTCAGCTGCTCCAGGCAGTGCTGTGGCTCTCCTGGGCCTGCTTTGCCGGCCGGCACTGGGGGTGCCCCACGGCCTGGCAATGCATATGTGCCCACAGCTCTCTGGCGGCGGGGGGCAGGGGGGCTCCCAGCAGGGTGTGCTGAAATGCTGGGACTCCTGCAGTGAGGACAAAAAAGAAAACACAGCCCACACCAAGCTCCATGAGGCCATGGTTCCGGGCATGGCTGGGGGTTCCGGAACGTCACCCCAGGAGTGGGGGATAGGGGAACCCTGACTTTTGGTCCTTTCTCTTTTAAGACAAGTCAAGAGCTTTGCTCAGAAGAGGAGTTTGTGCCGCTGGACCCAACTCAGGAGCTGATATTTCCTCCCGAGCTGATGGTGAGGAGCCAGTGTTGACCCCTTCCAGAGGAATGAGCAGCTCAGGCAGCTTGGCGCCCCTGGCTCCTTCCCCGTGCCAGCGCAGCTCCAGTGTGGCACAGGGAGAGGCGGGGCTGTGGTCAGAAAGCCCCGTGGTCATGGCGCCTGCAGATATGGACAGGCTTCTGCCCCATCCTGTGCAGCACATTCATTCATAGACTGCTTGACAGTGTGCGGGGTGTTGGTGGGTTTTACACACTTGAGGGGGTTCCTTGAGATACAGGCACCCCAGGTCCAGCCCTGCTTGCCTTCACCCCGAGCTCTGATTCCTGGGCAGCCTGCCTCTGTATCCCTCTCCAGCAAAGCTGCCCCTGCCTCCTCTGTCCCTGCATGACACAGCAGCTGAGGAGAAACGCCAGTTCGCAGTCTCAAGCCCCTTGCTTTTCCCATAGATACTGGCCCAGAAGCAGCCGCAGAAGTCCCGGGTGTTTACGGGCGACAGAGTAACCTGGATTTCCCCGGTGACCCTGAAGGACCTTCTGGAAGCCAAGGCCAAGAACCCCCGGGCCCCAGTGGTCATGGGCAACACCTCCGTGGGTATGCAGCCAAGTCCTGGTGCAGAGTGGGCTGATGGGGCGGCCTCGCCAGCAAATGCAGGGGAAGCAGCCTTCCTAGTCCTTTGGGCGCAGCCTCCGAAGTGGGCCCTGAGCTACCGTGCCCTCGCAGACACGACACCGACTCGCTGTGCAGCTCAGTCTCTGCCTGCTGTGCCCGGGGAGGCAGCCTGACTGCCCCCCTCCCTGAGGACACTCAGGGTCTCCCAGAGAATCAGAGAGAGCCACGTGACCCAGGTTTCAGGGCCACCAATTCTAGGGTCCTCTGACTTTAACTAGAATCCATCCAGCTGTTCTGTTTGGTGAAAGAAAAACAACTTTATATAAGGCACCAGTTTAATCATAATAGCTAAAATAAAAGGGCCATTAGTCCCTGTTTATCCTAATCATCTTTTTAATTTTTCAGGGCCTGAAATGAAATTTAAAGGTGTCTTCCACCCAGTTATAATTTCTCCTGATGGGATTGAAGAGCTGAGTGTCATAAAGCAGGGGAACGAAGGTTGGTCTCTACGGTCCTGTGTTCCTAGCTCAGATGCACTGGTCAGGCTTATTACTCCGTCCAGCTGACAAGCAGCCCTCCCATCCACCCATGGTCCCTGCTTATGAAATGGCCACCTTCCTGGGGCTGCAGGGGTGTTCTCTGAGGCCTCTGTCCAGCGTCAGAGAGGTGTAGCAACTGTGCAGCGAGGGTGCTGTGCTAGGTACACAGATACACAGCTGGATGGGAGTCAGTGCTCCCCAAATCCCCGTACAAGCAGACTACCTGCGGTGCTGGGTTATAGAGCGGCTTCTCTCCTGTGAAGAGAATTGACTTGATGCCAGTGATGGAGGCAGTGGGACTGTGGTGTGGCCTCTGGGTGGAATTCCTGCCGGTGGCCAGTAGAGTCTTATGATTTGGTTCCAGTTTGCGAAGACCGTATTCACTGTACTGCATGATAGAGTGACTGTGCAGAGAGTTTACCTCCATTATCAGCTCTGTCACCACTGCCACTTCCGTCACCATCTCATCACCTCCCCCTCCATCACCTCCACCTGCATCACCTCCCCTCCGTCACCTCCACCTGCATCACCTGCACCTCCGTCACCTCCACTTGCATCACCTCCCCTCCGTCACCTCCAACTGCATCACCTCCACCTGCATCACCTCCCCCTCTGTCACCTCCCCCTCCATGACCTCCACCTGCATCACCTCCACCTGCGTCACCTCCCCCTCCGTCACCTCCACCTGCATCACCTCCCCCTCCGTCACCTCCAACTGCATCACCTCCACCTGCATCACCTCCCCCTCTGTCACCTCCCCCTCCATGACCTCCACCTGCATCACCTCCACCTGCATCACCTCCCCCTCCGTCACCTCCACCTGCATCACCTCCCCCTCCGTCACCTCCACCTGCATCACCTCCCCCTCCATGACCTCCACCTGCATCACCTCCACCTGCGTCACCTCCCCCTCTGTCACCTCCACCTGCATCACCTCCCCCTCCATGACCTCCACCTGCATCACCTCCACCTGCGTCACCTCCCCCTCTGTCACCTCCACCTGCATCACCTCCCCCTCCATGACCTCCACCTGCATCACCTCCCCCTCCGTCACCTCCACCTGCATCACCTCCCCCTCCGTCACCTCCACCTGCGTCACCTCCACCTCCAGCACCTCCACCTGTGTCACCTCCCCCTCCGTCACCTCCACCTGCGTCACCTCCCCCTCCGTCACCTCCACCTGCGTCACCTCCCCCTCCGTCACCTCCACCTGCATCACCTCCCCCTCCATCACCTCCACCTGCATCACCTCCCCTCCGTCACCTCCCTCCCTATCACCTCCCCCAGCTTCTCCCTCTGTAACCTCCACCTCTATCACCTTCATCTCCACCATCTCCTCCATCACCTGCACCTTCATCATCTCCTCTATCACCGCCTGCATCACCCCTTCCATTGCCTCCACCTGCATCATTTCCATCAGCTCCATCACTACCTCCATCACCTCCCCTTCCATCACCTCTACCTCCATTACCATTATCTCCACCGCCTCTGTCACCTATATTATTACCATCTCCATGACTTCCACCTCCATCACCTACTCTCTCACCTCCTCCATCACCTCCACTTCCATCACCTCCTCTATCACTTTATCTCCATCACCTCCACTCATCACCTCTTCCATTGCCTTCACCTCCATCATCTCCATCACCACCACCTCCATCACTTTAATCACCTCCATCACCAATATCTCCACCACCTCCATCACCTCCATATCATCACTGCCTCCACTGCCTCCATTACCTCCATCTCCATGTCTATCTCCATCATCACCAACAGTAATAACCGGACCACGTGTCTGGTTAAAAAGACCCCACACGTGTATCTGTGGTCTGATGGGCCAGCAGTGATCGCATGGCCCTCTCCGCACGTGCCTCTGTTTCAGGCCTGACCCTGGGCGCTGGCCTAAGCCTGGCCCAGGTGCAGGATGTCCTGGCTGATGTGGTCCAGCAGCTCCCAGAAGAGAAGACGCAGACACTGTGTGCCCTCCTGAAGCAGCTGAGGACTCTGGCTGGGTCGCAGATCAGGAACATGGCAGTATGTGTTTGGGGCCTGCGTGCTCGGGGTGTTGTCCCAAAGGAATCATTTTGTTCTTTGAAACAGGCAGAGAGAACAAGTCTCCAAATTAAGTTCTCGCTTAATTCTTGTTTTAGCACTGTGCTTTTGAAATTACAAAACAGCGGTGAAAATAGCTTGTTTTAAAACAGTCTTTAGGGGGCCACATCATGAGCAGACATCTGGATTCAGATCTGAACCCGGTCCTGGCCGCAGCCAGCTGCACCCTCCATGTGCTGTCGCAGGGTAAGGCAAGGCTCCTCAGCCCCGTCTCCTGGAGGAGAGGGAAGTGCAGCTCTGGAATGGACGGGCATTCTCTCTGCAGAAGGAGACCGGCAGATCCCGCTGGACGAGCATTTCCTCAGCAGGAGTCCCAGCGCGGATCTCAGGCCTCAGGAGGTCTTGCTGTCTGTGACCATCCCCTACTCCCGGAAGGTGAGGACATCTGGCACCGTGAGCCTGAGCTCCTTATTCCTGCAGAGGGTGGCTCAGAAAAAGGGCTGGATGTTCACAGGGAGATAGAGGCTGGGCCTCAGGACGTGGTGTGAGGAGGTCATTTTCAGGGGACTCTTGCCTTCCCCTGCCCCAAACTCTTTCTAAGGATTCCAGATTTCTTTGTCCATAAAGCTTTTCCTAAATGAAACATGCAGGGGTTCCCTTCCCCTGTATCTTGGGCTTGAAAGAGGCTAAACCATTGCATTTGCAATGGAGCTTCATGGAAGAGGCGATGCACACAGGTTGATCCTGGCTGGGCCTTCCGGTGTCCACCTGCACCACCTTCCCGTCTTCCAGTGGGAGTTTGTGTCTGCCTTCCGGCAAGCCCAGCGGAAAAGGAGTGCACGAGCCATCGTGAATGTGGGGATGAGAGTCTTCTTTGGAGCGGGTGACGGTGTCATCTCGGAGCTTTGCATCTTGTATGGCGGTGTCGGCCCGGCCATTGTTTGTGCCACAGATGCCTGCCGGAAGCTGGTTGGAAGGTGAGACAGGGTCCCAAGAGGCAGGAGCAGGTGCGATGTACAGGGGGAAGGCTGAGCACGCAGACCTCTCTGTCCACACCGGGCCCTCCGGTGAGATTCCACAGTTGCTCTGTGTCTCAATTTTAATGAATGGAGGTTTGCATTGACCTCTGTCAGCTCACCTAACCTCCTGGTTCCTTAGTTTCCTTTTATGTCCAACATGGATAATTGCACCTGCACCAAGCACCTGAGAGACCTGACTAGGTGCAGAATCTGGCATGATCTGATGTCCTGGTGATCCGAGAGCCACCACTGCCCCTGGGCTGAGAGGGAGGATGGGGAGACTGGACCATGTCCTGAGCACAGTGATGCCCAGGTCTGAGCAGCTGCAGAGCCTGCGAGAGGCTGAGTCCTGTCCTCTGTCCCCCCCCCCCCCCCCGGCCAGGCACTGGACCGAGGAGATGCTGGACGAAGCCTGCAGGCTGGTCCTGGGCGAGGTCGCCATCCCCGGCGCAGCCCCTGGTGGCAGGGTGGAGTTCAGGAGGACCCTGCTGGTCAGCTTCCTCTTCAGGTTCTACCTGCAGGTGTCCCAGAGCTTGAGCCGCATGGTAGGTGGCCTGGTGGCCCTGGCTCTCTGTGGGGATCCAGACTGACTGGTGCTACGGGTGGTGTGGGGTTCTGAGGCCAGGTGGGTGGGTACCCTGGGGAGCCCTCCAGCTAAGCAAGAGCAGGCAGGCTCTGTTTGACTCCCCCTGGTTCTGATGCTGGCCAGTTGCTGTTCAGATAGTTTCCAGTCACTTGCTGATAACAGGACAGGCTCTGTCCTGCTTTTCAGGATCCGGGTCGCTATCCTAGCCTGGTAGGCAAATACGAGAGCGCCTTAGAAGACCTCTGTCTCGGACACCACCAAAGAACATTTGAGCTCCAGGTGAGGCGCTTTTGCTTATCAGGGAGACCGGGCCTCGCAGGGACTCCCAGCTCAGTAAGCCCAGCTTCTCTCAGGAGAATTCACAGCACCTTTCAATGTTGATTAAAATTAAAATCTCAAAACCCGGCAGGGGTGTCTCAGCAGTAGCGGACTTGCCTAGCAGGCACAAGATCCTCTGTTCAACCCCCAGCTAGAAAGAAAAATGTCAAAACCAGTGAGAATTGTGACCGAAAAGCAAAGCAGTGGTAGCTATCAGGAAGATGTTGCCCTTAGAGCCCTGGTTTTGTCCTGTGGCCTTGTGCTGCCCGTGGGAGGGAGCCAGCTGGCCTGCCCAGCTTCTGCTCCATGCTCTTGGAAGCCACCCCATTGCTGAGCTGGATAAGACCTGGCATGCTTCCCCTTGACATCATTATCAAGGAACTTGGCCTTAGGAGTTTAAGTCAAGAATGGGCAGACAGTTGTGAAAGAATCTGTGGTTGGATCTCAATACAAAAGCTTTCGGTATGTCGTAGCACATGCTGAATTTGCTATATCTCCCTTGAGATTTTTTAAAAACTCTGATACACTAAAATGCATGGAAGTGCATATTTTGAAAGTTAAAAACAGCTACCGTCTTCCCTGGCATTGATAGAAGGTGGCAGCCTCACTGTGACTTAGCCCCTCCTGACGTCACCTTAGCAATGAACAGACTCCGGAAGGGAGCAGCACATATCAGCTCGAGGTGCCCAGACAGTCGGTCGGGGGCGCGGACCTGTGCAGTGTGTCTGTGGGGAGTTTTGTTCCCCACGTTTCCTACTCTCTTCATACAGGCACTGGCATCTGTGTCATCAGAGCAAAGCCAGCCCTGGGGTAAACCCTGCCCCAAGCCAGGCCATTGTCTCCAGAGCATCTGACTCCGTGCATGGGCAGCGGCCAGGACTGCGCCCTGGCTCCTGACCTGGCCAGAGCCAGCTGTGGTCCAAGCAGTGGGCCCACATCTTTAGGTCTGGTGCTGGCTGGCAAAGGCAGGGTGCACAGTGGCCAGGCTGTGCGACCTATGACCAGGAAGTGAAAAGGGCCCCGTGCAAGCACTTAAACTCTGCCTCCCAGGCACTGGCCTCCCCGCTGCCCCTCTCCTCCCTTCCTCCCTCCTCACATTCCCCTCCCCCCTCCCCTTCCTCCTTTCTCCTCTCTCCTCCTCCCTCCCCCTTCCCTCTCCCTCCCCTCCCCTCCCCTCTCTCTTTCTCCGCTGTCCTCCCTCCCCTCCTCCCCTGCCCTCCGTGTGTGATTAGCAGAGGGGGAAGTGTGCATTTGTGCAGGTTCCACTGTAAGCTTAGTCTCCTCCACTTCTGCTCCTTTGCCCACCAGCCAGGACAGCTCCAGTGCCATCTGTCTATGACACACCAGGGCACTCCATCACGGTGCTCGGGCTCCACTGCGCTGGTCAGAGGGACACCTTTCGGGGTCTCTCAGAACCAGGAGCAGGTCACCACATGGAGCAGGGACACCATGCGCCTCAGGGTGGCTGGGGGAGCCTTTCTCCCTGCCCCTTAGACTTCCTCCCTCAAGACAGAGCGAGCAGTGGTTCCACTCAGAGTCGTCACCACGGCCTCATGCTCTGCACGTGCAGACAGCTGTGAGCCGGACTTGGGGATGCCATTTAACCGCATCCCTGAGTGTCAACGAGAGCCTGGCTTTGCACCCATTTATTCACATGTTTGGAACCTGTGTTCAGCCAAAGCGGGAAGCCCCACCATGGCTCCCCATTCCGCTTTCCTGCCAGACAACTTTAACACCTGTTGTCCTGCTGACCTGAGCAGGGACTGTTTCTCTCCAAAGCGCTCTGGGTGGAGTCGCTCACCACAGGCTCCCGGAGTGCCCACCCTGCCTTCCTCTAGAAGCCTGAAGAGTGTGCTTGTTCCTCACACAGAGCGCAGACGCCAAGCAGCTTCCTCAGGACCCCATTGGCCGCCCCATCATGCACCTGTCGGGGATCAAGCACACTACCGGGGAAGCCATCTACTGCGACGACATGCCCTTAGTGGACCGGGAGCTCAGCCTGGCCTTTGTGACCAGCTCAAGAGCCCACGCTGCCATCCTGTGAGTGTCAAAGCCACCACTTCGGCTCCGAGCAGGGACCAGAGGGGAGATGGGCAGACATGCAGGCCTGCTCTCTCCCATTCCCCACCGCAGCCTCGAGGTCCCCAGATCCATCCCAGGCAGGGCTCTGACATGTCCTCCCCGTCCCGCTCACCATGTCTTCCTCGGCTGTCCTGTGTGTCCAGCTCCATGGATCTGTCAGAGGCGCTCAGCCTGCCAGGTGTAGTGGACATTGTCACGGCCGAGCACCTTGGGGACGCAAACTCCTTCGCCAAAGAGACATTGCTGGCAACAGATAAGGTAGTGCGATGTTGCTTCCTGCTGGAAAAGTAGCTTCTTTAGTTAGCACTGTTTCTTGTTTTCTCCAGGACAGCACCTGATTGGCACGTCATAGACGATCCTGATATGCTTTGCTCATTACAAAGGTGCTATTAGCTACCGAATAAGCTCAAAACAGATTCGTCTTCCACAGAAGGAAGGACAGTGACGTATTACGTGGAAAGTTCCAGGAGTAATGCAGGGTGCTGCTAGTAGATCCAGAGGCAGGCAGGCTCCCCGGGAGCCCTAGCAAGCACTCTCGTCCTGGTGCCCCGAAGTCCAGTGCAGGTTCTCAGGGCATCTCTCCCCAAACTCATCCTGACGCTTCCATTTCTGGGGACTTGTGCCCAGGGGGCTGTTTTGTTTTGTTTTGGTTTGTGCTTTTGGCTCTGGGGATTGAGTCCATGTCTTCACATTGAGCTATATGACCATTTCTTTTAACTTTTTAGTTAGAGACAGGGTCTCACTAAGTCTCCAGGTGGACCTCTGGCCAGAATCTGTGATTCTCCTGCTTAGCCCCGGAGTGCTGGGCGTGCAGGTGCACCACTGCGCTCAGCCCATGGTTGTGTTTAAGTGAGCATCTGTTATGTCCAGTTTCCACATGACATGTGGCCCAGCCCTCCTAGAGTGTAGGGCACAGAGGAGGAGTCCAGCCAGTCTCCTGGGGGAAGCTCCTGTGTGATCTCCCTGGCCCCGGCCTTGCCTGACCGAGGACCTTGCTGAATCCTTCACGTTGTCCACACCCTGCTCCCCACACAGCTGGTGCTGTAGAGATGGCATTGCTGCTGTCTGAATGTGTCAGACACTAGACCTGGGCTCCTGGATCCCAGTAACTGTGCAGCTCTGACCTCCCTCAGAGCTCTGGGCTTGGAGCAGGCCATGCTCTGGCACTGGCTGGAGGATTTACTTGGAAAAAATGGAAGCAGATGTTTGGAATCACGGCTGAAGCCATCCCAGTGTAGGGCTGTGCAAGGCCCTGGCAGAAGCCTGAGTGTCACTGTGGTCACCGGCTTGCCTAGGTGTTCACTGACCCGAGGGCCCTGATGGCTCTGGCAGTGCCGTGTATCACAGCCCAGGCGCTAGGCCTGCACTGTTCAAGCCAGGAACAGAGAGCTCTTGGCCTGGTGCCTTGGGTTTAGATCCCTTTTAGCCCTCCTGTGCAGCCCTTTATGGCTTCAAGAAATCTCTTTGCAGAGCTGTGAACACAGAGCAGCGCCACCCCGGGCCCTGAGCTCAGCCTCTGGGGGTCCCCAATGGTGCGGGGACAGCGCCAGACTTGAGAGGCTGCCTCACTCGGCCCTCGCTGGCCTGGAGGGTGGTGTCCCCTCACTGTCTGCAGCCACCCTGTCTGGACGCTGCCTAAGATGTCCCTGTGCAGCCAGGGACAGATGGGATGTGGCTACTCGCTGGTGTGGCTGGCACGAGGGATCAGAGCCTGACCACGGGGTCTCCGTCTAGGTGCTGTGTGTGGGTCACCTCGTCTGCGCTGTCATCGCAGATTCTGAGGTCCAGGCCAAACGAGCTGCAGAGAAAGTGAAGATCGTCTACCAGGACCTGGAGCCGCTGATCCTCACCATCGAGGTGACAGCCCCTGAGCCCCCTGAGGTGTCCTGCAGGGAGGAGACGTCAGCCTTCGAGTGGGACAGGAAAGCCCAGCTCCACAGCAGCCTGTGATTCTTGGCACCAGCCAACAGGCGCTGTCCCTGTGCTCATGGACATAGCGCGGAGATGGCCTCTGGCTAGCGTCCCAGGGGAAGGGGACGAAATCCACCCACCTGACTAGGCTTTCGGGTCCCATGAACCAGCAGAGGTCACAGGAGCTGGGCTGGCCAGCGTCTCTGGGTTGTGTGGGGATGGGGCCTGAGGGCAGCACTAAGCGGGTGGCAAGCCTGGGAGCTGCCCGGTAGTCTGGGCAGGGCTCCTCCTGCAGTGGCACCACCCCCCTCTCGGGGCTCTGGGTACGGAGCCCTCAGGGGCCCCGAGGTGAATCCTCCAGCTCCACTGTCAGCTCTCGAATGCACCTGTAAGGGTCTTGAGCTGGATCCCCACCACCCAGAGGTGTCAGACCCTCTGAAGTGGCATTGGGGGCCCTAGGGTTTAGAGCAAGTTTGGAAATGCATGGAGGTTGTAAGATGCAGCTCCGTGAGATGGTGGCACCCGCCTGCTCACTCCCGTTGGCTCCTAAGTAATGAGATGAAACCACACACACATAGATCAGATTTGGGGATCCAGCACCACCCCGGAGAGAATAAGGGAGACCCACCCAAAGGTCACCATCGCCGGAGAACCTGGCTTGGTGTCACACTGCTTCTCACCTAGGAGCACAGCTCCCGCTCCTGGGAAATCTTCGTATTTTAAAATTAAAATAGAGTTGAACCGAGCAGGCAGAAATCTAGAAGGGTGGTTGCAGTCCAAAGCACAGCTGCACCCCAGAGCTCTTGCCAGTCTCGGACCCAGCACCCCAGCCTGGTGCACTGGGGCTCCTGCTGCCCACCTGGGGCCCAGGGCTGGAATTACTCTCACTCAATAATCATGCAGCCCTTCATCAAAACTTCATTTGAAACTGTGCTGGATGCCAGCAGTTTAAATATCCCTTCTCTTCTCCAACCCAGCCAAGTAAAAGTGCAAAGGTGGGCCGATCCCCAGACCGTTGAGGATGGGGCTCAGAGGCCAAGCTGCTTCCTTCAGCCTGGAGCACCCAAGTCCGTGTAGCAGGAAGTGTGGGAACGGAGTGGGTGAGAAATGGTTCCGAGCCCTGTGGGGCTGGGAGAGCGAACTGCACGCAGGGGAAGCTGGCAGGTGGGCACCATCTGCCACACGTGGGGGACATTACATTCTGCCTGCAGGGTCCAGTGGTGTCACAGATAAATTTCGCCACCTATCGCTGACCTTGAGGTTTAGCCTGGTGTGCATGGCTCAGAGAGCTCAGCAGTGCAGTGCGGGACCCTAGCTGACCTCGGTCCAGGGCGGGGCTGAGTGAGGCTCAGGGTGTAGGCATCAAGCTCCCCAGTACCTCCTTACCCCAGTGCTGCCATCATCGGCCTCCCTCTGTGGAGGGAACCAGGAGCCCAAGTCACCTGAGGCCACACAGAACTGGCATAGGGTCTGTCAGCAAACACTACTGGGGAGCCTGGGTTCTCTGGCAGTAACAGACAAACTCCCTTCTCGGTGGAGGAAAAGCCGGATTCTTGGGTGATCCTGTCAGGTGGGTGGGTGGGTGGGAAGGGGCAGCCAGAGGTAGGAGAGTTCCGAAGTGGCTGCAGGCTGGACATCCAGAATGGACCGGGATCCAGGGTGGGCAATGTGGGCGGGCGTTTCCGGGATGAGAGAAGACCGACCTGGACCCCCTGGGCCACATGCCTGGCTGTGAGCAGCACTGCGCCCCTCCTGAGGGGCCTGGGCCCTGGTCCTGGCCTGGCCTCAGTTTCCCATTGCCTCTAGGAAGCTATCCAGCATGACTCCTTCTTCGAGACAGAGAGGAAGCTGGAGAGTGGGGATGTAGCGGAGGCCTTCCGGACCGCGGAGCAGGTTCTGGAAGGTGAAGCTCTTGGCCCAGGGAGGGAGGGGGGCAGCCCACCTCTTGGAGCAGGCATTCACTGGAAATCAGACGCCCGACAGTGGGCGCCGTCCCCGTGGGCCCCATAGCCCCTTCCACCTCAGTACCCCCAGGAACCCCCGGCCGCTATGAGAACCCCGCATCTCACTTCCAGCGCCCTGAGCTGCGGTGCTGCAGGTGGCAGGCGGTGGTGACTCCAGCTCCAGAGCAGAGCCAGCTCCTCTCAGCTCTGCGGGTGCTAAGTGAAGTGGGTGTCTTGGGAATGGAGCTTGGCGCAAGCTCTGGGTACCTGTGGGTGTGAGCCTGGGCACAGTGGGCCAAGCTGGCCAATCGGCAAACACTGGTGCGTGAGGTTTGAATGTGCTCATCTTGGAGGGGGCGGAACCTCCTGGCTTTCTGTGCTCTTTGCTCTCTGTGGGGCACGTGTGAGACATCTGCTGTGTCACATTTTCTGCTCTTTCTTGAGTCAGCTCTTGGAGGAGACAAGAAGTCTAGAGTCCAGCAAGGAGTACACCTGGGGACTACCCCTCAGGCGGTTTTGGCCAGTTTTGCCCACTGCCGGCACTGCGGCCACTGAGTCTGTGCTGTGCCACGCCCTGCGGTCTTCCTCCTGCTGGCCACGGTTTGTGGCACTTTGGAGGGTTCATCTCTGATGCGGTGCAGTGCAGTCCCGTAGGTCGTCGTGCCACAGCCCTCCCCTCCGTGGCGTCTCCGGCCGTCTCTCTCTCTGTCTGTCGGCTCTGCTGTCCGTGCTACAGAACCTGACCCCCCTTTTACTCTCCTTCACCCCATATACGCACTGTTTTATGACTCCCGCCACACTGGGGCCCTGGGAAGCAACGCCGTAATTTTGTTTTAAACGTGCTTTTACAAACTCAAGGGGAAAGGGAAGTCTGCTGCATTCTTAGTCTTTCTGTTACTAATTGTTGCTTGCTGACGTTCTGACGTTCTTTATTTCTTAATCATTTCCTTCTGTTTCTGGAAGGTGGAATTTTCCCTTCCCGAGGGATTTAGACATCCAAGCCTGCAGGTTCTTGGGAGCCCGTCCGAGTCTCAGCTGCCCCTGCACAAGGCAGGGCTTGTCTGACTGCTTGCTACAAAGGGTTGGCCTTTTGTTTTTGTCTTCAGTTTTCTGAGGTTTGAACGTGACGTCTCCTGGCATGGGTGTCTTCGGGTTGGTCCGGTGGGGTCAGAGCCTGAGGCTTGTCTCTCGCCACATCTGGGAGCCCTCATTCCCGCCAGCACTTAGTTTCGGTGACATGGAAGTCAGATCTTTTTTGGTCACACAGGTTTCTCAGGCTCCACTCATCTTTTCCTTGTGTTTCTTTTCCTGCTGATCAGGCTCTTGTTCACTGGTCATTTTCTCTGTTCTCTCTGTTCTATTGTTGAGAGCACACACGAAGCATTTAAATTTTTAATTCTTGAACAGTAAATTTTCATTGGAAATTTTCCCTGGTGTTTTTTGCCTTGCGTTTCTTCACCGACTTTCTGTGTTTTGGAAACTGCTCAGAGGCGTCCATACGACTGCCGATTTGGTGTCCTTGTTGGTAGCCTCAACCTCCTGTCACCGGGGTCCTGGCTGCTCTGGGTCTTTCCCATGGAAGCCGAGGTTTTCCTGGCCCTGGGGTGACCAGTGGCTCCTTCATTTGCGGGGCACTTGGTTCTGTTCTAGGGTTCTGGGTCTTGTTGGGATCTTCTCTTCTACACCCAGCCCTGTGCTGGCAGACACCAGGGCCTGGCGCTTGTTGTTGCCACGTGGGGTCCTGGTACAGGTCCCTGATATGGCACCTGCGTGCTGGTCAGGGCTAGGCTCCCCTGCAGGTCTGGGGGCTGTTGGTTTCTGTGCGGCTTGGTTGGTGTGCGCTGCCTCGAAGTAGCTGATCACCCTGCGCGCCCTTTGGCCGAGACTTGGCTGCTGAGAGTGGGTCCCTTGGGGCCTTCCTCCATCTCTGCCCGTGGGGTTTGGGGTCCCTGGCTTCTGCAGAAGCAGGGCCGTGTGCACAGGTGACCCGTGACGAGAGCCTCAAGCCCAGAGAGCCCCACTGCGTCCTGCTGCAGTTTCGGTGTCCCTGTTGGTCACCTCACTGTTCTGAGGGGGGCATGTTTGGGAAGAACACACGAGGAGACTTTCAACCTCTTGGCTGACCAAGGATGACCTCGGTTGTGTCCAGAGAACAAAGGAAAAGTCAGGGTTTTGGGGGGCATTGAGGCCCAGGCGAGTCGTGCAAGGAGAAAGCTCCCTGGCACAGTGCAGCGGCCACTGGCATGTCCGACTTGGCACGCCAGCATGAGTCTTGCGGTTCCTCCTCAGTCCCCGAAGCTCTGGGTTGGACTCGGCCTCAACAGTAACAGCCGGGCACTGCCATCACCTGCCTGCTGCCCTGACTCCCAAGCACTTTCCCGACAGGTTCAATCCATATGGGCGGCCAGGAACACTTCTACATGGAAACCCAGAGCATGCTTGCTGTGCCCAAGGGTGAGGACCAGGAGATCGACCTCTACGTGTCCACACAGTTCCCCACGTACATCCAGGTAACACCACTGCTGTGTGGGGACACAGAAGCAGACCTCTGTGAGAAAATGTGCCGAGTGACTAGAGACAAAGGGCTACTCCCTTAGGAACTGAGAAAGTCTGGGCACTAGTGGTCATGCTGCTGTGGACTGCAGTGGCCACCCGATTAGAGCAGGCACCTTCTATAACTTCAGAACCAACTACACAGTCAGTGCACGTCTTTTGCTGTTCTCAGTGTCCTGGAATCAAAAGCAAAGAGGAAGGTTCGCCCGCCCTGGTGAGCAGCAGGACAGGGAGAGTTAGGGTCTGGGGGTGCCAAAGAATGGGGCCCACATTCAGAGATGAACCAAGGTGGGAGGAGACAGCACCCACAGGGAGAGGGCCTGAGCTACTGCAGAGGGCCTGGGGTTAGTGGGTAGGGATGCTGTGAGCTGCTGTCATCCCCAGGAAATCGTCGCCTCGACCTTGAAGCTGCCGGTTAACAAGGTCATGTGCCACGTGCGTCGTGTCGGCGGGGCCTTTGGGGGCAAGGTGGGCAAGACTGCCATCCTGGCGGCCATCACGGCATTCGCCGCCCTCAAGTAAGTGGGGATGCTGCTGATGGTGGAGGGGCGGCCTTGAGGAAGCCTCAGTGACCGGGCCCAAGAGGAAGAAGTGGAACCGAGGCCCCTTAACCCTGCACGGCAAACACACAGACTCCGAGCTCATTACCATTCATTAATGTCGGTTGTCCAGTCTAGAACTCTGAAAACCAAAATAAGACCTGATACGGATGCGAGCAAGAGTCACATGGAGCTAGTGGGGTACCGGGGGAGTGGACGGAGCAGCGCTCTGCCCTGCTGGCTGCACTGTGCGGGCCTGACTCCTCCTCCGGAGTGCTGCTCCCTGGCCACCGCTTTTGCTGGGCTGCGTCTATTTATGCTGCCAATTGCCTGCAGGCCTCAAACATTGCTGCAGGAAACCTTTGCCCAGCAGTGCTGCCAGGTCCTCTATCCTGGGAGAAAAAAATCTTGGTCTAGATCCACCAGCTTCTGCCATTTCAGGCCTGTTTTTAGGGATTTTTTTTTTGTACTGGGGCTTGAACTCACAACCTCATGCTTGCCAGGCAGGGGCCATGCCGCTGAGCTGTGTCCCCGGCCCCTGGTCCTGCCACTTGTCACTAGTCTGGTGTGTGGACTCGGGCCATCTTCCTACTGCAGAGGCAAAGCCCACTGCAGGCCTGGGGGGGGGGAGGCTGCAGCGCACCAGGGTCAGGAGCAGCGTGGACAGAGCCCAGTGTCCTTCGTGTGGTGCCCCTGGGGTGCTGCAGTGAGAATTCACCTTGTCCATCTTCTGTCAGGCACTGCCGGGCCGTCCGCTGCATCCTGGAGCGAGGGGAGGACATGCTGATCACTGGGGGCCGCCACCCGTACCTCGGGAAGTACAAGGCAAGTGAGGCGGGCGGGGCCGGCGCTCCACCACCCTGTCCGCGTCTGTGCTGCCAGTGAACTTGTGTCTGGCACTGGACGCTCTTCGGCTTCGCCCAAGGAAAACTGACCAGACAGCACTGTGCCGCACAGGGTCAAACATGGGGAGATCTGCCAGTACACACATCCACGAAGCCCATCTGGTAACCACACTTATTCCCCTATATAGAGAAAAATAAGACAGGATAATTCCCATAACAATTGTGTTACTTGCAAATGGGCTCCTCACCTTTTAATGCATTGAAGGTATTTTGGAAATTTGTGCCCCAGAAATCCCTAGACAGGTTTTCACAGCAGAAAATAATTATTCTTTTGCTTCGTAAGAGATCATTGGGGCCAGGGATATAACTCAGTAGCAGATATCTACCTGGCAAGTGCAAGGCCTTGAGTTTGATTCCTGGTACAAAAAAAAAGAAATCATTGTTTGGGCCAGGGATTTAGGTCATCAGCACAGCGCCTGCCTGCTAAGTGTGAGGTCATGAGTTCCGTCCCCCGTACAAAAAAGAGAAAGAGAGGCAGTTGTGATCACAGTGGACTAGCTGCTATCGCAAACAACACGGCACTCTGGAGCTCTTAACCTTCACAGGTTGTTCTGGGGTCCCGTCATGGCCCTGTGAGCTTTCGGAGCGTGATGGGGAGGGCTCCACGCAGGAGCTTGAGCTCTGAGTTCCTCTGGTGGCACCTCCATGCCACTCCTGGACTGTACCGTCCGATACATTAGGAGTTGTGCATGGCTGCTTGGGTTCTCCTTTAAGCCAACTACATTAAACTGCCACGTAGTTCAGTGGTTGGTGACACTAGGCTGGGTGCTGCCCGCCGGGAGCCCTCACAGGGAAGTCCTGTCGAGAGGTTTGGGAAGGGCACTGCACGCCCTCAGGGTCCCTGTGACAGGCGGCCAACAGCAAGAGTGACGTGTGATGGTGCACACGGGAGCTGCAGGCACTGGGCCTGTCCACGGAGGACCCAGGTGGCTTTCACTGCCACTGCAGGGAGGCTGGCAGGAAGGAGGGTGGGAGGGTCACCTGAGACAGGGTCGGTCAGACCAGACCCAGTGGCACCTGATAGATGACAGTGGGATGGAGAGGGGACGAGCCCAGGAGCAGCAGAGTTTGGTGGAAAATGAGGCCAAGCACCACAGGGATCAAACCAGGAGCAGGCCTGGGGAGAGTCCAAGGGATGTGCTGGCAGGGAAGGGGAGCAGTGGGGACGCTGCTGTGTGGTGGTGCTGGGGAGAGCGCGGAGGCAGCAGTGCCCTTCGCCAGCATGGACCTGTGGAGGGAACCAGACTGAGCTGTGAAGCCGTCAGGGTAGTGCAGGGACAGTGGCCGTGTGCCCGGGTGTAGTGCGGATGGCGCTGGCGTCCTGTGTGGGACGTTGCCTTGTGCCTGTGATCTGTGTGCACCGCCTTGTTTATTCATCCAGCTTCCACGGCTGCCGGGGCCCCGGGAGCTGGGTACAGACCCAGACCTACGCCTGAGGCTTTTCCAGGGTTGGCACTTGGGGGACTGAGTGCCCGGCCAGCCGGCGTCAAAGGTCAGCTTTCTCCCCAGGTGGGATTCCGGAACAACGGCCAGGTCGTGGCCCTAGACATGGAGCATTACAGCAATGCGGGCAGCACCCTGGACGAGTCCCTGATGGTAAGTATCTGCCGGGGAGTCACCGCTGCAGAGCAGCTGCGGAAATCTTCAGTCACCGCAGTCATTTTTCACTCTGAGAGGCCCGAGCCCTCCTTCGAGGGGGCACTTGCTCGGAAATGTGAAAATTAACATAGCAATTTCAAAGAAGAGTTGCTGGAGTCCTTTGGACCTCTTCAGGGCAGCTGAGCTGGGGTGTGGTGCAGGCCTGGGTTCACGGAGTGCAGGAGGCAATGCTGTCTGTGCCTGATTTTTGGTCTGAGGCCTCACGGTGGCAAATGGGTGTGGAGGACGAGGTTCTCATCATGTCCCGGCCTCCGCAGGTGGTGGAGATGGGGCTTCTGAAAATGGAGAATGCATACAAGTTCCCCAACTTGCGCTGCCGTGGCCACGCCTGCAAAACCAACCTCCCCTCCAACACAGCGCTGCGCGGTTTCGGCTTCCCCCAGTCCGGGCTCATCACCGAGGCCTGCATCGTGGAGGTGGCCGCCAGGTGCGGCTTGTCCCCGGAGGAGGTAACGTGGACTCCCCCACACCCCTCGGGTGTCCTTGCAGGATGGCGGGCTGGACAGGACCAGGGTTTAGGGGCCGTGCCTGGCCGTCCCTCGAGCCTACCCGCTTTCCCACCACAGGTCCGAGAGGTGAATATGTACCGGGGAACTGAGCAGACGCACTACGGACAAGAGATCCACACCCAGCGCCTGGCCCAGTGCTGGAGCGAGTGCAAGGCCAAGGCCACCTTCTCCCTGCGGCGGGCAGCCGTCGACAGATTCAATGCAGGCAGTCCCTGGAAGAAGCGAGGGCTGGCCATGGTGCCCCTGAAGTTCCCCGTGGGCCTGGGCAGTGTCGCCATGGGCCAGGTGGGTACCCACACAGCTAGGCAGCGCTGTGTGGCGGCACCATCCACCCCATGCTGTGGGACATGCTGCCTTGTGGCTGCAGGTTGCAGTCACTGTGCTGAGCCGGGCTGGGTGGAGCTGGCTCCCTGCAGAGCATCTGGGGCCTCTGCCACACCCACACCTGGGGGTCGACCCTGGGATCCACCCAGCTGCCTGCGGCTTCTGGTCAGGAGCAGAGTGGACAGCTGTGTCAGGCATTGGATGGGGTCCACCAAGCCCAGAACAGTGAATCACTCCCAGTGTCAGGAGCTTGTCCTGCCTTGCACGTCCCTGGAGTGGCGGTGCTCTGTGGAGAGCTTACGCCCCGGAGCCCTCACTCCCGGGGCCTGGCTGCAGAGCCCGGCTAGAAAGCACACAGCCTCCTGTGGGCCCACCATGTCCAGCTGTGCCCGTTATGTGTGTGTCAGCAGGACCTGGGGGACAGAAGGAAAAAGACCATTTCTAAAACCTGCTGTCACTGCCACAGCCCGTCTTGGTGCCCCCGGGGCCCTCTGCTCACCATCTCGTCTCTGCACAGGCTGCCGCGCTGGTCCACGTTTACCTGGACGGCTCTGTGCTGCTCACGCACGGTGGGATAGAAATGGGGCAGGGTGTCCACACAAAGATGATCCAGGTAAGTGTGCAAACCACCGATGCTGCTGTGTATGTGCAGCACACACATTCACCAGAGGAAAGCCATGAGTACCGGTGCCCTGAGCCAGACCCAGTACAGGCGACCCTGGCCGCAACAGCAGCAGTGCTGCAGTACCAAGCCCGAGAGCGCAGCTGTGCCCCACCCCACCCCACCCGGGCTGTCTGCCAAGCTGTGTCAGTGCCTTCCCACCCAAAACACATGGCCTCTGGAGCTGCATGGTTTCTCAACCTGAACCACCCAGAACATGACCCCTACTTGACATTTTTAGCAGAAATTTTACTAGTTTGCTTTTGGCTCCCTTATTGTAGATTAATTTTAAACTACTAATTTCATAATTGTGGTAGAAAGTTAATATTATAGGTTATAAAACATTTAGAAAAGATAGAATGTTTTTTAAAGGCTTACATGGTTTCACCTCTTCATGAGTTTATTTGGGGTCCTTCTGTTGTGTCCCTACGCTGTGTCAAGGTGGACATTGGCTCCTCCGCTCATTAACAATTCTGTGCCCTCACGATCCTTGGGGCTCCCGTGGGTGTGATCCATTAACCATTCTCCTGTTATTGAACACTTCTGTGAATATTTTTGTCCCTTAACCTACTGCCCTATCCATGATTATTTTCTTGAAATAGTTTACCAGACATGAAATTCCTGAGTCACAAGGTGTGAATATTTCAAATCGCTTGACGTATTTTGCCAAGTTATTTTCTGCAAGTTGTTCACATCCTTGTAATTCTGCACAATATCCAATGTGACTGACTGCTGATAATATCAGTGTAGTTTGCTAGGAAAGTGAAGGTGCCCACTGTTGCTGATGACAGAGGTGTTGGCATATGCTGTCCTCTGGGCTGTCAGCCCCTTGAGGATGTCTGATGGCCTTGCCCTGCTTTGGGAGGGTTCAGGGTCCTTGGGCTGGGTCCCCAGAGGCTGTGACCCCAGAGCCCCGGCACTCCATATGGCCAAGCTCCGAGAGCTGGTGTTGGGGCAGGCCCTGGTGCCCGCAGCTGCATTGGGTGAGCCTGGCTAGGGTGCTGCCCGCAGATCTCCAGGGAGGATGCCTGTGTCCTGCAGTGCTGGAAGTAAGAGCCCAGCACCCTGCAGAGCCCACCTGCACTCCTCAGTACAATCACGCAGCTGCTTGCAGGCTGCTGAGAGCAGCAGTGATAGAGAGCAGCGTCCCGTTGTTGGTATCCCGCTTGTCTAGAGTGCCACAGTCTGCAGGTAGAAGGTGCTGCAGGCAGGTGTCCCTTTCGTGATTTTAAGGACTCCAAAGTGTTCCTTCCCACCTCGCCTGGGCTCCCCCACTTTCCCAAAAGGATGATGAGAGTCTGGGGAAAAATCGTGCACCCAGAACTCAGGGTCCAGACAGGCTCCTGCAGCAGGGCTTCCGTGCCTGTGAGCCTGCGTGCGTGCAGCACCTCACACTGCAGCCTGGGCCTCGTGTGGGGCCACACTGCCTGGACACACACTCTGTCCGGAACCCAGGTGGTGAGCCGGGAGCTGAAGATGCCGATGGCGAACGTCCACCTGCGTGGGACAAGCACCGAAACCGTCCCTAATGCCAATGTCTCCGGAGGCTCTGTGGTGGCCGATCTCAACGGGCTGGCAGTAAAGGTAAGCGCTGCTCGGAAGATGGGCTGGCCCGTGGCCGCTGAGGGGCTGGGCTTCCTCCTCACTGCCTCCTTTCCCAGCCTGTACCCTGCAGTCCCCTGGACCTGAGGGCCACCTCTGTCGCCCTGGCTCCCAACCTTTCATGTCCTTTTACCCCACCCAAAATGCCTGGCTCCTGCTCCCACACCACCTCCCCGCGTCCATCACTCCCCCCCCCCCAGCACTGCTACAGGGCTTCCTCTCTCCTTCCCTCCCTCCCTCACACAGCCACTGCCCTGTGGGGGACAGTCCCCAGGGCAGATCCGCCACCTCCCGAAATGACTGCCTGCCACAGGTTTCCTGCTGATCCCAGCCCCTGCACTTGACTTGGCTTATGAGGCCACTGCCTCGAAGACCTGCTCGCCCCAGCAGGGTCCACACACGGCCTTTCCAATGTCTTCTCAGGGGGACGGTCCGAGCCATGGCCCCTGAAGCTTGCAGATCAGCCGCAGGAGGACGCGGTGTGTTCTTTGGTTATAATTTTAATTTAAATCTGCGACCCCTAGGACGCCTGTCAAACTCTTCTGAAACGTCTGGAGCCCATCATCAGCAAGAATCCGAAAGGGACGTGGAAGGAGTGGGTGAGAATCACTGGTTCTCTGTGCTTCATGTTAGGACAGAGGACGAGGGGAGACTGCGGGCTGAGTAGACATCTGCAGAAGGGACAGTGCAGAAGGTCCAGGCGCGGGGACAGGGAAGTCCTACCGTGGCACGGCAGGGGGTGCTTTTATCCAGGAAAAGGCTCTTGCTCCTCACTGGGTGATCTGGAAACGCCCCCTGCTTCCTCAGAGGCACATAATACCCACCTGGGAGAGGAGACCACCCTCCCAGGGCCCCAGTGAGTGGCTCAGGTCGCAGTGAGAAAGCAGTGTGTGGTGTGGGCCAGGCACTGAAACGCTGTGCTGGGCCGGCAGGGTCATGACATTTAGGCCCAGTGTGAGAGATCCTGGCAGAGGCCTCCACTGCAAAGCCGCTCCAGACTGGGGTGCAGCTCTGTGGAGCCTGCTCAATCCCAGCAACGCCCCACCATGAGGGGCTCCTGCTGTTCTTGAGGGCAAGGGCCTCTCTGCCACCCGTTTGTGGCTCCCCTGAGCCCTGCTGGGCTGCAGACAGCAGCCGAGCAGTACCCCCCAGGGCACATTCCCCCAGGCTACCCTCATGGGACAACACCTCTGTCCCGGCTGCGGAACCCGTGTTGCACCCTCAGACCCAATGCTGCTTTTCTGGGAATCGGTCAGCTGTGAGCCTCTTCGGTCAGAACTTTCTGTGTCAGTGGGACAATTGAGCCCAATCATTCCCTGCTGTGGACACAGGTGTGGATTTGGGGCTGAACCTGAGCATGCAGCTGGCCATCCTCCCCTTGGTGCCCCTAGCAGAGGCTCACCTCTCCAAGGGCGGGTGTCACCTCATCAGCACCGCAGAGGTGCCTGCCCAGTCACCCTGGCAGCAGTGCCCACTAGCCATGCAACACTCACACCGTCACGCAGTCCCAGCAGACGCCGTTCTAGCACAGGGAGCCCAGTGCTGGGAGAGAGAACCCGAAGGAAGACAGGGACCAGAACCCTCTCATGACTGCTGCCCTGTGGCACACCAAGCACACAAGAGGTGGGAGCCCCAGGGACCTCTGCCTCCACGCCCCTCACAGGTCGTATTCCTCCTCCCCAGGCACAGGCTGCATTCGACCAAAGCATCAGTCTCTCAGCCATCGGATACTTCAGGTAACAGCTCCTAGTGCATGCTATGTGGGGGCGCCATGGACCCTCGAGGCTGGGCCCACGCGCTGAGCTGCGCCTCAGCTCTGCTTTACTTTTAGTGTGAGGTGGGTCTCACTGAGCTTTAAGGTCCCAGGTTGGGCTCCAGCTGTGATCGTCCTGCCTGGACCTCACAGCAGGGGCATCTTGGCAAAGAGTTTGAGTTCTGTGTTCAGTCCTGGCGAGGCACATGATTTACCTTCAGTTAACCTTGGCTATAAAGAACAGAGTGTCCAGTGGTCTGTTGCTGGGGAGAGGGGGCCCCCAACAAAATCCAGCGAGTGAGGAGTTCCCTCAGCTGGCGTGGGTGTTCGAGGTTGAACTACACTGCTGTGGTCGGCTTTTGGCCACTGTCTGGGAGTCCCAGGGCCCTGGCGTGGGCACTGGGAGCATCTCTGGAGACGGAGCAGAGAGTGAGGACTGACCATCGGCCTCTCTACCCAGTGGTGGTCAGCAGACATCCTCGAGGAGGAAGGGGCTGGCACAGGCCATGCACAAGGGTGGTGGAGAGAACAGAGCCAGAGCAGACAGGGCAGGAGGCTTGCGCCTCTGCCGAGGGGCCTGAGCCACACAGACTGAGTCCCCAGTTCCCCTGGGGACCCTGCAGCTATGTCACCTCCTCGGAGAGCAGCCCAAGGAGGATGAGTCACCCAGGAGCCCTGGCTGTTTCTGTGGAGTAGCTTGAGCTGCAAGAGAGGGAGCTGGGCCAAGCAAGCCTGAGGCCCCGGTGGCAGCTTTTCATAAGCACAGCCTCAGTGGCTCTGTCCTGGCTCCTCCAGGGGCTACGATGCAGACATGGACTGGGAGAAGGGCAAAGGCCACCCGTTCGAGTACTTCGTATATGGAGCTGCCTGCTCGGAAGTCGAGATTGACTGTCTGACAGGGAACCACAAGGTCAGTGCCAGCAGGATAGGTCCCTGGGGCCGCTGCAACACCCCACACCCTCCCCCTCTCGGGAGCCGTGCCCTGCCCCAGGGTGAGCTCTGCATGGGTCCCTGGGTACCTGATCCTGCTGACCAGGCCGAGGCCAGCTCTCAGAATCTCGGTGCCCACAGGTCCCTCCTTTTAGCTAATTCTTATGAAGGAGATGCACACACTGACAGACAGGTGTGCCTGCCCACACGCATACACTAGATTTGAGCATCTGGTTTTTTGTCCTGTACCCGGCCCTGGCTCTAGGGCAGCCACTGCTGGTGCAGCAGTAACAACACACACTCACCCGAGCGTCCGGGGGGCCGCGCTTGCCTTGGCAGAGGCCGTGTGATCGGGTGCTGGTCTGGTGCGAACCTGTCCAAGGCCTACCCAGGAGCAGCTCCAGTGTCGGGCCGCGGTCAGACGGGAGTTTCATTTCAGCAGTCTTTCCTACACCAGCATCAGCCCACCTCTCCTGGCTGCCTGCTCAAAACCTGGCCAGTCTGGGCCTAACTCAGCCTGAGTCTGGCTAGGGAGCTTCCGGGACCCTGAGCAGTGACCACTGTGAGCTTTCACAACAGGGCAGCCGTCGGGTCCACTCGGGCTCTCGCTCCAAACCCCTCCCCCCAAAGAAAAACTGGACAGATGTGCCAATCTGTGCACAGCTCGTGTGTGCCTGGGCCATGTTAAGATCCAAGTCAATGACCAGCCTAGCCGTGTGCATCCGAGGCACCTAAGGGTGTACAAAACCATCTCATCATGATATCCAGGTCAGCAGCCCAGGGGTGTCACTCCAGGTAGGAGGGCGTCTCCTGACACCCTTTCCCCGCCTCCCTGGCCTGCTTCCTGGCCATACCTCCAGGTGACAGACCTGCCCCATTCCCACAGCATTCCCCTCCTCAGGAACCCAATCCGAACCCTGGTTAGCTAGTGCTGATATAACAAGTAACAAATATTCGGGAGCTGCAGCCCCTGCTGGGGTCAGCCGTGGGAGAGGCTTGTCTGAGTGACCCTGGCTCGGCTTCTTGTGAGGTTGTGGTCACCTCACGGCTCCTGGGGCCAGGACCCCTGCTTCTGAGTCACACCCCATGGTCCTCAGTGGAGGTCTTGGTTTCCCTCGGCTCCTCGCTCCTCGGCTCCTTGAGTGGCCCTTCCTGCAGGCTGCCTGGGGCAGTGACCACCTGAGCTCAGAGAGCCACTGTGTTGCTTCTGCTGTCCTCGGTGGCCAAGTGGGTCAGAATTTTGCATCCACCTTGTCTGTCTGTGAGCGAGGGAGGAGAGATCAAGTTTCACTACAGCGGAGCACTATAAACCACCAACTAATTCTCCTGAGAGAAGCAGGAGACGGGAGGGCCAGCAGGACTCTGCCTCCCTTTGTTCTGTGGTGTCTGTTAGGGTGGAGACATCCAGTGTCAGCAAAGAAGTTGCAGAATTCCTGGGGCATGGTGGTGCCACCTGCGCCCCATTTGTGTCCTCAGAGCAAGCTGACATCAGACCTGCTCTCCCTCCGCCCTCCTGAGAGTGAGGCTAAGCAGCAGGTGCAGCTTGCAGGCTGCCACCCTCCCGAGCTGTGTGTCCCAGGACTGGGCCTGGGCCGCTGGGAGCTCTACTGACCCCGTGCAGCAGGGATGGCCCAGCACGGGGCTTCCTCTGGGTGTCACCCAACACTGCCCTGGGCCTTCCTCTGGGTCTGTCCCCCATGCAGTGAGAATCAGAGTCAAGTAAACATTTCATTCTTCTCACGCTCCAAGAAGGAAAAAACCCACCACTGCTTAGGAGTATTTGTGCAACCTTGACAGTTTTACATAGTGAAGTCTCTGTGGCCTGTTCCTTCTGAAATAACACGGTTCGAGAATCTTTGCCCCACTGTTGGCTGGGCAGGAAGTGTCCCTCTGCTGCCCCAAGCCGAGTCCTCTGCAGGGAAACAAACGCCGGGGCTTTGTCTTTGTCTCCAGAACATCCGGACAGACATCGTCATGGATGTCGGCCGCAGTATCAACCCAGCCCTCGACCTAGGCCAGGTGCGTGTCACCCTGCCACTCCCATTCGCTGCAGCAGAGGGTGCCCGCACTCTCAGCCTCCTGATGGCCTTCCCTCCACCCGCTCCTCCTTACTGTCTAAGAAGGCAGGAGGTGAGGCGGGAGGGGCTCATGAAGAAAGCACCCTGTGGGGAACGGGGACCGTGTGAGGAGAGGTGGCCCGGGGCCAACAGGGACAGGAAGTGACAGTCAGGCAGGGCCGGTCACAGCCCCATTTCTAACCCCTGTGAACTGACACATGCACAGTCCCGAGGGTCTCACGCTGGACAGTGACGGGCCGCCTCACGCTGCCTCTGCCCAGCACCTCCAGTGTAGCCCATCCTACAGTGTCCCCAGGTCCCCACCATGCATCACGGGAACTAGGAGAATGTGGGGGTGCCTCAGGAGGTTGGGGAGGAGTCAGCCCAGAGAAACCTGGACGTTGTACACCCCTGACAAAAGCCTGGCCCCAGGACACTGCCTGACAGGAAGGTCCCAGCTCTGGCAGAGGTGACCCAGAGTGTAAGGAAGATCCATCTGACCCCCAGGGACCCCCCCTGGGGCCGGGGCTGAGGAGGAAGGAAATCAGAGGAAGGTTAGGGTCCTGCCTAGGGACCCCTGCCCTGACACACTGTGGAGGAACAGTGCCGAGACTGAGGCTGGCCATGGCTGTCTCACAGGCAGGGCACGGGCTCAGGGGACAGCCTCCGAGGGGTCTGGTCTGTGTGGATCGGGCAGCCGGTTCTGTGGACAGCGGTACCCTCTGGCCTGTCTGGCCTCGGTCCAAAGCCAAGCAGTGACATGGTGCTTGTTGCCGACCTGGCCAGGTCTGGAGGTGTCCAGGCTGGGCCTCCTGCAGGCGCCCTGCCGCCCAGGCCCCTCCTCGGCTCTGCCGGGAGCGCAGCGGCATTGGGGGAGCTGCGCCCCTTGGGCTGCACTTTCCCAACGTAGGGTTTGTTGGAGCCAGGTGGAAGGCGCCTTCATCCAGGGCATGGGGCTGTACACCTCGGAGGAGCTGAAGTACGGCCCCCAGGGCGCTCTGTACACGCGGGGCCCTGACCAGTACAAGATCCCGGCCGTCTGCGACGTCCCTGCCGAGCTGCACGTCTTCTTTCTGCCTCCATCCAAAAACTCGAATACCCTGTATTCGTCCAAGGTGAGCCGTGCGGGTCCAGTGTGCTGGGTGAGCCCGGGGGCAGCCAAGGTCTTCGCCTAGGGCCTGTGGGTCTCCATTGGGATCTCGGGGACACCCCCTAGAGTCCCCAGCAGAGCAGCAGAGCAGCGCGGAGTCCTGAAGCGGCTGCTCTTTCTATGGAGCTGCCCTGACTTTTCCTCCTGAACAATTCTCTTCAGACTGGCGTCTGATTTCTGTGCTTGGGGTCATTTCCTTAGGCAGGAGTTCTAAGGCAGGAATAGTGGGGCAGAGGTTCAGTTCTTTACTAAGTGCTTATGTGTGCATATGTATTTTATACATGCATAAGAACTGCATGTCTACACACACACACACAGACATGGGGTGACCATGCTGCCTGCTTCCTGCAGGGCCTGGGGGAGTCCGGGGTGTTCCTGGGGTGCTCCGTGCTCTTCGCCATCTGGGATGCGGTCAGTGCTGCAAGGCGGGAGAGAGGTCTGCCTGGGACCCTGGCACTCAGCTGCCCGCTGACCCCGGAGAAGATCAGGATGGCCTGCGAGGACAGGTTCACCAAGATGGTAGGTCCACTGGGAGAAGGCTGGGATGATGCTCAAGCTTTGGCTCTGCCCCAGGTGTTTGGGCTAAAGAGCACGCTGGCCCTGAGCTTGGAACCGTGAGTTGGCTGCATGGCTTGGGAAGAAGCCTCATTCACCAGTTTCATGTCCCCCTGTTCTGCTCCCTCCCCTGGAGAAGCTCACAACCCAGTGTGGACCCCTGGGCCACGCCCACAGCCCGCCCTTCCCCCAGCAGGCCGGGAGAGCCCTGCCAGACCCTTTCTGGACCCCACTCTCCTCCTGCTCAGTGTGAGGGCAGCATGGACCCCAAGTATCCCTTGGGCCCTCCAGGCCTGTGCACTGCTGCTTCTGACCTCTCACCACCCTGCACCCAGGGCCCCTGTTCTGCTGTTTTCCATCCTAGTAACAGGCATTTCCCACATTTGTTCTATTCTAGATTCCAAGAGACACCCCTGGATCCTACGTTCCTTGGGACGTTGTTGTGTGAAGCACACCAAACCTCTGGAGGCCGAGAGATTCCCCAGCCCCTCCGCCTCTGTGGAGAGAGAAGGACAGATAGATGGGTGGTTGATAGGTGATGGAGGATAGGTGATAAATGAGCAGAGGGTAGGTGGTAGAAGACAGGTGATAGGTGATAGAATATAGGTGAAAGATAATGGATTATAGATGACATTGATAAATAGGCATAAGCAATTTACATAGAACACTTTAAATGGTATGAATATTGACTTTCCCCGGAGGATGATATTCTCCCTTGGACTGGAAAACATGATTATTTTTATGTGATTTTTATCTGGCTTGTGTTCAGCAGCAGAAATTATACTGCCTACTGAAAGACAGCTGTCTGAATAAGTTTTTTCCGAATGTGAACTGTGAAGTTACTGTTTTTCCCCTTGTCCCCATTTGCGATCCACCTGAGGCTGTGTATCAAAGTCTGTGGAACCCAAAGAGAAACACAGATTGAACATCATCGACCCTGACAGAACGCACACCTTCAAGGACGATCCTGAAAGCTGAGAATGTCCCTCTGTGGTAGAGTGATGGCTTAGGCACTCAAGGCCCTAGTTCAGTCCTCACAGCATGAAGCAAATGATCTGGGAAGAAACCCAGAAAAAAGGAGAAGATATTTGTCAATACTATGTCAAAAAAAAGACTTGTATCTAGTATATATAAAGAACACAACTCAACAGTAAAACACAGGACAACTTAAAAATGGTCAAAGGAATTGAATAGACATAGGTCCAAAGAAGGCAGCTGGGGATTTAGCTCAGCAGAACAGGGCCTGCCTGGCAAGCCCACAGTCCTGAGTTCAGTTCCCAGTGCAACACACACACACACACACACACACACACAGGCCAATGAGACCATGAAAAGCACTCCAGCTCACCAGCCGTGAAGGAAATGCAGATAAAGCCACAGCAAGAGGGGCTGGGATAGAACTCAGAGGCGTAAGTGCCTGCCTGGCAAGCTTGAGGCCATGGGTTTGATCCCTGGTACCAAAAAAACCACAATGAGACACCATTTCACACACATGGGACACAGCAGGAGGCTGAAATCAAAGTGACTGATGATGGCAAGTGTTGTGAGGATGTGGAGAGCCCGGGCCACTGCTGGTAGAATGTAAGACAGTGTAGACACCATGGAAACCAGCTGGCAGTGCCTCCGAAGTCAGACTTACCACGTGAGCACTCTTAGGTAGACGCTGAAGAGTTTGGAAACATATGTCCCCACCCAACTTGTCCAGCAAGTGTTCATAGAATGTCTCATAATCACCCCCAAATGAAAACAACCCAGAAAGTTTCTGACACTTGATAATCACAGTGTGGGACAGCCACGCTGGACGGTCAGCCTGGTACGTCACACCGCTCCCCCTGCACGCCACGCCGGCTGCGGGTGGAAACACACATCTCGGGGGACCCACAGAAGTGGAGAGGCTGGGCTTTCTCTGCTCTCTCATCTCTGTCTCTCTCTGCTGTGTCACAGCAAGCAGCAGAGCCAGCAGCCTGCCTACCTTTCATGCAGGAATTCCAGTACTAAGGATTTGTCCAAACAAATTCTTGCTCAAATGCGGAAGATTAAAAAGTCTAAAGGGTTTCATTACAGCAGCTTTGTAAGCATGAGAATCGAAGGTGGTTTATAAAGCAAGTCAGCTGACCGATGGATGAGTCCCCTAACAGCCGGCAGTGTCTCTGAGGGTCACCTCTGTGCAGCTAGTGGTTAATGACGTAATCCACACAACAGCCTTGTGACACATGATTATTACTTCACAGGAGAGGCCGGGGAGGAACAGAAAGCCCAAGGAGCCTAAAGAGCATTTTAGTACAAATGTTTTAATTTTACCCATTAGAAGTTAGTAATAATAACGCATGCTTACACATGAGTTCATGTGCGCGGCAGCAGGACGCACAGGAATCGGCTGGTGACTGAAAAGCTTCGGCTTGAGCAGTTTTACTGTCTGTTTACACACTTTCTTGTTTTTTAACTTAAACAAATCAGCATTCCTTTGTAACTAAAGATGAGTCGGCAGGGGCACACTGGGCAGTGGGGAGAGACTCCAACCTACCTCCCACAGCAGGGCCTGCACCCCACGACTCTCTCTCTGGCTCTCTGGCTCTCTGGCTCTCTGGCTCTCTGGCTCTCTGGCTCTCTGGCTCTCCGTCTCTCCAGGAGAGGTGGCACAGCTCAGCAGAGCTGGGACCCCGACTCTGCCAGGCCTGAAGGCCTGCCGGTGGGAGCCTCAGGGGGCGGCAGGGAGGTAAGGACGCCTAGCAAGTGGCCGCCTGGTCTGCTCCTCGGCTCGCTTCCCCCTGGCAGAGGATCTCCCTTCCAGGCAAACCGCAGGCCACAGCTCTCACTCCAGGGAGACAAGGAAGGAGCCCGGCACAGCTATCTGTTACTAAAGTCCTGCTCACTCACAGTGGGGCGAACGTGTCCCCACGTGATTTGTCTTGTTTTCTTAACTTTCCAAAGTTGAGGGAAGAAGAGGACAAAGACACCCTTTCCAGTGGTGGCGAGAACTAAAATCCTCCATTTGGTCTTCTACACCCAACAAACACAAGAATTGTAAAATGCACGGCCCTTCAGCATTTCATGGCTTCAATTATTTCTCTGAAATCAGCGCTGTATCCAAATGTGAGCTCTGTGCTCCGTAACACAGCCAAAGGCTTGTCCTGCCAAAATACGCCAAAAAGAACGCTGTGTTACACAACATTATAGTTATAGACAGTGATGTTTGATCAAGTCAGGAAATAAGATCAGCACATGTTCTAAATCCTCACTGCACAGAATAATCAGCGCTCCCAGGAAGCAGGCTCTGTCCGAACAACCATTTCCTCTGTGCAGGTCAGCAGGGCCATTCAGACTCTGTGAAAAGCCCACATCCTCCATCTGTCCGTGGAAAATGATTTCTCCCACAGTCACGACCTTTCTCCTCCCCTGCAATCACCCGATCTATGCAGGACTGGGGCCTTGCAGATGGACTGTAGAGGAGAGGGCTCCTGAGTAAAGCATGGATGACCCCCAGGGATGGGGGTAAGATGCAGATTCCCGTCTGCCGGATCCCTCAGAAACCTCGGCCCCCAGGCACCGAGGTGGAGGCCCCCATCTTGGTCTCTAGGCCCAGCTTCAAGACACAACATTCGTGGTGCTGAAAATCAGCCCCGAGCCTGAAAAGTGTGGGACCAGCTATATCCTGGTGTTGTCCCCTGTCCAAGCCCAGACCTCAGGCACAGGATGCCCCTCATTGCACCTACAGCTGGGTACAACACGGGGTGACAGCGACATTGACCCAGGCTCACTGAGAGTTCAAGGGTTCACCACACACAGAAGTTTGCAAAGTACACATAAAAACTACATGGGCAGGGCCTGCTCACACGCCCACTCTCCATCAAGACATCTCCACACTCGCCCAGATGGACCAGTGTTCGGGGAGAGAGTGGGGTGTTTCCACACCTTGCCCCCAGCAACTCAAGAATGAGCTGAAGCTCAGGTATCTAGGTCTGGGGGCCATTTGTATTTTTCTCTTTTTTAGGCCAAGCATCCCAGGTTGTGGGATATTCTTTTGCATCCATTCTATTCTCTGGTTCAGAAGAGGTTTCACCGTGGGACTCCAGCTAGACAGGGCAGCCTCATTCTCAGGGACTCTGCTGCCCAGGGGCCACCCTTCTGGCCCAGCTGGAGTCTTTCTCCACCATAAAGACTGAGAAGACTTCACCTGCTAAGAAATCTCTGTCCCTGGCTGGAGATGGTCCCCCTTGCCCTTAGCCATAGCCCCCCACGCCTGTTAGCAGGTGAGGGGGCCAGTTTCCTACAGGTGTGACCCTCTGACTGAGGCACACTGACCTCCTATCACCGTCAAGGCGGCCAGAGACCCTGGACATGCCTGTCCTGAAGTCGCTTTTCCCGTGTGCAGGAGGTAAGGGTAAGGGCAGCGAGAAGTCCAGGTCCTGCTGCTGTCCTTGACTGTAATCTCCCAAAGCCACTCATGGGCTGAGGTCTGGCTGTGGAGGAGGGGACCGTGGTTTCCAAACGGTGGCACCTGTGGCCATCACTGAGTCAGTCCACAGAGGAGGCAGGGCCGCCTCAGCTCCTGAGAGCAGATATGACAGTTGCCTGCTGACATCTGAAGGAAAGAGGTGTGGGGTGCCACGTAAGCCTCCTTCAGCCTGATGGCCGCATTCTCAACCATGGGAAGCTGCGAGTCCTGGGGCGTGCATGCAGCTCCGTCACAGAGCACGCCAGAGCACGCGAGCTCTGGGAGCTGAGGCCCAGGCCCCGGCCCGTCTGTGGGCTGCAGCCCTACTGCTCTTCACCTGCTCTCCCCAGGACGCTGCACCCCTAACCTCGGCCCTGGGCAGTGCCTGGCTGTGCTTGTTACCCCTGCCTGAAACCAGAGGCTACTGGTCGACCCACCCAGCAGGACTCCACACTTCTGGAGCAGCCCGTGCCCCAGGCTCTGCCTAAAACCACTCCAAGTCTGACTGTGAAGGGTGATACATCACCAGCCACCACAAGAGACAAGCTGACCTGGCACAGGGACAAACAGACACCACGGCCACTCCTATTTTTAGCAAGATACTTTGGAAGCACAAAGGCCTTTCCTGATTCCAACCAAGCACATATGTGTATTTTTGAGTACCCTCCACGAGACAACTCAGCCAAGACACACCCTCAGCGGGCCCCCAGCCACTGCGATGGCTGTCATCTGAAGGCGCCTTTCCTTCTGTCTTTCTATCCCCACCACCATCTCCGAGCAGGTCCTTTGTGAGCACTGACCTACCCTTCTCTCCCCGCCACCAGTACTGCTTGTTCTCGTGGGGGCCACCGTCACCCCCGCAGAAGGGGAGCCAGGGTGCACCCCACTCAGGGGAAAGGCTTTTGACAAGTTTAAGACAAGCATAGTTCCAGATGGCTTCTCTGTCTGTGTAGACCTAGACTTAGCTCTAGACAAAGAAGGCAGAGGATAGTGTCCATCGCTTTACCAGGAGAAACGTGACCCTTTCCTGGACTTCCTGCTCCTCCCAGGACTTCTTCGTGACTGCAGGATGCTCCTCTTGCATCCATACATCACCAGGGATGTGGCCAGCAGCACGAAGCTCCACCAGAGTGGCCTCCACAGCCCCTTGCCTCAAAGACCTCTGTCCAGGGAACTTGGGTCCTGCTGTGGAGAGACAGACAGGGCCGAGTCTCACTGGTGCTGGCTTCCCATGCACGGCCCATTGTAGGATGATGCAAACAGACACGCTACCATTTCAAGCTAGAAAAAATCATTTTGCTGCCTTGTGTTGTAACTGCATTTGTTGGTAAACGGCAGATTTTCACACAGACTGTCTAGAAT